CCGCGTCGGCGGTCCGCGCGCGGCGTTGAGATCGCGCGTCAGGCTCGCGCCGCTGCGCGTGACGCTGACGCCGTCGCTCGTCGCGTCGTTCGACGCGATCGAGAGAGCGTTCGCCGTCGTCGCGGACGCCGCCGCGGCGAGCGGTCCGCCGCCGCCGCCGCCGCCGGATTTTGAAGTCGTCGAGTCGCGCGACGCCGCGGACGTCGACTTCACGTTCGCGGGGTTGAGGGTGTACGCGTGCGACGAGTCGTCGTCCGTCGTGCACCGCGTCGAGATCGCTAGGTTCGCGGCGAGGGCGGGGATATCGCGCGAGGGCGACGCGAGGGCGCGCGTGGAGTTGAGCTCCGTCGACGCGGACGTCTGCGACGGCGCGTCCTCGTCCTCTCGGCGGCGCCGGCTCGCGCGCGTGAACTGCTCCGAAGACGGCGCGTTCGCGCCGGTTTTACACGTCGACGCCTCATTCAGCGGGAGCGGCGGTCGAACCGCGCTCGAGATCGACGCGAGGGGGTTGGACGTCTCGATCGAGAGCGACGTCGTCGCCGCGCTCGCGGCGTTCGCGGCGGCGGCGGCGACGGCGAAATCGCGGCGCCGCGCGTCGTCGTCGTCGTCGAAGGAGACGACGCTCCTCGCGATGACGAGCTTCTCCTACCGCCGTCGCGCGAAACCCGTCCGCGTCCCGCCGTCAAAGACGCTGCTCGCGCACGGCGTTCACGAGGTTTATCACTCCACCGCGAGAGAGGACCTCGTCGCGCTGTCCGCCCCCGGCGCGTTCGACGCGCCGCCGACGCGGTCGCCGCCGCCGCCGCCGGACGCGGCGAACGAATCGCTCTCTGTCTCGTTCGCGACGCGCGCGCCGTTCACGGTCGCGCTGTCCGACGCGGGCGGCGTCGACCCGGTGCTTCGCGTCGCGATGGACTCCGCGAAGCTGAATTACGTGAAGCCGCGCGACGACGACGTCGATGACGACGCGAAGACGCTCCTCGCGGCGACGATCGCGGGTCTCGTCGCGAAGGCGCCGGCGCGCGCGCGCGGCGACGGCGACGACGTCGCGCTCCTGCGTCTCGGCGTCGCGCTGACGGTCGAGACGCCGACAGGTTCTACTCGCGCCGCGCCGAGCGTGGAGATTTCCGTCGGCGAGTGCAGGGTCGGCGCGCACGCGGGTCCGCTGATGCGCGCCGCGCGGTGGGGGGAGAAGGTGGCCGCGGCGGCGGCGGCGGCGGCGCCGCCGCCGCCTCCGTCTTCTTCGGTATCGATCGTCTCGCGCGACGAAATCATCGGCGAAGGCGTCGCGCCGCCGTCGCTGCGCGCGCTCGCCTGCGGTTCGATCTCGCTGTCGCTGACGGACACGTCCGTGTTCGTGCCCGCGCCGCCCGCGCCGCATCGAAAGCGCGGCGGTGGCGCCCGCGCGGCCGCCGCGGGGCTCTTTCTCGCGATCGACGCGCTCGACGCGTCGACGCGGCTGCCGTTCGATCCGACGCGGCCGGTCGACGCCGACGCGCGGCTCGCGCGTTTCGCGACGCGCGGCGTGCGCGTCAGCGCGTGCGCCGAGGACGACCGCGAGCGTGCGCTGTCGCTCCTCGCTGCGGAGCCGATGGGACGCTCGTCGAGTTCGAGGGCGGGGCCGGCGGAGTCGCCGCCGCCGGCGTTGGCGACGATTCGATCCGCGAGCGTTTTCGAGGAGCGCGCGTCGCGCGGGATTCTCGCTTTCGCGTGCGATGTTCCCTCGGTCGCGGCGACGCTGTCGCCGTCGAGCGTCGCGCTGTGCGTGGACGCGCTGAACGCGGCGACCGCCGCGGTCTCGCTCGCGCGCGAGGACGATACCCCCGGCGGGAGGAGGAAGGCCGCCGCGGGGACGGCTGAGTCGTCGGCGCCGGTTTCGAAACCGTCTTCGAAACCGTCTTCGAAATCTCCCCGTCCGCCTCTCGAGTACTCGGTTAGCCTGCGCCTCGGCCGCGCGTCGCTTCTGTTGCAGTCCTCCAAAGCCGCGCGCGAGGGCGTGTTCGGGTTTGACGGCTCCGAACGCGCCGGTGTCGTCGCGATCAACGCGCTCTCGATCAAAGCCGCCGCGGGCGCGGAACGCGGGATGACGTCGCACAAAATCGACGTCTCGTTCCACAGCGCGCACGCGACGGACGTCAGCGCGACGGCGGCCGGGGAAGCGGAGCGCATCGCGCTGGGCGTGGCGCTCGGCGAGCGGTTCGTCGACGGCGGGACGCCGCTCGCGTGGATCGGAGGCGCAGGAAGCGGCGGCGGCGGCGGCGGCGGCGCGGCGCGGCCGTCGACGTCGACGCTCACCGCGCGCGCGTTGACGAAAAGCGGCGCGACGACGCCGTCGTCCGTCGGCGTCGACGCCGCGCTCGGCGGCGGCGGGTTCGCGTGTAATCTCCCGGCGTGGAACCGCGTCATCGCGTTGTGCGACGCGACGGCCGTGGAGGCGTCGCGGCCGACGAAGACGACGCCGGCGGCGGGCGGGGCGACGAAGACGAAGACGAAGACGAAGACGGCGGCGGCGGCGGGAGACGTCGTCTCGTCGTCGTCGGCTTCGTCTTTCGCCGGCGACGACGCGCTCTTCGCGAACGGCGAATTTTCCACCGGCGAGTGGGTCCTCACGCTCCCTTGGCACCCGCCGAAAGGTGACGGCGGCCCTCGTGCCGTGCGCGTGCTCCTCGACGCGCGCGCGAGCGGGACCGCGAACGTCAACACGCGGACGATGACGCCGACGAGGTGGGACGGCTGCGTCGGCGTCAAGAAGTTAAAACTCGACGTCACGGAGGTGGAGCCTCCGCGCGCGGCGACGATCGCGCCCGGGGGCGTCGCCGAGCCCGCGCCGCCGCGCGTCCGCGCGCACGCGCTCGCGGAGTTGAGGGGGTTGAAGATCACGGCGACGCGCGAGGAGAACGACGCGCCGCCGGGGGGCGAGCGCGCGACGGACGTCTCCGTGGACGTCACCGCGAGGGACGTCTCCGTCGCCGCGTCGACGCGTCGGTTGCTTCTCCTCGGGGAGCTGCGATCGCTGATGGAGGTTCAACAGCCCGCGGCGGCGGCGGCGGCGGCGACGGTGAAGACGACGCGCGCGCCGAGCGCGACGGCGGACCAGACGACGCCGAAGACGCCGAGCGCCGCGTCGACGCGGTCGTCCACGCCGACGTCCGTGTTCGCATCCGCGTCCGTGGACGTGATCGGCGTCTTAATTCTCTCCGACGACGTGTCGGACGGCGCGTCAGCCGACGACGTGTCGCACGACGCGTCGGCTGCCTTAGACGTGAATCTCGGCGTGCCGCTGCTCGAGGCTGCCGTCCTCGGGCTCACCGCGTCGTTCACCTCGGACGCGTCGTCCGACGCCGTCGGACGCGAGACCTCGATCGCGCTCAACGCGGAGGCGCGAGTGATTCTGGATTCGCTGAACCAACGCAAGGGCGCGTGGGAGCCGATCGTGGAACCGTGGAAGGTTCGTCTCGTGTCCGAGGCGAGCCTGCGCGATGACACGGCGTCGAAGGCGTCGATCAAGGTGGTCGGGTACGACGCCCTGGAGATCACGGCCACGGAGGCGGGCGCGGCGTCCGTGGCGCAGTGCGCGCTCGCGATCGCCAACGGCGCCGGCGACGAAAGCGCCGAGACCGCCGCGACGACGACGGCGACGCAAGGGCAGCATCAATCGTACTGGCTTCGGAACGCGACGAACGCGACGGTTCGGTACTGGCTCGCGGACTCGAGCGAATCGGAATCCGAACCGTCGCTGTCGTCGTCGTCGCGCGGCGGGTCCGTCCCTCCCGGCGGGCGCGTGCCGCTGCATTTCCCGGAGCTGAAATCTCGCGCGGCGCCGAGGTACTCGTGCGTCGCCGGCGTGCGCTCGCTGACGTCGCCGGCGCCGCCGCCGCCTCCCGCGCCGACGCGCGCGGTCGTCCTGCGATTCGAAGGCGCCGAGGAAGCGTCCGCGCCCGTCGGTCTGGACGAGCTCGCGTCGCACGTCCTCGGGGAGAGGCTGCTGCTCGGAAGCGCGATGACGGCGGAGAAGGACGACGACGACGGCGCCGACGCGAACGCCGCGAACGCCGACGCGGGCCGCGTCGTCGCGGAGGTTCGCCGAGTGAACGACATGTCCGTGCGCACGGAGCTGCTGTTGCGCTCCGACCTCGCGGTGCACAACGGGACGCTCGGCGCGGTCGATCTCGCGTTCGACGGCGCCGGCGACGCCGCCGCCGCCGCCGACGCGTCGTCGACGGTGCGCGTCGCGCCCGGGCAGAGGGTGTGGCTGCCTCCGCGCCGCGCGCGCGCTCGCGCGTCGGTGCGCTGGCGCCCGAGCGACGGCAACGCGCGCGCGTACGCGTGGAGCGACCCGCTGCCGCTTCGCGCGCTCGCGCCGTCGCGCGAGACGTCCGCCGCGCCTCGCGAGCGTCGCGCCGCCGCGTCCGCGTCGGACGACGACGCGAGCTTCCTCGCCGCGCCGTTCCGTTGCCTCGTCGACGCGGAGACGTCGCCCTGGTCGCACGCGACGATCGTCTCCCTCGCGCCGCCTCTGCGCGTCTCGAACGACCTCCCCGTGCCGCTGAGCATCTCGGTCTCGAGCGAAGGCGGCGGCGGGGAGGGCTCCGCCGGCGGCGGGTCGGGATCGATCGTGATCGCTCCGGGGGCGACGATCGCGCTGCACGACGCCGCGGCGGCGCCGCGCGCGGCGCCGACGCTTCACATGCGCCCGCACGGGTACACACACTGCGCGTCCGTGCCTCTGCCCGCGATCGGCGCCGGGAACGGCGCGAAGGCGGGTTCCGCCGCCGCCGCGGCGGCGGCGGCGGCGGCGGAACCGTGGACCGCGCACCGCGACGTCTTCAAAGTCGTCGGGTTTCGCGCGGGCGGCCCGCGCGCGCCGCGCCTCACGTCCACCTCCCCCGTCAGCGTGCAGCTCGACGTGCGCGTGGACGAGCGCGGGACGAGATGCGCGCGCGTGTCGTGCCCCGTGCGCGTCGTCAACGCCGCGTCCGACGCGCTCGTGCTTCAAGCCGTGGACCCGCCGGAGGGCGCGGAGGAGGAGGAATTTTTCGAAAAGCTCGCGCTCGACGACGGCGACGCCGCGTGCGTCCTGGGCGCGCGTCTTCCGTCCAGGACCGCGCTCGGGGACGGCGACTGCTGGCTCCCTCCCGCGCGTCCGAGGGCGAGAGGTCTCGGCGGCGGCGGCGGCGCGGACGGCGTCGACGGACGGGGGTTTGATCCGCCGGCGATGCTTCCCGGGTTGGGGTTGAAGCGCGCGCGCGCGTCGTCGTCGTCGTCGCTCCTGCCGCTGTCGCCCAAGCTCGCGCGATCGCAAGACCGGCTGGCGGCGGCGGCGTCGATGGACCACACCCCGACCGGGTCGCGCCCGGGCACCGCGCCGGGGAGCCCGGACAGCGGACGGTCCTTAGAGCACTCCCCCGCGGGGTCGTCGGGGTACCTTCCCGGTTTGGACGGCGGCGGCGGCGGCGGCGGGGGAACGAGAGGCGTCACCGCGCGGGCGCTGTTCTCGTCGTCGCTGGGCGGATCCGCTGGATCTCCGACGTCGTCTCCGAACAAGTCGTTCCTCGATCTGTCTGACTTGTGCGTCGGCCTGGAAGCCGCGACGTCGTCCCCGAGGGCGACGGCGACGGCGACGGCGACGACGACGACGCGCGTCGGCGACGCGTCCCCCGAAGCCGACGTCGGCGTCGCAATGTACGGGAAGCATCAGCTCTGGGGGCAATCGAAGCGCGGCGTCCCGGTCCTCGTGCGCGCGCGCTCCCCCGCCGCGAACACGTGGTCCTCTGTCGTCGCTCTGAATCCCGGGGACGCGAGGGTCGTGAGATGCCCCGCCGGCGGCGGCGGCGGCGGCGGCGGCGGCTCGGGGAAGCCGAGCGCGGATGGCGGCGCGTGTTACGAGTACGTCGTCTCTCTGCGCGATCCGCACTCTGGGAGCGGGACGATCGTCGTGCACCCTCGCGTCGTGATTCGCGCGTCGGCGCTGTGCGGCGAGCTTCCGCACGACGTGCCTTTACTCTTCCGCGAACACGGCGGCGACGACTGCGCGTCGTTGCGGCCGGGCGAGGAGACGCCGGTCACGCGGTGGCGCGCGAGCGGCGGCGCACGCGCGGTGTGTTTCCGGCCGAACGACGGCGGCGTGTGGTCGTGGTCTTCGCCCGCGGTCGTGGACGTCGTCGGCGTGACGTACGTCAAGGTGCGGTCGCTGACGCGAGCGCCGCCGGCGCGCGACGACGTTGGCGGCGGCGGCGGCGGCGGCGCGGCGAAAAAACTCGGGTTCGACGAAAGTTTCGACGACGACGACGACGACGGCGTTCGCGCGTCGTCATCCGCGGCGCGTTTCCACCGAACGAACGCGATCGCGAACGCGAAGACGACGCGCGTGTTTTGCGTCGCGGTGTCGAGCGCGTCGTCCGCGCGCGGCGGGTTCGTCGTCGACGTCTCCGAGCTGTCGGACGCGGAATGGCGCGCGCTCGCGCCCGTTCTCGTGGAGAACGCGTCGAACGTGGTCGTGACGTTCCGGCAGACGGGCGCGCCGCGAAGGCACGACGGCGACGAGCGCGCGCATCCGCGCTCGACGACGTCGTTTCTGTGGGACGACCCCGCGAAGCCGCGGAGCATCTCGTTGTCCGTGCCCGGCGCCGCGTCCCCGGACATTTGCGCGCCGGCGTCGGCGATGGACGAACTCGACGACGACGCGAACGACGGCGGCACGTCTTCTTCTCGGTGGTCCGCGCAGTCGGTCGTGCGGTACGTCGACCCGTCGCGCCCGCCCGTGCTGCTGCGCGTGACGACGCGGAGAGACGCGGGCGCGACGCGCGTGACGATCGAAGCCGTCGACGCGAAGCAAAATCCCTCCGCGTGGGCGGCTGCGACGGCGGCGGCGGCGGCGACCGACGCCGCGGCCGCCGCGACGCCTCCCGGCGGCGTCTCTACCACCACCGCCGTCACCGCGCCTTCTTCTTCTTCTTCTTCTCCCGCGTTCTTCACGGCGTCGCCGATGACGACGCGCGTTTTACAGCCGCTGCTCCCTCGGCGGCTGCGTCCGATCGCCGTCGCGCTCGCGTTCGCCACGGACAAGGCGTCCGCGGCGGCGGCGAAGTCGTCCGCCGGCGAGCTCTCTTCGCGCGACGCGCCGTCGTTCGCGATCGATTGCGCGCTGGAGCTGTCGTCCGTGGGTCTCAGCGTCGTGAGCGGCGGCGGGCGAGGCGGCGCGCGCGAGCTCTTGTACTCGCGAGCGACGGCCGTGCGCTTGGAAGCGTCCGCGTCGGGACACAAGAAGAGAGGCGGGAAAGTGATTTGGAAAGACGCCGACGTCGGCGCGCGCGTCGGCCGCGTCCGCGCGGATCTCCAGACGGCCGGCGCGAGCTCGTACCCGATGATCCTCGCGTGCGGCGGCGGCGGCGGTGCCGTTCTCGGCGGGCGCGGCGGCGGCGAACCGCTATATAAACCCACCGGCAAACGCGCGCTGTCGCTGCGCGCGGCCGTCGGGAAGCAGCGTCGGCACGAGTGGGCGCTGCGATCCGTCGCGTTGGACGTCGCGCCCGTGACGCTCGACCTCAAAGAGGAGCTCTTGCTCGCGCTGCCGGGCGTCGTGGAAGGATTCGCGCGGCCGTTCTCGGCGGTCACAACGGCGGTTTCGACTACTACTACGGGCGGCGCGCGGACGCCGCCTCATCGCGGAAGGCTGCCGACGACGACGACGCCCGAGTCGACGCGGCGGATTTTGCCGACGTTGCGCCCCGCGGCGGCGAGAGCGCTCGCGGCGGCGGCCGCGTCCGCGTCCATGTCCGTCCCCGCGCCGCCCGCGCTCTCGTCCGTGCGCGTCGGCGAGTTCGACCTCACGGTGTCGTTCACCGCGCTGCCGTTCCTGCCGTGGGGGCTTCGATCGCTCGGCGCGGTCGATCGCGCGCGGGTGTCGTTGGGGTCGTTCCAGCTGCCGTCGCCGTACGCGCTTCGAAAAATGCGGATGAAAAAAAGTAACGCCGCGGGAGCAGCGGAGACGTGGTCCACCGATCAGGTCGTGTCGCTCGCGCGACGGCACTACATCGCGGAAGCCGCGGGGCAGGCGGGGCGTCTCATCGCTAGCAACAAGCTCCTCGGCGACCCCGCGCGGTTCTTGGGGGAGATACGCGCCGCGACGCGCGAGCTGTTCGCGTCGAACGTCAGCCGGGGGATCGGGAGGCGGTGCGCGTTGTTTTCGTCGCGGTGCGTTTGGGCCGTCGGGGTGTGGGCGCGGACGACGCTCGCGCACGCGCGCGACGTCGCGCACGAGGTCGAGGCGCGTTTTGAGGCGTCGCGGGAGCGGCGCGTACTCAGTCTGCGAGAGCGGCGCATCGAGGAAGAGGACGAGGACGGCGGCGGCGACGGCGACTCGAAGAAGAAGGCGACGGAGGAGGCGCGCGCGCCGGCGGGCGCGAGCGACGCCGTCGTCGTCTCGTCCTCGGCGGGCGCGGGGGGGAGTTCGACTTCGACATTGAAAACGTCGAACTCGACGACGAAGGAGACGTCGACGTCGACGTCGTCCTCCTCCGTCAAAATCCTTCCCGCGGACGACGCGACGTCCGCCGCGGGCCGCCCGACGTCGACGACGTCGACCTCGACGGGAGGAGGCGAAGAAAACGATGAGAGCAAGACGACGACGCGCGCGGCGGATCACCCGAAGGACGTCGTCTCCGGAATGCTTCGCGCGCTAGGGAAACTCGTGGAAGCGCCGCTGCAGGGCGTCGAGCTCCGAGGCCTCCCCGGACTCGTCGAGGGCGCGATGGAGGGCGTCGCCGGCGCCACCGCGAATCTCGCCGCCGCGTCGTTGAAGCTCGCGATCATCCTATGCGATAAAGCGTACGCCGTCGTCGCGCGCGCGTCCGACGGCGGCGACGACTTGGAATCCGTCTCCATCACCGCCGCCGCCGTCGGCGGCGGCCTCGTCATCACGCGGCACCGCGTCTCGAACGTCTCCGCGCCGCGCCTGCGCCCGCCGCGACCGGCGCCGAGCGACACGGAGCCGCTGCTGCCGTTCAACGGCGAGCTCGCGCTGACGAGGGAGATGCATCAGGCGCGTTCTATACAAAAGTTTTTCAACCATCGCCCGGTTTCAACATTTGATCGCGTGGGTCCCTTTCAACTGACCGGTGAACTATTTTTGCCTCAGTACGCGAGCGACGGGAAGTACGCCAAGGCGGCGTACCTCGGCGGCGCGGCCATCGTCAAGCCGAGAGGCGGATACGTCGTCGTCACGAGCGAGCACGTCGTCGTCGGCGTCGCCGTGATTCACAAGACGCCACTTGGCTCGAGCGATAGAGGGAGTTTAAACGGCTCGACCGCGGCGGAACGCGACGCGAGCGGCGAGGGCGCCGAGAGCCTCGGCGCCGCCGCGACCGAGCCGCCCGCCGCGGCGAAACCGTCGGGGTGGGTCGTGCGCGACGCGTTTCCGCTGCGGGAAGTCGTGGGCGTGCGAGGTGCGTTATATCATACGCTGGTTCCCATACGACCGCGTCGGCGCGGTGAACGCCGTTCCTTAAGGACTTTTGCCCCCCGCGCATCTCTCCGCCCACCATCCCCCGCTTTCAATCCCGACACACCTCGACACCTTTCAACTCCATCTGACGCCTTTCAACTCCACCCAAAACCTGGACGTCAAAGTCGCCGGCGCGCTCGTGTTGATCACCGCGCGGTACGCGCCGAGTCGCACGTCGCGCGACGACGACGGGTTTCGGAGCAGCCTCGAGGGCGTTGAATCGCTGTTGACGCCGGCGTATTCCGCCGCGTCGCGCGTCGCCGCGGCGTGGCGGAGGGGTTTTTTGAGCCGACGGTTCGCGGCGGCGGGGAGAAGGGAAAAAAACAAAAACGACGCGGGTTCCGGACGCGACGGCGCGAACGCCCCGAGGGTCAACAACAGCGCTGTGGACGTGGACGCGATCCCGACGAGGGAGGTGGCGTTGCACTGTGTGGACGCCGTCGCCGCGGCGAGGTTGCACGGGCAGCTGGTCGCCGCGACGACGACGACGAACGGGGGAGGAGGAGGAAACGCCCTCCGGAGACAGTAGTAGAAAAACAATAATATTAGATTTAGGACCAGCAGAAGACGAAGTCTAACGACGCCTCATCACATCTCATCACTCCCCGTCTGCGCGCGGCGGCGTCGAGCATGGCGCTGCGTCGCCTCGCGCGCCTCGGCGGCGCGCTCGCCGCGTCGACGTCCTCCTCCCCCGCCCCGACGTCGTCCGCGCGCGCCGCGGCCGCCGCGACGCGATGGATGGCGACGTGGCAAGCGAACGAACTGCGCGTCGGCGCGCTCGTGGAGAAGGACGGCGCGATCGCGGAGGTGACCAAGTACCAGTACACGCAGGGCAAGGCGAGGCAGGTGGGGTGCGTCCAGGTGGAGTACAGAGACTTGAGGACGGGGGCGAGCAGCGTCGAGAAGCTGTCGCCGTCGGACAAGATCACGCGCGCGGAGCTCGTCTCCGAGGTGCGTCGCGCAGTAGGATCCCGCTCGTCTCCCCTCGCGTCGTCGCGTCGGTCAGATCAGACGGTGCCCACTCCCCGAGAATATCATACGAGAATCGAATCGCGACGCCGTCCTCGCGCGCGTCTCCTGACGCCGCTCCCCATATTATTTCCTTCCCGCCTCCCCTCCCCTCCCGTCGCAGGAGTACCAGTACATGTACGACGCCGGCGACGACGCGCTGATCCTGTCGCACCCGACCACGTTCGAGCAGCTGGAGGTGTCGGGCGAAACTTTCGGCGCGCAACGACGGTTCCTCGCCGACGGCGCGTTCGTCGACGTGCTGTCGCACGACGGCGAGGTCGTCGGCGTCCAACTCCCGGACGAGATCCGCGCGACCGTGGTCGAGACCGACCCGCGGTTTAAGGGCGAGAGCAAGGACGGCGGGAGGCTCAAGCCGTGCACGTTGGACACCGGGGCGACGACGCGAGTGCCGACGTACGTGGAAGCGGGCGACGTCGTCGTCGTCAAGGGGCCGCGCACGGGCGCGTTGGGGGAGTTCGTGCGGCGCGTGCGCGAGTCGTGAGCGATGCGTAGTCGTAGTTTTGCGTGCGGGTGTTATGTGAGAGGTGGTGATCGATCGATGCGCTCGAATCGACGCGATAGCGCGGGCGACGCCGCGGCTAAAATCTCGAAAGCGATCTCTCTCGAATCGTCGTCCAAGAAGAGCAGATCTGTCGTCCAGCCCCGCGCGCCTACTGATTCGAATCGTTCAGAGCGCGCGGCACGATGCCGCCCTCGAAGAGGCCGAAGAGCATCACGATCGACGGCGCGACGTACTTCATAGGGGACACGGTGACGTTGCGCGCGCCGGACGAGCAGAACGATGATTTCGTCGCGAGGTGCGCTGCCACCCCGCGCGGCCTCCGTCTCGCAGCGCGAGTTAGATCTACTGCTTCGCCAGCATAGATCTTCTTCGGAAACGCCCCGCGACGTCTCATGACGCGGCGATCCCTCCCCCGCCCCCCCCCCGCCCACCGCGCGCGCAGGATTGGAGACGTCGGCATGCGAAAGAACAAAGTAGAGGTGATGGTTCAGTGGTACTACCGCCCCGAGGACGCGATCGGCGGCCGCAAGGGGTTCCACGGCGAGCGCGAGCTGTTCTTGAGCGACCACAAGGACTGGGTCGCGCCCGATTCCATCAACGATAAATGTCAGGTCCACACCCTGAAGCAGTACCAATCCCTGCACGTCGTCAGCGACGTGGACTACTTCTGCAGGTTCTCGTATAACGTGAAGAAGGCGGAGTATCGCCCCGCGCGCGTGCCCGTGTACTGCGTCTGCGAGATGCCGTACAACCCCGACCGCTTCATGGTCGAGTGCGAGGCGTGCACGGATTGGATTCACCCGGAGGTGCGTTCTATACACTGGTTCCCATACGACCGCGTTCGCGTGGTGAACGCCGATCCTTAAGGACTTTTCCCGGCGTGTCTCTCCGCCAACCCCTCGCCTTCAATCCCCGACCGCGTTGCCTTTCAACTCCAACTGACGCCTATGAACTCCACCCCGACGTTCGCTCGTATGGAACGACCCAAAGTGTTTGCGAATGACCAAGGCGGAGGTGGAGGTGATGACGCACTTCGTGTGCCCGGACTGCACGAAGCGGCACCAGAGCGAGGGGAAGAGGGGCACGCCATAGAGAAGAAGAAGCGAGGGAAGGGGTAAGTTAGGGGAACGGAGTAGCAACGGCGAGAATAAGTAACGAACAACCTTAGGGGACGGACAGAGTAAAAAAAAGCAGGCGCCGGGCCGGGGGACGGCGCCAAGTTGGCGACTGGAGGCGCCGCGCGGCGGGAGCGTACGGAGTCGTGGTGCACGAGAGAGACGCTTTGTTATGCATCGTGACGTTTATGTCGACGCTTCGCGTCGCCACCACAGCACAGCACGACGCGCGCGTTTGGACGGGCCGACGCTGCTGCTATTCTCTATACTTTAGATATCAACCGACGCGCATCAACCGCGCAACCGCGGCGCGAGACTGATGAACGAGAGAGGCCTCCCGCGCCGCGCGCTCACCCCGCGCCCGCGGCTTCGGCGATCTCCTGGTCGTCGTACCCGTACTTTTCTATCCTCGCCTTCCGCTCGAGCTCCTTCTGCGTCTGCGCCATCTGCCCCGCGAACCGCGCCGCGGTGCGCAGCTTCGTCAGCCGCATCCGCGACACGAGTTTCGTGGAGAAGTGCTTCACGCGCGGGTTCTTCGACAACGTCATGACCTCGATCGCCGCCAGCCCGCCCTCCTTCATGAACTGCTTCTGGTTATCCTCCGAGAGCGACATCGCGTTGAGCGCGGTGCAGGCCTCGTTCTCGCAGTACGCGTCGCCGCTCTTCGCCATGTCGATCAGCGGTTTCAACGCCCCGGCTAAGACCATCCGTCGGCCGTTCTCTTCGTGGAGGGAGAGCTCGGACGCCGCGCGCGCGGCGTACCGAGCCACCTCTAAATCTTTCGACCGCAACATCTTCACCACGGCTTCCAACACGCCCACTTTGGCCGCGAGCGCCCTCAAGTCGAAACTCGCGCTCAAATTCTTCAACCCCAACGCCGCGACGCGCTGGTACTCCGCCATGTCCGAGCGCGCGGCGGACGACACCTTGCTCATGTCCACGAACAGCTGGAACGCCTTGTGCTTCACGAGCCGCACGCGCAAGAGCTTATTCGACGCGCAGTTGGCGATGCACAACGCGGACGGGAGCTTCCGCCCCGCGATCGTGTCGTTCGCTTTCGTGAATATCATGGGCAGCTTCTCCATGCGCGCGATCTTCTCGCTGAACGCGTCCGCCAACGACAACCGCGCGATGGTTATGAGGCACCACTTCTCCACGTCCGTCTCGTCCGTCTTGGCCAGCCGCGCGAAGAAAAATTTCACCGTCTCGTCGAGCCTACGGCGTGGGTGAAGCGATCGGTCAGTCGAACGTCTTAGCGGTCAAACGTTGAAAGGGAAGCGCGGGTGAAGAGTGACGACGGGAAAAGTCCTCAAGGAACGGCGTGCACCACGCGAACGGGGTCGTACGGGGAGCAGTCTCACCTCGCGCCGACGTCTACGAGCTTCGCCGCGCTCTGCGCGTCGTCCGCGATCTTCGCGAATGCGATCATGCCCAACTTGGCGACCGCGTGGTCTTTGCTCTTGACGTAGTTCCATATCTGTTCGTTTACGCCGAGGTCGAAGATGCGACCGCGGACGACGGGGTCGCCGCCGGCTTGCGACCAAAACTTCGCGACGTCCTTCTGAAAGCTCTTGTCCTTCCCTCGGCCCATCGACTGCACCGTCTTCAGGAACTCCTCGGTGCAAATCTCGGCCGCGCAGACGCTGAACGCGCTGAGCGCGCTGCAGACGGTCAGGGACATCCGCTTCACGTCGTTATCTTTCGCCTTGACGACCCACGCCTGGAGCTTCGGTATCACCTTGACCGCTCGCGCCACCTGCTGCGCGGCGAGCTCGTTCGGGGCCACCTCCATCAGCGTCTTGAGCGCGGCCTTGACGTTCTTGCTGCTCTTCGCGGCGATGAGCTTGGCGAGGATGTCCGGCATGTCGTCGACGCTCGCTTTCTCTTTCATGACGTACGACTTCGCCTTTTTGATGAGCGTGGAGTTGTTGCACCCCATCGCCGCCGGCGGGGGGCGCGGCAGCGGACGAGATCGAGATTCCTTCCTCCACTACGCGTGTACGCGCTCTACCCCCCCCGCGCCTTTTTTCTCCCTCCTCCTCCAGTCCGCGCGCCTCTCTCTCGGAGACGCCGACGCGCGGGGAAGACCGGTGGACGGCCGGCGCGCGCGATGCCCGCGCGCGTCGCCGCCGCCGAGCGCGCTCGCCGCCGCGGTGCGCTCTCGCGGTGGACTCTGACGAGTAGGAAGCCGACGAGCCGCGGGCGACGAAAACGTCGTCGCAGCGAGCTCGAAAGTCGGCATCTCGGGGGGGACGAGAGCGAAACGGTTCGCGCGCGCACATCTTCGCCGCGCGCGCGCCAACCACCGCACGGATGCGCGCGTCGAGCGTGGAAGAACTCCGCGCGGCGCTGCTGTCGCAGCGCAAGCTCACGGACGAAGCGCTCGCGAAGCTCGACGACTGCGTCGGCGCCGCGGACGACGGCGACGGCGCGCCGTCCGCGTCCCCGCGCTCGGACGTCAGCAGCTCGTCCTTCTTCGTGGACGCGGAGAAGCTCGGCGTCGTCGCGAAGGAAGTCCTCGCGCACCTCGACAGCTGGACGTCGACGTGGAAGCGCGCGCTGCGGTCGCTGGACTCCCCGGCGTCGTCGCCGGAGCCGGGGGGCGGGGAGCGCGCGGAGGACGCCGCGACGAGGGTGCCGCACAAGCCGCGCGCGATGCAGGGCGTCGGGCCCGCGATGGGGGGACTGGACCTCGGGGAGCTGCGGCGGAAGATCTCGAGCGCGAAGAGCGCGCCGGAGGATGGCGGGTTCGGCGGGGGCGGCGCGCGCACGGTCGAGGTCGTGCCCATCGGAGGGAAGACGATGGCGAGAGACGCGCCCGCGGGAGGAGACGGTAAGCCGCCGTGGATGAAGGAGCTGGCCGCGAGGAAGGCGCGCGACGCCGAGAGTTGACATCGTTGAGTTTTAAGTTTCTCGGTAAAAATAAACAAGATGACGCGCGGTCTCCCACAACTCGGGTGTCATGGCCCCCGCCGCCGCGGCGGCGCTCGTCGCGCCGGTTCGAGCGCTGCCGTCGCTGTCGCGGCGACGTCTTCATCGTCGCGCGAGATGGCGGCGCGGGCATCGCGCGTCCTCGTCGCAGGTCGAGATCGACGAGATCGCAATCGGAGACGTCGATCGCGTCGTCTCCCCGCTCCCTCCCCCGAGCCCCGAGCAAGCGTCCGTGGTGCGTTCCGTGTGTCACGATCGCGCGAATGTCATCTGCGAGGCCGTCGCCGGGAGCGGGAAGACGACGACGGTGCTGCACTGCGCCGCCGCCGCGCCGGGGATCAAGTTCTTGTGCCTGACGTACAACGCGCGACTGAAGCTTCACGCGCGCAAGCGCGCGGCCGAGCTCGGCCTCGCGAACCTGGAGGTGCACTCCTTCCACGCGCTCGGGGCGAGGTACTACGTGAACGACTGCAGGAACGACGAGGCGCTGCGGCGGCTCGTGGACGGCGATTTCGCGCCGCGGAACGGCGCGCCCGCGTTCGATTGCCTCGTCGTCGACGAGGCGCAGGATCTCACGCCGCTGCTCCACCGACTCGTGTTGAAAGCGATTCGCGACCGCGACGCGTCATCATCGGGAGCGACGCCGGCGTCGCTCCTGATCCTCGGCGACTCGAGACAGAGCATATATCAGTTCCGCGACGCGGACAGTCGGTTCCTGACGTTCGCGGACCGAGGGCTGTACCGACCGGCGACCGCGGATGCAGACGAAACAGAAAACGACGAATCAGAAACCGACGCGGCCGCGCCGCCGCCGCCGCCGCCGTGGCGTCTGCACACGCTCCGCACGTCCTTCCGCGCGACGCCAGCGATCGCGTCGTTCGTGAACGACGTCATGCTCGGGTACCCGTGCATCACGCCGTCGCCGCATCGGGCGGGCCGCGGCACGCCCGTCGCGTATATGGTCGGCGACGCGTTCGCGATGCCCGACGCGCTCGTGGACGAGATCGACTACCTCCTCACCGCGAAGGGATACGCGCACGATGACATATTCATCCTGACGCCTTCGCTGAAGGGCGCGAAGTTGAACAGCAAGACGCCGCTCGCGCGGCTGGAGAACGCGCTGGTGACGCGGCTCAACGCGCCCGTGTTCGTCTCCGCGTCGGACGAAGGTGATCAACTCGACAGCGGTCCCCATACGACCGCGTCGGCGTGGTGAACGCCGTTCCTTAAGGACTTTACTTTGTCTCCCGGCGTGTGATGCTCTCCGCCCACCGCTCGCTGCTTTCGATTTCGACGCGCCGCGATGCCTTTCAACTCCGACTGACGCCTTTGAACTCCCTCCGCGGACCTTCGACCCGCAGAGGAACTCTCCGATGCGCTCATTCGCGGGAAAATTTGTCTCACCACGTATCACGCGAGCAAAGGGTTGGAGCGGCCGGTCGTCATCGTCTTCGGGTTCAGCGCGGAGTACTTCGCGTACTACGCGCGTTCCCATCCGACGACGAGCTGCCCGAACGCGCTGTACGTCGCGGCGACGCGCGCGAGCGAGCGCCTGTATCTCGTCGCGGAGGCGGAGGAGAACGGCCACCTGCCGTTTCTGCGGTGCCGGCCCGAGGCGCTCGACGCGTTCGGCGCGCCGCTGCCGTCGTACCTCAACGTGCGCCGCTGCGGGCGCATGCGCCCTGAGAAGACCGCGGCGCCGACGCCGTCGTCGCGGTTCGCGGCGACGGACCTCGTGAAGTTTCTCCCGGAGTCGACGATCGCGACGGTCACCGCGATGTTGCGCGCGACGGAGGTATCGCCGCCGACGAAGGACGCGCGGATCGACGGCACGGTGCCGTCGCTCGCGGGGAAAGGGCTCATCGAGTCCGTGTCCGACGTCACCGGCCTCGCCGTCGTCGCCGCGCACGAGCACCGGCACTTCTCCGCCGCGAAGGCGAAGAACGGGACTCGCGGGGCGGCGTGGGCGAGCTCGAGGAGTACGGCGCTTGCGCGGCGGTTGGAGAGCAGCTTCGAGAAGCTGACGCGGCAGACGAAAGCGAGCGCGGCGCGGGGCGCGCTGCGGAAGGGCGACCAGACCGACGACGCGTCGATCGCGGTGGACGACTCGCGCGCCATCTCGCACATCCGAGACGTCTTGGCGAGAGACCCGGAGACGACGTCGGACTTTTTGAAACTCGCCGCGTGGTACGAAGCCGTGGAGGGCGGGTACCTCTTTCGCCCGTTTCAGCTGTCGACGTTCGATTGGGTCACCCCCGCGGCGGCGGCGATCTGCGCTGGCGTGCTCGAGACGCACCTCCCGTGCGCCGCCGCCGGCGCCGCCGACGACGACGACGACGCGTCGCCGAGGGTGCGTTACGAAAAGCGTTACGACGTCTCGTTCAAGTTTGGCGCGCCGATCGTCACGATCGTCGGCGCCGCGGACGCGGTCACCGCCGGCGCGGACCCCACGATTTTCGAGGTGAAGTGCGCGAAGCGTCTGATGCCCGAGCATCTCCTGCAGCTCGCGACGTACCAGTGGTTGGACGCGTTCGGCGTCGTCCAGCGACGCGTCGCGGACGCGCGCGAGAGAGCGGCGGAAGAGAAGGCGACGACGACGACGACGACGACGACGACGACGACGACGCGCGAGAAAAAGAACGGCGCGAAAGGTTTCGGGAGAAACGCGCGCGAGTACACGGACGAAGAGGCCGAGGACGCGGTCTCGATCATCGACGCGTTCGAGCGCTTTGGCGGTGACGCGGACGCGGTGATGAAACGCGCCGTCTTGCTGAACGCGCGCACGGGCGAGGCGTTGGCGTTGAACGCGGACTTGAGGACGCTGACGGGCGTCGTCGCGGCGCTCGTGGAGCATCGCACGCGAGCGGAGAAGGATCTGGACGACGAGGCGTTCTTGTGCGCCGCGGCGGACAACGGGGCGAAGACGCACGCGCCGGTCGCCGCGCTCGTCCCGGAGATGGTGCGGCCGGACGACGCGGGCGGCGCGTCGGAAACGTGGACGGATAAAAAGACGCGGAAGGCGACGGCGGCCGCGACCGAGGACGGGCCTCGTCCGGTCGGACGGGGGAGAGTGAAAGTGAAGCGGAAGACGGCGGCGACGGCGGCGGCGACGGTGGACGTGCCGTCGCTGAAGGTGACCCAACTGAAAGCGGAGCTCAAGGCGCGCGGCGCGTCCATCGCCGGGAACAAAGCCGCGCTCGCGGCGCGTCTTCGGAGCGTCATAGAATCCAAACGATGAATCATCAACGCGACGCGTAGCCTACTAGCTAGCAGAGTGGTATTCTTCTCGTCGGCGGCGGTCGTCGGTCGTCGGTCATCGCATCGCGACGGGCGCCTGCCTCCCGCGTCCCGGCCTCGCGGCGACGCACCCTTGCACCGCGCCCTTCAACCACTGCCCCGGCCCCTTCGGCCTCTCCGGCGCCGTCGCGTCGTCGCGCGGCGCGAGCATCGACACCTGCCACTCCAACTCGCGCTTCCGCTTCTCCGCCTTCTCGAGCTTCGCGGCGAGCTCCGCGGCGAACGCTTCCGCGGCGATGCAGCGCTGCGTCGCCGCCTCCGCCGCCTTTGACGACCGCTCGGAAGAGAACTCCCCGTCCCTCGTCGCGTTCGAACGATTCTCATCGACGCGTTCGCGTTCCAGCACCTCCGCGCGTCGCATCGCGTCTCGAGCCACCTTGTTCGCGTGCTCCACCGTCGCGTCGCGCCATCGTCGCCCGCCGTCGTTCGCCCACGCGTCGAGGTCGCGGAGGAGCGCGTCGAGCGGCGGCGGGTCTGGCGGCGCGCTCGGCGGCGCGCTCTGGTCGTCGGTCGACGCGTTCGAACCGCGGTGCACGACGCCGGCGGGGTCGGCGGCGACGCGCGCGCGGTCCGCCGCCGCCGCGTCCTCCGACGACCCGAACGCCCACGACCACAGCGACGACGCGCCGTCCGCGGTCGCGGCCGTCGACGACGATCCCGACGCGTCCCCGCTTTCGCGCGCGGTCGCGAGCGCGGCGGCGAGGCGCGCGCGCAGCGCCACGTCGTTTTCGGCGCCGGACGGGGCCGGCGGCGGAATTGCCGCCGCCGCCGCCGCCGCCGGCTCCGTCCCGCGTTTCGCAGCAAGCCGCGCGTTCGCCGTCTTCAGCTCGTGCGCGACGTCCGTCGCGTCCGCGAGCTGCTGCGTGAGCCGCCCCACCTCCGCCATCGCGAGCTCGCGCTCCGCTTTCGCCTGCGCCACCTCCGCGGCGGCGGCGGCGGCGGCGGCGGCGGCGGCGGCGCTCGCGCCGCCGTCCGCGGCGTCCGACGCGCGCGCGCGCCGCGCCGCGCTCATCTCCTCCAACACCGCCGCCTTCGTCCGCGCCTCCACCGCCTCCGCGCGAACCGCCTCGAGCTCTCTCCCTCTCGCCTCGAGCGCGCCTCGCGCCTCGTCCAGCGCCGCTCTCGCCGCGTCCGCGTCCGCCCGCGCCTCGGACGCCACCGCCTCCGCCTCTTCGATCGCGGCGCCGACGGCTTCTTCCATCTCCGCGCTCGGCGTGTTCGCCTTCGCGTTCCTCTCCTTTTCGAGCGCGTCGCAGCGCGCCGACAGCTTCGCCTCCTGCTCCTTGAACGCCGACTGCATCATCGCGAACCGCCGCTTGCGCTCTTCGCCCTCCTTGATCGTCTCCGCGCTGGAAGCGATCGCCTCTTCGGCGCGGCGCTCCGCGGCTCTGGCGCGCTGCTCCGCCGCCGCCGACTGCCGCGTCGCCGCGTCGCGCGCCGCGATCGCGTTCGACGCCTCCTTGACGCTCTGTTCGAGGGAGGCCATCGCCGCGCGGATCTCCGCGGCGTCGCGCTGCGCTTCGACCTTCGCCTTGCTTTCGGCCGCGAGTTTGGACGCCTCCGCCTCCGCGGCGGCGGCGAGCGCGGCGGACGCTTCCTCCGCGCGGCGCCGCGCGTCCTTCTCCTCTGCGAGGTGCTTCTTCAGCTTCGCGAGCTCGGACGCGGTCTTGACGAGCCGGTCCTCCGCGTCGGACGCGCGCGCGGACGCGCCGGAGCGCCCCTCGCTCGCGTCTAACGCTTCCTTTTCGAGCGTTTTCACGCGGCGTTCCGCATCCGCGGCGCGCGCTTCGAGACCGGCGACTTTCGCCTCCTCCGCCATCATCGCGTTCTCCGCCGCGGTCTTCCCCGCGACCGCGGCGTCCAACGCCGCGGCGTGCTCCTTCGCTTGGCGCATCGCCGCGTTCGACGCCTTGGTCGCGGCGGCGTCGGATTCCTTCGCGTCGCTCACCGCGCGTTTTTCCCGCGTCGACGCCTCCGCAGCGGCGGCTTTCGATTGCTCCGCGACGCCGCGCAGGTACTCAATCTCCTTCTCCGCGCCCTCGCCCTCGAGCGCCATGAGCGACTTCGCCTTCTTCTCCTCCTCGAGCGCGGTCTCGAGAGTTGATTTGTCTTTGGTGAGCGACTCGATCGTCGCCTTCGCGGTCGCGAGCGCGTCCTCGGTCGATTTCAACGTCGACGCGGCGTCGGCGGCGGACGCGTCGGAAGACGCTTTCGCTTTCGCTTTCGCGTCGTCCGACGCGCGCTTCTCTTCCGCGGACGCGCGCTCGGACGCGTCCTTCAACGATTTCTTCAGAGATTCGATCTCCTTCTTCGCGGCCGCGAGCTCGGCGACGGTCTTGCCAAAGTCGCCGCCGTCGTCGCCGCCGCCGCCGCCTTTTTTGCCCTTCTTTCCCTTGCCGCCCTTTCCTCCTCCTCCTCCTCCTCCTCCTCCGCTCGCCGCGGCGGTCAGCTCCGCGTTCGCGCGCTTCAGGTCGTCGACTTCCTTTCTCAGCGCTTCCGAAGACGCCTTCGCGGCTTCGAGCGCTTCGGCGGCGCTCTCGTCCGGGGCGGGCGGCGGCGCGGCGGCGGCGGCGGCGGCGGCCGCCGCCGTCGCCGCTTCCGCCGCCGCCGCCGCGTCCTTCTCCGCGGCGTCCTTCGCCTCCTCCAGCTTCGCGGTCGCGACGAGCGCGTCGTGCAACGCCTTCTCCGCGTCCTCCGCGCGTCTCTCCGCGTCTTCGCGCGCCTTCGCGGACGCCTCCGACTGTTTCATCGCGCGCTTCGCGTCCTCTCTCGCCGTCTCCGCGTCGGCGGCGAGCTTCGCGTTGGCGTTCGCGTCGCTGTCCGCCGCCGCCGCCGCCGCCGCCGCCGCGCTCGTCGTCGCCTCCGTCAGCGCTTTCCTCAGCGTCGCGAGCTCCGCCTCGAGCGCGTCCGTCTTCTCTTGGAGGCCTTTCCCTTTCTTCACCGCCTTCGCGAGCTTCTCCCTGACGTCCGCGGCGTCCTCAGCGCGTCGTTCGAGCTCGTCTCGCATCTCCGCCGCCTTCTTCGCGTCGTCGTCGTCCACGGCGGCGGCCGCCGTCTTCTTCTCCGGCGTCGACGGCGTCGACGCGGCGGCCTTCGCGCGCACGGCTTGCATCGCGAACCGCTTCGCGTCCGCTCTCGACGCCTCCGCGTCCTCTCGCGCGGCTTTCAGATCCGCGTCGAGGCTCTGGATCGCGACGCGCGCTTGCGCCAGCGACGCGCGGAGCGCTTCGACCTCCTCCGCGTCGACGCTCGAGCCCGAGGCGACGGGGAGGGAGGACGCGCCGCCGCCGCCGCCGCCGCCGCCGCCGCCGCCGCCGCCGCCGCCCCATCCGCTGTCGTCGTCGTCGTCGTCGTCGTCGTCCGCGGCGTCGTTCCACGCCGCAGCCTCGGACTTGAGGCGCTGCGTCACCTCCTCGCTCCATCCCTCGACCTTCTCGCCGAACGCGTCGTCGAGGCGGTCGACCTCCTGCGCCGCCTTCGCGGCGAGCTCCGCGGCTTTCGCGCCCGCGTCCTGGAGCTGCTTCCCGATGTCCCCGAACCATCCCGACATCGCGTCGTGGGGGGGGGGGGGTCGCGCGCGATGACCACTGACGTGACCGCTACTTGGACGAAGCGAAGTTCACAACGTTCGACTTGCGCTGGCTTCGATGACTCGCCGGCGGAGCAGGTCGTCGACGACGATCGTTCTGATCGCGAAGCGTCGTCGCCGCGAAGCCACCTCTCCCGCGCGCGCACACGCGTCGCGTCCTCCGAACTCTTCTTCCACACGCCCGCCATGGCGCTGAGAAGAGCCAGCGCGCGCGCGCTCGATCGCATCGCGCCGGTGCGCCCCCTCCCCCCGCGCGACCGCGATCGCCGTTGTTACGCGAACGGACGAACGAATCCGTCCACTTCCGCGCCCCTTCGAAAAGTCGCGCGCGCCCTCCGCGATCCGCCGTCCTGACGTCCCCTCCTCCTCCTCCTCTCTCGCCAGCTCGACGCGATCGTCGCGAATGCGCGCGCGTTCGCGTCCTCCGCGCGCGCGTCCGAGCCCGCGGTGTTCGTGGACAAGGACACGAAGGTGCTCGTCCAGGGCTTCACCGGGAAGAATGGCACGTTTCACAGCCAGCAGGCGATCGCGTACGGCACGCGGATGGTCGGCGGCGTGACGCCCAAGAAGGGCGGCAGCACGCACCTCGGCCTCCCCGTCTTCAACACCGTCGCGGAGGCGAAGACCGCGACGGGCGCGAACGCGAGCGCGATCTACGTTCCGCCGCCGTTCGCCGCGAAGGCGATCCTCGAAGCCGTGGAGGCGGAGTTAGACCTCGTGGTGTGCATCACCGAGGGCATCCCGCAGCACGACATGATCCGAGTGAAGCAGGCGATGATGACGCAGAGCAAGACGCGGCTCATCGGTCCGAACTGCCCGGGGATCATCAAGCCCGGCGAGTGCAAGATCGGGATCATGCCGGGGTACATTCACACGCCCGGACGGATCGGCGTCGTGTCCAGATCGGGCACGCTCACCTACGAAGCCGTGTACCAGACGACGGCGTGCGGGTTAGGGCAGAGCACGGTCGTCGGCATCGGCGGCGACCCGTTCAACGGCACGAACTTCGTGGACTGCCTCGAGAAGTTCGTGAAGGACGACCAGACCGAAGGGATCATCATGATCGGCGAGATCGGCGGCACCGCGGAGGAGGAGGCGGCGGAGTTCATCAAAGCGTCGGGAACGACCAAGCCCGTGGTGTCGTTCATCGCCGGGCTGACCGCGCCGCCGGGACGACGGATGGGTCACGCCGGGGCGATCATCGCGGGCGGTAAAGGCGGCGCGGGGGATAAGATCGCGGCGCTGAAGGCTGCGGGGGTGACCGTCGTGCCGTCCCCGGCGGGCATGGGCGAGGCGATGCACCAAATCTTCAAGGAGAGGAAGATGGTCTGAGGGCCCCGGCCCGGGTCTGTGTTTCGAGGATGTTTGATCGGCTCTCGCGATGAAATACTCCTTTAAAACATTTTTAATCGGAAAATCCCCGATCGATTTGATCGGAGTGCATAACTGTATCCTACTATCGGAGTCCGCATACAACGCGAAACCGTAACAGGTAGGCTTTGGTCGAAAGGACAGCAGACTAAGCACTACGTAAATAAACTACCTAACCTACGGTGCTATCTCTTCTATCGTCGCCTTCATCACGTCGCTCACGCGCATCCGCACGTTTTCACACGTCAGCGTCTCCAACCCGGGAAAGCACGCGACCACCGCGGCGGCGACGTCGACGTTTTTTTCGTCGCCGCCGACGACGACTTCGTACGCGCCCGCTTGCCCGCACCCGCGCGCGAGCCGCATCGCGCGCAGGCGCACCGCGGCGGCCTCGCTCGGATCCGTCGGCAATAAGACCGCGACCCCGGGCTCGTGCCACGCGTCCGCGCCGCCCGTGGGGTCGACGGAGCGCGATTGGAACACCGCGCGCGGCGCCGGCGCCGGCGACGACGACGACGCCAGCCGCGCGCGCAGCCGCGCGTGCCTCTCCGCGTTGACGGCGTCGTCCGTCCGCTTTCCCATCGGATTATAGGCGGTCAGGACGACGTACGTCCCGAGAGGCAATACGGTATCCGTGCCGATATCCGTCGGAGTATCCGTCGACTCGGCGCGTCGTATGGTCACCCAGTGGTCGTTCACGAGAATCGACAGCGCGGGATTCGCCCAAATCGGCGCGAGCGCGCATTGCTCCTCCTCCGACGGTAACGTCCACCTTCTGACCGTTTCATTCGCACCGTGCGCGTCCACGACCTGCCTCAGAACGTCCGCGACGGCGGACGCGTTCGCAGCCTCGTCCCACGCCAGCGCGGCCGTCCTCGCGCGCGCGGCGATCGCCCGAAGCGCGTCCGCGTCCGCGAGCGCGCGTCGCGCGACGTCCGCGACGCCCGCGACGCCGCCGCCGCCGCCCTCCGCCGCCGCCGCCGCCGTCCAATCCGCGCGCACGAACGCGTCCTCGAACCCGACCAAGCCCGTGCACCCCACGCCCCCGCCGCCTTGGACGATCGACGGCGCGCCGAACGCGGCGGCCTCGACGACGGTCATGCCGTACGCGTCTCTCGCGCACGGATGGACGTTGAGCGTCGTCCTCGAGAAGACGTCGCGCAGCCCGCGCGCGTCCACAAAGTCGGCGACGACTTTTCCCTTTCCGCCGGACGCTTCGACGAACCTCGCGCGGATGTCGTCCGCGTACGCGCCGCTCGTGGACGCGCACAGCACGGGCGTTAAGGAGGAAGCGGTGGTAACGCACGCGTCGTCGCCGTTACGTCCATCGTCGTCGAAGGTTCCTCGCGCGCGTAACTCGCGGACGAGGTCGACGAACCGCTCCGGCTCCTTCTCCGGGGAGAGCCTCACGACGCACGTCACGTACCGTCGTCGCGGTAACGCCTCATCTCCATGCGTTTCTTCTTCTTCTTCACTCGCCATCTCCGTCGCCATCGCGCGGACGTCCTCGCGCAGCGGCGGGAGCACGACGAACGGCGCGACCGCGGCGCCGCGCGGCGCGAGCCGCGCGGCGACGAAGTCCGCGTCGTCTTCGCACAGCGCGACGACGGCGGCGGCGCCCGCCACCGCGGCCGCCTCCAGCGCTCGATGCGTCCCGCGCGCGTCGTCCGTCCGCGAGAAGACGCGGAAGTTGGAGTACACGAACGGCGGTACAGGCTGCTGCGAGATCGAGCTCGGCAGCGCGTCGCGGAGCGCGGCCCACGCGGGGTAGGACGACCAGTCCACGCCGAGCACGACCTCCGGCGCGTGCGACGCGATCGCGCGCGTGATCTCGCGCGACGCCGCCGCCGCGGACGCGAACGCCGCGTGCCCGCACGACGCGTCGAGCCGCCCCCACGTCGCCGCGGGGACCGGCACCGTCCGCACGATCGGTCGGCTCGCGTCGTCGTCGTCCGCGGTGGGATCGGAGGCGGCGGATTCGGCGGCGGCGTCGTCGAGGTCGTCTGGGCGTCCGGAGACGACGAGGACGCGATGCCCAGCGCGCGCGAGCGCGCGCGCCTGCGAACGCGCGTACACGCCGTTCCCGCTGAACGTGCTCGCCGCGAACTCGAGAGTGATCACGAGCACGCGCAGCGGCCGCGGCGGCGGCGGTGGCGACGCGGGGGCGGCGGGAGGGACGCGCATCGCGCGTGCCCCCGCCCGACGCGCCTCCGCGTCGCGCGCTGTCGCTTTCGCTGTCCTCGACTTCGTCTCTTCTTCGAATAACGCTCAACTCAAACATTCGTTGACGCGTGATCCGATCGGGCTCGCGGGTGACACATGTCAGGCCGACCGGTCGACGATGAAAACGCACAGGGCACCGCGCGGATGCCGTATGGGCAATTAGTCAGACAAAATTTATCGCGTCGAGCTTCTCGGCTGCGAAAGGTCCTTTCGACGGCTGAGGAGACAGCTGACGTGACACACTTTTGACTTTCCGACTCTTCGAGGTTGCGGACAGAGTAACAGGCGCGCGCGGCACGAACGAGCCGCCGCGCGAGGGGGGCGGACGCGCCGCGCCCGAGTGCGGAGCACGCGGCCATCGAGTCTCGAGGAGGCGCCCGCGCGCGCGGAGAGAGAGAAGAGAGCCGCGCGGCGGCGCGCGGCGGCGGCGTCGAAGGATCTGGGCGTCGTCCGTTCGCGTCCAGCAGTTCGGGAGAATATACCGTCGCGTCGCGAAAGGTCCGCTCGGCGAGATGACCGCCGTCGACGCGGACGCCGCGGCGGCGTCGACGCCGGACATCGCGGAGATCCGCCAGCGCGCCATGCTCGAGGCGCAGATGCGGGCGCGGATGAGCGCGCTGCCGCGCGAGACCCCGGAGCAGGCGGAGCGCGCGCGAAGGATGGCGCGCGCGAGCGTGAACGCGCAGGCGGAGAACGCGCTGCGCGCGCGAGCCATCGCGGCGGCGCGACGGCGCGCGAAGAAGGACGGCGTCGCGCGCTCGCTCGACAGCGGGATCTTCGAGATCGAGGACGAGAACGCGGTGCATTCTCACGCCCCGCGTCTCACCCGTCTCGAGGTCGCGGCGCGCGAGGAGGATAACGACCGTCGATCGTGTTGCTATCCGCGCGCCGCCGCCTTCGAAGGTACCGCTACTTCCTAGCTAGGTCACATGTTTAGCCCGGATGGGTCAGAGCTCAGTCTTTTTGTAATCCGAACTACACACACTTCCTAGCTAGCTAGTCTAGACCACGCCGCGGTGGGGGGGGTCGTCGCGACGCCACCTGCCCACCGCAGTCGATAAAACGCGCATCGCGTCACAGCTCGTCTCCACCTCCTCCTCCTCCTCGCGGCGATCGCGCGCGCTCCTTCTTCTTCTTCTTCTCCGCCGCCGCGGCTCTCTCCGCGGCTTCCGCGCGTCCCTCGCCCTCCAGCTCCCCCGCGTCTGCGCGAATCATCGCCTCGCCCGCGCGCGCCCTGCTCCGAGGATCGCCGCCGTTCTCGCGCATCTGATAAAGCACGTCACCCAGCGTCGGCGCCGCCTCCGGGTCGTCGTTCGCGACGCTTCCGCTGTCCTCGCCGCGCATGCGAAGCAGCCGCGGCTTGTGTTTTCTCCCCGCCGGGAACAGCATCACGGTCGGTCCCGAGACGTGAGAGCCGTACGGGTGCGGGACTTCGTTTCTCTCCGCGTCGATTCGCGAGATCGTGACGGTCGCGTCCGTGTCGTTACATAACGCCTTCGCGGCGGTCGAGAGGACGTGAACCGTCGCGGCGTCGATGTTCGGGTTCGCGGTCGGGAACGCGAAGTACACGAGCGCGTCCGCGGCGTCGTCTGCGACGACGCGGCGATGAAAGTCCGCGCCGACGACGACGCCGATTTCCCCCGCGCGCGGCTCGCGCTCCGCCGGCGGCTGCGACTGATACTTCGGCTTCGTCCCCTCGAGTCTCTCGGACTCGGGCTGCCGCATGCCTTCCAGCTTCGCGTGCTGCTCTAACGCCTCAAGTTGGGGCGTTTCTAGACGCGCGATGGCATCCGCGCACGCGTACCTCGGCGCCAAGAGACCGCCCGACGTCGCGCAAAACCCCCAGTTCATGTTCCAGTCCTCCTCCTGTATCACCCTCCGGTACCACACGTCCACGAGAAGGTCCTCGTGCGCGTCCAGGATGTCGCGGCACGCGCGTCGGACGCGCGGCGACAGCTGTATCGCGCTCGCCGCGCACGCGTTCGAGACTTCCTCCTCGACGATGGCTTCGTAGCGCCCGTAGGACGACGATCCGGACGACGACGACGACGACGACGACGACGACGACGACGACGACGCGTCCGCCCTCGCGCGCTCGTCGAACGCCCTCGGGAGGAGGTTCTCGTCGAGGTGCAGGACGAGCCTCTGGCACGCCGCGCATCGCGCGTCGCGAGACGCGAACGCGTCGCGGTCCTCGTCCGTGACGTCGCCCTCGGGCGGCGGAGGCTGCGACGGATTCGCCGAGCTCGCGGCGAACTTCTCCATCGACGACGACGACGACGACGACGCGGCGACGCGCGACGGCGACGCGAGGAAGAAGACGGCGACGACGAGCGCGGCGATCGCCGTCGTCGTCGTCCGCTTCCGCGTGCGCCCGCGCGACGACGCGCGGTCGGGCATCGTGGACGCGGCGCCGGCGACCTCGCGCGCGCGCGCTCGAATCTGTCCAGGTAGTATCATACCTCAATCCCCACGACCCGCGCGCGCGCGCGTCGAAGAACAGATCAAGATCCTTCATATCGCATCGCGCCGCGCGACGCGCCCACCCCGCGCGAGGCAGATGCGAGCCGCGTCGCCCGCGTCGACCCCCTCCTCGCGCGTCGCGCTCGGCCGCCGTCAGCGCGCGCGCCGCGCCCCTCGCGCCGCGCGACGCGTCGCCGACGCCTCCGCGCGCGCGCGGCGCGACGACGATGCCGACGTGAACGCATCCTCATCGACGAACGCGAGGAGATCGGCCGCGCCGCCGTCCTCCTCCTCGCGCGACCCGATGACCGCGTCCATCGCGTCCATCGCGACGATCGCGACGATCGCGCTGTCGTCGCCGCATCTCCCCGCCGCCCTCGCGGGCGGCTACGGCACCAGCCTCTCGTACTTCGAGCGCCTCGAGCGCGAGCGCGTCATCTCGGAGGAGCCGCAGACGATGGCCGAGCGCGACGCCCGCGCGGGCGCGCGCGGACGCCTCGCGGCCGCGCCGTCGCCGTCGTCCGCGCGCGGCGTTCCGCTGTCGTTGAACGCGGCGGACGACGGGACGGAGGACGGCGCGTACTCGGACTTGTTCGTGAAGTCGGATCCGGTCGGCGACGGCGCCGCGGAGGACGAGAGACGAAACAAGATCGACGTGAGACGATGGGGCCGAGCCGCGTTTCAGTGGGGCGTCATCGCCGCGGTGGCGATTCGAATGCGCCAGGCGAACGACCGCTCGTCGAAGGTGACGAAGCGGCTAGGTCTCGAGGGCGCCGCGTCGAAAGCGCTGATCGGCACGCGCTGGAGGCTCACGCTAGACGTCGGCCGCGAGCGCGGAACGTGGATGCCGCCGAGTTGGGCCGCCAGCGGCGTGCGCGTCATCGCGCCAATCGCGATCGAGCTCGCGGAGGGCGGAGTGACGCGCGTCGTCGCGACCGGCGCGTTCTTGCCGATGAAGCTGTCCGAGGGGAGGTGGCGACTCGAGGGCGACGCGCTGAAGTTTGACGTGCTGATGACGACGGGGATGGAGAAGGGCGACGTGACGCTGCCGGCGAACGAGTCGCTGCACTTCCGCGCGAGCGCGTGGGGCGGCGCCGTGAGCAGCCGGGGGACGCTGCTGCTTCGGCAGACGCGATGGGGGTTCCGCAAGGAGTGGCGGATGGTGGGTGTGTTTAAGGCGGAGAAGCTGAGCGACGGCGAGGACGGCGTGGGCGACGACCAGGATTACTCGGGGAGCTCCGTCTTCGTCGACCTGCCGCCGATGCGCGTGAAGCAGAGTGAAGTGCGGTGATGATAAACCGCCCCCGCGCAGTCCAGTCGCGCGCGTCGCCGCGTCGTCGCTCTCATCTTACTGTAGTCTATCGTATTATTATTACCAATATTATTACTAGTGTGATCCCCGCGCGCGAATGTAGGGCGAGCGCGACCGACGAAACGCTAATACCTGCAGCACAGCCGCGCGTGAAGAGGCGACGCGTCACGCGCCGCCGACGCCGTCGTCGAACGCGTCCACGAACGCCTTCACCGACGCCTCGTTCGCCTCCATCTGCTCGATGGTCTCGCTCGCGCACACCCTCACGACGTCCTCCGCGTAGCTCTCCCGCGCCTCCTCCGCGATCGCCTGGAAGATCTCGCACTCCACGTTCTTCGTGATCTTCGCCTCGGCGTACCCGCGCGCGGCGAGTCGGTCGTACAGGATCGAGTTGTCGCACGTCAGGACGACGACCAGGTCGTACCATCGCTCCGGGAACAGGTCGCACGAGTGGTAGTCCGCGACGATCCCGCCGTCGCTCGCGCCGAGCTTCTCTTCCATGTGATCCAAGACTTTGTCCTCGTCGATGACGTGCGTGTCGAGGTCTTCGTCGAACGACTCGCACATGTCCTCGCGCTTCGCCACGGCGCTGACGTCGTAGTGATGCATCCCGCACGCGGCGGCGACGCGCTCCGCGAGGGAGGTCTTCCCCGTGCCGGGGGTGCCGGTGATGAGGACGTTCGGCCGCGCCCTCGGCGTGGCCGCGGATTTAGATTTCGGCATGCCGCGAGGAGGGGCGGGGGTGGGGAGGAGGGGGATCGAGACCGTGCGGCGCGGCGCGTAGACTGCGCGGCGGCGGCGGCGCCACTCGAAATAAAAAGTGGCGGGCGCGGCCGCTTCGTCGTCGCGTCGTCCTGTCAGCGAATTCCAATTCATTGCGAGCCGCGCACATGGGATCACGCCTGCCGTATCCCAACCGCTTCTACGCGGCGGTCGGGTTCGCGGCGTCGCCGCCCGTCGGCGCGAAAGCCGTGAGCAACGACACGCGGTTGCTCCTGTACGCGCTCTATCAGCAGGTGCGCGCGCGCGGTCGCCCGAACGATCGTCGGACGCGTCCTCGCGTTTCTCCTCCTCCCCGCCTCGCGCGATTCCTTCAGATCACGCGCGGCAGAACGACCACCGACGAACGTCCCCTCCCTCTACTACGCCGCTCGTCATCTCAGGTCACCGCGGGCCCGTGCGTGGACGCGAAGCCGTGGGGATGGAACGCGATCGAGACCGCGAAGTGGCAGGCGTGGACGACGCTGAAGGACATGTCCAAGCCCGACGCGATGCGACACTACGTCCAGACCCTCGAAGAGGAGAACGCGAACTGGTTCCAGCTCGTCACCGACGGCGAAGATCCCGCGCGCGTCGCGGAGGTGACCACCGCGGCGCAGAAGGCGGCCGAGGCGATGATGGACGTCACGGGGAGGTACACGAACGTGGACGCGGACGACAACGCGCGCGCGGGCGAGGAAATCGCGTCCACGAGCGAACGATCTCGATTGAATAAAGCGATCGACGCCGACGCCGACGACTCCCCGACGACGACGTTCGCGCCGACGAAACCGAAGTCATCGCCGGCGCCGTCGCCGTCCAAGCGCGCGATCCCGACCGCGAACACGTCGCTGGGGCGCTTCCTCGGGAAGATCTCCGGCGCGGTCGCGAACGGCGCGTGGAGCGTCGTGAGCGAACGCGTCTCCGGCGACGTACCGCGCGGGAGGTACGACCACGCCGCGGTCGTCGTCGGAGACGAGCTGTACGCGATCGGCGGCACCAGCGGCGGTCGGCGCGCCGGGGACGTGCACGCGCTGCACGTCCCGACGCTGACGTGGAGGAAAGCGGCGGTTCGAGGAACCGGAACCGCCGCGGGAGAAGATGAACCGTCACCGTCGTTCGGGAGACGGTCGGGGCACGCCGCCGTCGTCGTCGGCGCGAAAATCGTCGTCGTCGGCGGGTTCGAGGGGAGAGATCCGCGCGAGGCGGACGACGCGACGTGCGACGTTTGGATCCTAGACACCGCGTCCGCGGCGCCGTGGCGGTGGCGAACGCTCGCGCTGCGCGGCGGCGACGACGCCCCGCGGGCGCGCGGCGGGCACACCGCGACGGTCGTCGCGCGGCGCGGCGCGGCGACGTCCATCGTCGTATTCGGCGGGGAGGATCTCCGCGGGCGTCTGCTCGGCGACGTGCACGTGTTACGCATCGACGACGACGTGGAGAAAGGTGGCGCGGAAAAAGGTGGTGGCGCCTTCACCGGGTCCTGGAGCACCCCCGGCGCGGTGTTCGCCCCGGCGTCGTTCACGCCGAGGAGCCACCACGTCGCCGCGTATTTCCACGGCGAGGTGTTCGTCTTCGGTGGCGTCGCGAAAGGCGGCGCGGGGAGAGAGGTGCGTTCTATCTCACACTGGTCCCCATACGACCGCGTCGGCGTGGTGAACGCCGATTCTTAAGGACTTTTGCCGGCGCATCTCTCCGCCCATCACCCCCCGCTTTCAATCCCCGCCCTCGACGCCTTTCAACTCCACTTCTGACGCCTTTGAACTCCACCCCGACTTCGCTTTGTATGGAACGACCCAGACGGACGCGCTCTTCGCCCTCGACGTCGACCTCATGGCGTGGCGCGAGGTCACGCCGCGCGGGGATCCCCCGAGCGCGCGGATCGGCGCCGCCGCGGTCGTGACGGACGGGTGGTGGTTCATCGCCGGCGGCGGCGGCGCCGGCGGCGCCGCCGCCGACACCGCGGCGCTGCGCGTGTCCCGAAGCGACGGCGTCTTCGAGTGGGTGCGCACGGGGAACTTGAAACCAGGGCACGCGGTCGCGAGCGAGGGGTTGACCGTGTCGAGCGCGCACGACGGCGCGGCGTTGATCGCGTTCGGAGGGTACGACGGCGAACGGTACGGCGCCGACGTCAGCGTGTTGTGGAAGCCGACAGAGTCCGAGACGGTCGCGGCGAGAGCCGCGGAGATTGAAGCCGCCGCCACGAAGGCAGCCGCCGCGGAAGAGGACGAAGACGAAGAGGAGGAGAGCGGCGAGCGCGCGCGGCTCTTCACGAACGACGTCGTCGCGGCGTCGTCGAACCCGATGGGCGGGATTTTCGATCCGATCGCGCTCGCGGCCGCGAGGAGTCCGCGCGCGCGGTCGCCGCGCGCGAGCGCGGGCGCCGCGGAGGCGACGTCGAAGTCTTCGCCGGCGCCAGCGACGCCGCGTTCGCCGCGGGGTGTCACCGCGCGCGGCGGCGGCGACGCGGGCGGCGGCGACGACGACGACGACGTCGCGTCCTTGCGCGCGCGCCTGGCGATGTCCGAACGCGACGCCGCCGCCACGAAGCTCGCGTTGTCGGACGAGCAAGCGAAGACGTTGCGGCTCGAGCTCGAGGTCGCGCAGCTGAGGAAAAAGATCGGGGAGTACGAGGAAGCGGAAGCCGCGGCGGCGACGCGGAGCGCGCGAGCGCGCGCGGCGAGGGAGGCGGAGGACGAGCTCGCGGGCGGCGGCGGCGGCGGCGGCGGAGGGAAACGGCGCGGGTTGTGGGGATTCATCGCCGGCGACGCGCCAGAGTACGAAGAGAACGCGTGACGCCGACGCGACGAGATGCGTTCTATACACTGGTTCCCATACGACCGCGTCGGCGTGGTGAACGCCGATCCTTAAGGACTTTTGCCGCCGTGTCTCTACGCGACGCGACAAACTCTTCGTGACAATAAACTCTTCTTACAGCGTGCGCGTGCGGTACCCCCTTCATAACATCTCAGGGGTCAGTCTCCGCCGGAGAGCCCCTTCACGAACTTCTGCAGCTCGCTCGAAAACCCGCTCACTTTCTGGAACAGGTCGTACTGCACGCTCTTCTGCCACGGCTGCGCCTCCGGGAACGGCAGCCCGTAGCCAATCGTGTACAGAATCCCAAACACCCCGCCCAGCCCCCCCGTGTTCCCGATCTGCTTGTCCATGACGTACCCCACCGTGAGCTGCTCGCACTCGCCGCGCGCGTTGAACCGCATGCTGCACGCCTGCGGCGGCGCCTCGACCCTCTTCCCGGTCGCTTTCAAGTTGCCCCCGACGAGATCCCCGGAGTTGACGCCGACGAAGCGCGTGTCGTACCACACGCGCGACGGCTCGAACGGGTCGACTCGAAACGCGTAATAGTTAAACTTCGCGTCCGGGAACCCCTCCTCGATCTTGAACCCCGCGAACGCCTCGAGGAACCTCTCCTTCGGGAGCGGGCCGACGACCGGGGCGACGAACTGGAAGTCGGACGCGAGCAGCGCCGGGTTCTCCGCGCCGTTGTTCGCCGCGAGGATCGCTTTCGTCTTCGCGATGAGATCGCTCGGGGCGATCGCGAACGAGGACGCGGCGAGCATCGCGGCCTCGTCCACCATCTGCTCCGCGCAGAACACGTCGAACTTCGCTTTTGACTCGGACGTGGACGCCTCCGCCGACGTCTCCGTCTCCGTCTCCGTCGTCGTCGCGGAGAGCCCGACGCCGCGCTTCGGCTTGCGCGCCGAGGACTTGGACGGCGAGGAGGGGGAGAGGAGGACGGACGCGGGCTTCCTCGCGCGCGCGGCGACGGCCTCGTCGTACCGACGCGACGACGCGGTGTGCGCGCGGGATGCGGGCGCGGCCGCGGCCGCGGAGACGGAGAACGCGATGGACATCGTGCGCGTGGGTCGTGCGTCGCGCGAGGCGTTTTATGATTCATCAGTCGCCCTCCCCGGAAAAGCGAGCGTCGACGTCACCTCCGACGCTCCAGAGCCACCCGTCTCCGTGCTTCAGTTTTGAGGGGAAAGCTCATACGATTTGAAGCCGGGTTTTCGTACTACGCGCAAAACTACTCGACCTCATCTATCGTGACACACCTCGAACGTGCCGACTCCGCGGGAGCCGTCCGCAGTCGTCGCGCGCGCGCCGCCCCCCCCCCGCGCACGCGCGATGCTTCGACGCGCCGCGCGCGTCGCGGCGGCCGCCGCGGCCGCCGCGGCGCGGACGCGTCCGTCGCCCTCCGCGAGCGCCGCTTCGACGGCGTCGCACTCGCGCGTCGCGACGCCGCCGCCGCGAACGACGTCGGACGTCGTAGTCCGCGGTCATCGTCATCGGACCTCGACGACGCGCCCCGCGTGGCGTCGCTCGATGACGACGACGACGAGGCCACCGCCGCCGCCGCCCGCGTCGTCGTCGTCGTTCGGAGCCAAGCTCCGCGACGAGCTCGGAGCCTGCGTCCCGGGCGTCGTCTTCGCCACCGCGGTCTTCGTCGCCTCCGCGGAGGTGGCGTCGCGCGTCTCGATCGCAACCGGAACCCCCGTGAGCGCCGTCCCGGTCGCGATCCTCCTCGGCGCGGCGCTGAACAACGCGCCGGGTGGAGTGAGCCTCGTGCCGTCCGCGACGCGCCCGGGGATCGCCGTCGCGTCGGGTCGGCTCCTGAAGGTGGGCATCGTGTGCATGGGCACGAAGCTCAGGCGCGTCCTCTCGCGTGTTAGTTGATTAGTATCACACGTGCGCCCCTCGCTTTCATCACTTCATCGATCGATCCCGACGCCGCGACGCCCGCCTCGCGACTCCGACTGACGCGCCCCCGCGCTCCAACCCGACGTCCCTTGGAACGCGACCCTCCTCCACACCACATACAGCGCGACGGAGGTGGGCGAGCTCGGCGCGTTCGCGGTGCCCGCCGCGCTGACGTCCGTCGGCGCGGGCCTCTTCTTCATCCCTCGACTCGCGGCTACCTTTTCGCTCGCGCCCAAGCTCGGGAGTCTTCTCGCGGCGGGGACGTCGATATGCGGCGTCACCGCGATCGGCGCGCTGTCGCCCGCGATCGCGGCGACGCAGGCGGAGACCGCGGTGGCGGTCGCCAACGTCGTCGCGTTCGGAACCGCGGGGATGCTGACGCTGCCGTACGTCGCGCGGTACTTCTTCGCGGATTGCCCAGAGGCGGCGGGGTTGTTCTTAGGGCTCGCGGTGCACGACACCGCGCAGGTCATGGGCGCGGGGATGGCGTACGAGCAGCGGTACGGCGACGAGAAGGCGTACAAGGTGGCCGCGGTGACGAAGCTGATGAGGAATTTGCTCCTCGCGGCGGCGATACCGGCGCTGGCGGCGGCGCACGGCAAAGGGGGTTATGGGGTGAAGACGGCGGCGGCGATCCCGCCGTTCCTGCTCGCGTTTCTGAGCGTCTCCGCGCTTCGAAGCGCGGGCGACGCGTACTTCGCGTCCGCCGCCGCGGGGTACGACGACGAGGAGAAGGAGAAGGAGGAGGAGGAGGAGGAGGAGGAGGAGGAGAAACTGAAACTGAAACGCCGCGAGACGTTAGAACGGCGGTGGCGGACGACGGTGAAGTACGTCGGAGGGGAGCTCGCGCCGACGTTTGTGGGCACCGCGCTCGCGGGCGTCGGGCTCAGCACGTCCGCGTCCGTGGTCCGAGGCGTCGGCGCGACGCCGTTCCTCGTCGGCGCGGGCGGGGCCGCGGTCGTGGGAGGCGTCGGGTTGGCCTCCGCGTTGACGCTGGCGAGCGTCTTGCCGAAGTATCGAGCGCGACAGAGCGAGAAAGAATCCGCGGCGGCGGCGGCGAAAGCGAAAGCGAAAGAATTCGCCGAGTAGACATTCAACCCTTTTAGTAGCTAGCGAGAAAGGACACTACGGCGGCGCGTCCATCAGAACCACGACTTGTTCTTCTTCGCGAGCTGCTCCGCGAGCGACGCGAAGTCGTCCGCGTCCGATTGCATCGCCGCGGTCTTATCCTGCAGACGCTCGAGCTTCTCGCCTCTCTCCGCGAGCTTGTTCCGCGTCTGTTCCATCGACGCGGCGACGCCGCTCGCGGTTTTGTTCGTCGACGACGTCGCCTTCGTTCCTTTGCCGTACTTGGCTCGGATGTCGTCCGCGCTCTGTTTGCCCACGGGCTTGGACGTCGAGGCGGCGCCGCCGCCGGAGGACGTTCGGAACAGTTCGCTTCTGTTCGCGTCGTCATATGACGACGCCGCGGACGCTTTCGGGGACTTCGTCTTCGCCGCGGGCTTCGCCCTCGTCGCCGCCGCCGCCGCCGTCGCCGCCGCCGCCGCCGTCGCCGCCGCCGCCGCCGCGGCGGCCCTCGGGGGCAACGACGGCGCCTTCTTCGCCCCGGTCGCCGCCGCCGGCGCCGGCGCCGCCCGCGGCGCCTCCTCCGCCTCCGCGAACAACATCGCGAGGTCGGCTTCCGTGAACACGCGGTTCGCGTCCTCCTTGTCCTCCGCCGGGAGCGACAGCTCCGCCATCTTCTCCTTCGCCTTGTCCATCGCGTCCGACGCTTTCGCTTTCGCGCGCTCGAAAAAACTCAGCGCTCGTCCCGCGCTCGCGCTCTTCTTCTCGCCGCCGCCGCCGCCGCCGCCGCCCGCGCCCGAGTCTTCGCCGGCGGCGCCGGAGCCGGATTCGTTCGCGGCGTCGACGGCGAGCGCCGAGAGCGCCGCCTCCGCGGCGTCCGCCGCCGCGGCGACGTCGTCGTCGTACAACACCACCCCGCTCTCGTTGTCCTCCACCTCGCCGCCTCGCTGCTTGCTCGGCGCGCCCGTGTACGGCGGCGATAGCGCGAGCTTCGCGACGGACGCGCCGCCGCCGGCGAGCGCGAGGACGACGCCGGCGTCGCGGCAAAACCCGATCGAATCCGCCGCGGAGAGCGGCGGCGTCGGGCCGACGATCGCGAGCGGGACGAGCCCCGGGAGCGACCAGGTCATGAGCCGTCCGTGGCTCGACGCCGCCGCGATCGCGGCGACGCGCGGACGGTGGGTTCCGTCCGCCGATTCGGCTTCGGCTTCGGCTTCGGCTTCCGCGTCGCGCGGGACGACCACGGCGGCGGCGACGAGCGATTCCTCCGGGGTGACTTTTTTCACCGTGTGCCGCTCGCCCTTCGCCGCGCCGTTCGCGGGGTACACGCGAATCGCCGTCGAGCTCGCGACGCCGACGAAGGCCGTGTACGCGTTCAGCTGTTGGTCACCGCCGTCGGTCGCGAGCGACTGACTCCCGCGCGGAGTGGGGGTAACGTTCGTCGGTCGACCGTTTTCATCCGTCGCGTCCCACCACAACGTCGTCGCCGGCGTCGTCGCCGCGTCGCCGCCGGGGCAGACGCCGCCCGCGGTCAACGGCGCGACCGCGAGCGACGGCGACTCGCTCTTCGGGCGCGCCACCTTCCCGATCAAGCGACTGGCGTAGTTGCATATAAACCCAACGCCGGAGGTGGACGACGTGACGACGAGCGCGTCCGAGGCGCGCGCGTCGAACGCCGCCGCCGCGGAGACGGCGCCGGTCCGCAACTCCTTCTCTTCCTCGCTCTCTTCCGCATCGCCGACGCCCTCCGCGTCGCCGCCGACGTCGCCGCCGCCGCTCTCGCGACGCTTGCGCCACGGGTCGTTCACCGGCTCGTGCCCGACCACGGGCGGGCAGAAGTGCATCGCGCTCACCGCCTCCGCGGTGCCGTCTTTCCGCGTGAACACTGAGGGCCGTTCCATACAAGCGAACGTCGGGGTTGAGTTCATAGGCGTCAGTTGGAGTTGAAAGGCGCCGAGGGCGGGGATTGAAAGCGGGGGGTGGGCGGAGAGACGCGCCGGGCAAAGTCCTTAAGGATCGGCGTTCACCACGCCGACGGGGTCGTATGGGGACCAGTGTATAGAACGCGCCTAAGCCGAGGTGAAATTTCATCTCCCCGCGCGTCAAGTCCGTCACCGTGACGTCGCCGCTCGCGTCCCCGACCGCGAGTTTCGCGCACCTCGCGTCCGTGACGATGCACGTGATCGGCGCGGTGTGCACGCCGAGCTCGCCGACGAGCTTGTACCGCACGCCCCCGTCCGACAAAGCGTTGTCCGACAAAGCGTTGTCCGACGCGTCGTCCGACGACGACGACGCCATCGCGAGGTCCAACGACGAATCCAGCTGCCGCACGAGATTCGCCTTCGCGGCCGGCACGGGCAGCGTGGTGTGCACCTCCACCGCGCCGGACGCGCGGCCGATGAACAGCAGCGCGCCGCCGAGGGCCACGTGGCACCGCGTCACCGCGCGGTCTCTCGGAGACATCCCCGCGTTGATCCCGGGTCGCGCCGTCGCGATTTGCGTCAGGCGGCCCCCGCCTTCGACGGCGACGCGCACGGCGCCGCCGCCGCCGCCCTCCGCCGCGGCGACGACGTGCCGCGTCGCGGCGCCGTTGCCGTTCCCGCGCAAAAACTCTCTGCCGCCGGACATCGGCCACGCGCTGCCCCATCGTTTGCGTTTCGCCGCCTCGCCGTCGTCCGGATTCGCGGCGGGGGAGAGACCGACGAAAGCGTCCGCCGCGATCGCGATGGACGGGATCGACGTGGGGTCGATCCTCGGCAGGAGCTCCAGCGCCTCCGTCGTCGGCAGCGACGACGCGGACGTGGGCGTCGACGGCGCGTCGCCGAACCCGGTGAGCGACGGATCCGCCCGCGGGCTCTCGCCGCCCGCCGCCGCCGCGTCTGATGATGAAATTTCGTCGCCGACGCCGTCCGCGAACGCCCGCACGTCGTGCACGTGCAGCTGCCCGCCCTCGGACAAGATCACCGCGCTCGCCGCGGTGTCGTGCCTCCCCGACGGCGGCGCCAGCGCGCCGGCGACGACGGGCCCGAACCACGGCAGCGACGCCGTCGGGACCCCCGCGCGCGGCGCGAAATTCTCGACGTCGCGATCAAACGCCAGAGACGCCACCCTCACCGGGTCCAGCGACGCGAACGGCTCGCCGCCGATGACCGCGATCACGGCGTCCGCCGCCTTCCCGTCCTTCGCGTACGGCGCCCCGACGCCCCCCCTCGCGCGCGCGAGGATCGCGCGGCACGGCGCGAACTCTGTCTCGTCGTCGTCGCCTTCCGAGCCGTGCGGGCGCCACGCGCGCGTCGCCGATATCGCAAACGGCTTGGCGCCGCGGCGTCGATGCGCGCGCGCGCTCGGTAGCTTCCACAGCGTCACCACGCCGTCGTCGTGCGCGGTCGCGAGGGACGTCCCGCTCGCGCCGACCCACTCCGCGGCGCGGATGGGACGAGACGAAGAGCTCGCCCTCGCCGTCGCCACCGGCCGGCGGCGATGCAGGTCGAAGAGGACGACGTCGCCGCATTCGTACGTCAGCGCGACGCGGCTCGCCTCCGCGCCCGGTTGCGGCGCGATCGCGACGAGCGGCGACGGCGTCGCGAGCGCGTCGCCCGTGGCGTCCGCGCGCGACACCGCGTAAGCGCGCGGCGAGAGCACGCCTCCCGCGTCCGACGCGCCCGGCTGCACCGCGAGCGTCGCGAGCCGGCCGTCGCTGAGGCGCGTTCCATACAAGCGAATGTCGGGGTGGAGTTCAAAGGCGTCAGATGGAGGAGTTGAAACGCGTCGCGGGCGGGGATCGAAACCGAGGGACCCTGGGCGGAGAGACACGCCGGGGTTAGAGAAAGTCCTTAAGGAACGGCGTTCACCACGCCGACGCGGTCGTATGGGGACCAGTGTAAGATAGAACGCGCCTCAAGCCGACGAGCACGAACGGCGTGCGACGCATCCCGCAGACGCACGCGACTTCCTCCGGCCCGGGCCATCGCGTCGCGGCGAGCAACCGCTGCGCGCGGAGGCACCACACGTCGATGCCGCCGTCCACGGAGAGGCGCACGACGCGCGCGGTGGCGGGGACGAACGCGACCGATCGCGCGGGCTCGACGTGCGACGTCGTCGCGAGGAGCGCCTCGAGGCCGTTCCCGCCGAGGATCTTCACGCCGACGTCGACGCCGAGCGCGAGCAATCGCTGCGTCGCGTCGTAGTCCGCGCACGTCGCGCTGTGGACGCCGCCGTACTCGGCGACGACGCGCGGGACGACGCGCGGGGTGCCGAGCCGGCGGGAGAGCTCGTCGACGTTCGGCGACGCGTTGATGGCCTCCGTGAGCGTCTTGCTCAGCTTGGTGAACATTTTGACGACGACGACGCGACGCGCGCGACGACGGCGACGGCGACGGCGACGGGGGCGCGGGCGCGGGGGTCGATCGCGGCCGCGGAGTGATCCGCGCGAGAGAGAGGCGACGCGCGACGACGTGCCTTCGCCACGGCGTTCGTCTCGCGCCGCGTATCGAGCGCCCCGCGAAGTGTTAGCGTCGGACGGAACGAGGCGGGGCTTTGAAAACGCGAAGAGCTGTCGAAACGCGTGCAATATGATAGAAGTCGGCGCCCGGCGAGATCGGCGGTCACTCGATCCGCCGCGCCTCTCGACCGAGCGCCGCCCTCGCTTCCGTCGTTCGAAACGGCGCGCGCTTTCCTCTCGAGCGCTCACGTGCGACGCCTCGCGCAGCGGTGCGTCCGCGATCGGCCGCTCGTTTCCCCCTCGAGCGCGGCGATCCGACCGATCGATCGGCGCGCGATTCGATTCCGCGATCGGCGCGGCGGCGCCGTCGCTCTTCATTCACGCGTTTTACTCATCACCCACGCGCCCTACCCCCCCGTCGCGTCGAAATCCATCCATCCACAGCGCGCGCAGCTACCTCCCGTCTTCGCGCGTCACCCCGCGCGCGCGGACCCTCGGCCGCCCGACGTCGCGTCCCTCGCCGCTTCGCGTCATGGCGCCGTCCTCCGATACTAATGCGGACGCGTCCGACGAGCGAAAAGACTCCGATCTCGTCCTCGAGAAGCCGGACAAGATCGGCGACGCGGACTTCGCCAACTACTTCTGCACGTACGGATACCTGTACCACCAGAAGGACATGCTCGAAGACACGCAGAGGATGAACGCGTACTACGACGCGGTGAGGAAAAACCCGCGCGCGTTCAAGGACAAGGTGGTCCTAGACGTGGGCACGGGCAGCGGAATCTTAGCCATCTGGGCGGCGCAAGCTGGCGCGAAGAAGGTCTACGCCGTGGAGGCCACCTACATGGCGACGCACGCGCGGAAGCTCATCGCCGCGAACGGGCTCGAGAACGTCATCACCGTGATGCAATCCACGGTCGAGGAGGTGGAGCTCCCGGAGAAAGTGGACGTGATCATCTCCGAGTGGATGGGGTACTTTCTTCTGAGAGAGAGCATGTTCGACTCGGTCATCGTCGCGAGGGATAAGTGGATGAAGGAAGGCGGGGCGCTGTTCCCGTCCAACGCGCGGATGTTTCTCGCGCCGATTCGCACGAACACGGCGAACCAGAAGTACAACGACTTCGAGGACTCGTGCGGCGGGTGGGACAACTTCGTGGACGACACGCGGGAGAATTACGGCGTGGACATGTCCGCGCTGACGGACACGTTCGAGAAGGAACAGCGCGAGTTTTTTCTTAACACCTCCGCGTGGGTCGACATCAACCCCTCGCAGCTCCTCGGCGCGCCGTGCGTCGTCAAGGAGTACGACCTGAACGTCGTGACGCTGGAGGAGATGAAGAGCGTCGACGCGCCGTTTTCGTTGACGGTTTTGGACGCGATGGGGAACTCCGAGGTGGGCGCGTTCGCCGGGTGGTTCGACGTGCATTTCAAAGGGAGCAAACAAAACCCGTGCGAGACCGAGGTTGAGCTCACGACCGCGCCGGACGCGAACGGGGCGACGCACTGGGGGCAGCAGGCGTTCTATCTCGAGCGCGGGATCAAACCGAGCGACGGGGGCGCGGTGTGGGGTCGTTTAGAGATGAAGCGGAAGCGCGAGAACCAGCGTCTGTACGATTTGAAACTCACGTGGGAGCAAGGGGAGGAGCAGGGGAAGCCGAACGAGGAGATCGGCGAGAGCAGCAACGTGTGGCACATCGAGTAGGCGCGGCGAGGTATGGTATGGTATGGTTTCATCGCGTGGATACAGTATCTAACGCGCGAGTTGTGATTTTTTTTGTTGATCGCGTTTCGTTTCGTCGTTCGTCCTCGCGCGCCTTCCCGCGCCTTTGGTCGTCGTCGTCGTCGTCGTCGTCACCACACGTCTGGATCGTCCTCCCTCACGTCGTGCTCGTCCGGCCGTCGTCGCCGCTTCACGCCTCGTCTCGCCGCGGCGGCTTCCCTCGCGCGCGCGAGCGCTTCCGCGCCGCCGGGCTGCAGCTCTCTCCAGTGGTGCGTCACGCGCACCTCCCCGGCGTCCTCCTCCGTCGCCGTCGTCGTCGTCGCCGCCGCCGCCGCCGCCGCCGCCGCCGCCGCGCCGCCCCCTCCGCGGGATTGGATCCGCAACCGCGTGAAGGGCTTGCACATGAAGTCATTCATGGACAGGTGCGCGTACAGGAGGAACCCGCCCGCGGCGTCCGCCTTGAGAAACTGCGAGATCTCCTCGTCCGATCGCAACACGAAAGCCTTGCCCGCGCCGCCGCCGCCGTCGCCGTCACCGCCGGGGGTACGATAGTAACAGTCCGCGGCCCACGACCCGTTGTTCGCCGGATTCTTCCTGATCGCCTCCCAACGCGACCACCCGCTCGGGACCGCGGGGACACAGCCGCAGACGTCGGCGGGGAACTCGGGGCGGTCGTCGTCTTCGTCGTCGCCTTCGCCCTCGCCCTCGTCCGACGACGCGTCGTCCGACGCCGCGGGCGCGGGCGCGGGCGCGGGCGCGGGCGCCGGCGCCGGGTCGGGCTTCCGGAGGACGAACGTCAGGCGGAGGCTCGGCGGCGCGACGGGGTTCATCGGCGGCGTCGGAGGCGGCTCCTTCTTCTCGTCGGGCGGCGCGTCGACGTTCGTCGCGACGGGCGCCGCCTCCGCCGCCTCCGCCGCCGCCGCCGCCTTCTCCGCCTCCTCCGCCTCCTCCCGCTCCGCCGCGTCCACGACGTCGTCCACCGCTTCCTCGATCACGTCGTCCACGATCGCGCACTCTATCTGATAGAGCGATTCCCCCGCCGCCGCCGCCGCCATCGCGTCCAACGATGACAGCGACGCCAACGGCGCGTCGGTCGCGAGCGCGACGGCGGCGGCGGCGAGGTGATCCACCGCGCACGGCGCGTTTTCTTCGACGTCGTTCCCGTCGTCGTCGACGAACACGACGCCCGCGGCGCGGGCGTCGCCTTCCCTCGCGGCGTCGAGCGCGGCGTCGCGTAAATCCTTCGCGGTGACGACGGCCGCCGCGGAAGTCGTCCAGCTGTACTTTCCTCTCGTCGCCGGCGCCGCCGCGAGCCGCGCGCGCGGCGGCCGCCCCCTCGACGCGCGCCCTCTTCCCGGCGGCGTCCCTAAATCGCGCCACCCGCGGCACGCCTGGCACTGCGCCCACCGCGGACGATCGCCGTCGCGCGCCCGCGGAATCTCCCGCGCGAAAATCGCGTCGGCGGCGCCCGCCGGACGCTCGGCGCCGTACGCGACCCAGACGCCGGTCCACGCCGCGCCGCGCGCGCGCCCGCGGCTTCTCCCTCCGCCCGCCGTCTCCGCGACGACTTTCTTCCTCGACGCCTCCTTCGCGGAGAGGACTCTCAGCTTGAGTTGGAGCTCTTCTAAGCGGACGCGCTCTCTGAGGAGGCGCACTTTCCGCGCCTCGCGCGCGTCGTCCGAGTCGGAATACTCCCCGTCGGAATTCTCCTCCTCGTCGCCGCCGTCGTCGTCGTCGTCGTCGTCGTCGTCGTCGCCGTCATCCCCGCCGCGCGTCTCCTTCCTCTCGTACGCGAGCAAACACGCCTCGTAGTTCTTCCTCATCTGGAACCCCGCGCTCGTGAGACCCGTCAGATTCACCCCGAGCGTCCGCGACACCTCCAACCACCGCTTGTGTTTGCACACCTCGTCGTGCCCGCCCCGCGCGCGCACCTCCACGTACACCTTCCGAAGGTCTAACGCGCGATGCGCGAAGATTGGGACGCGGAACTTCACGCCGCGCGCGTCGTGGAACGCGCGAAGAATGCGCTCGAACGACGACGACGACGACGTCGACGCGTCGCCGCCGCCGTCGCGTCGTTCCGGTTCCGGCGGCGACGCGCGCTCCACCTCCGGCTCCGCGCTCGTCCCTCGCGTCGGCGGCGGCGTCGGCTTCTTAGAGTGCGTCGCCGTCGGTTGGTTCCCCGCTCGCGCGCCGCTCGCGGACGGCGACGGCGACGCGGACGACGGCCCGCCGCCGCGCACGAGCTTGACCTTGAGCTTCCCCGGCGGCATCCGAGGCGGGGGCTGCGGCGGCGGCGCCTCGCGAGGAGGGCCGAACGCGGCGACGCGCTTGTCCAACCGAGCCATGCCGACGCCGCGGCGGCGATTATCGACCGACGATGATGATCACGCTTCCGCCCGCATCGCCGCGATGGACGGCGTCTCGCGCTCGACCTGCGCACACCACGGAGAGACGACGACGTCCGCGACGCGTCCCTCGAAATCCTTCGCGCCGACGTCTCGTCGCCGACTTCCAGCCGACCTCGTCGCCGATTTCGGCTCCGCGCTCGCGGATCTGAGAGCAGGCGTCGGCGTCGGCGGGAACGAGGCGAGGACGGAAGCAGACAAGACAGCAGCAGCACTGCCACTCGTCAATTCACTTCCATGGGCGCGAGCGGCTCCAAGGCGACCGCGGCGGCGGCGACCATCCCCGTCGCCGCCGCCGCCGCGGCGACGGAACCGTCCTCGAGCGACGTCGGCGGCGACGCGCCCGCGCCCGCGCCGACGTCGACGCCGACGCCGACCGCCCCCGCCGCGCCGTCCAAGGCGACGAAGGACGGCGAGTGCGACAAGCCCGTCTGCGCGGTGAAGGACGACATGAAAGCGATGCTGAAGCGCGCGTCCTCCTCCTCCTCCTCCTCCTCCTCCTCCTCCTCGTCGTCGTCGTCGAAACAACAACAACCGTGCCCGGTGGACAAAGAAGAGCTCGGCGTCGGGACGTGGAAGCTCCTGCACACGATGGCGGCGTACTACCCCGACGACCCCAGCGCGCTGCATCGCGTCCAGGCGAGGCGATTCTTCGACGCGCTCGGGTTGCTGTACCCGTGCGACCACTGCGCCGCGGACTTCCGCGAGGACATGGGGAAGACGCCGCCGAGGGTGGAGAGCCGCGAGGCGCTCTCCACGTGGCTGTGCGAGCGGCACAACGAGGTGAACGAGAAGCTCGGGAAGAAGCCGTTCAAGTGCACGATGCGCGCGCTGGACGAGCGATGGTTAAAGGGAGACTCGTCTTGCTGGCACGGCTGATGAGAACTTACCGCAGAACTCACGCGCGGCTCCTTCGATCCCATGCACCTAACTAATAAGATAGCAAAGTCTCTACCTCCGACATCACTCCGCCGCTTCGGTCGCGGCCTCGCCCTCCTCGCCCTCGCCCGCGCCGGTTGACGTTCCATCTTCCTCCGCGGCGGGACTCGCGGCGACGTCCAACACGACGGCGACGTCGCCGCATCTTCCGTGCTCGCCGTACCCGCCCTCCGTGACGTCCCTCACGCGCAGGGTGTACAAACCCGCGGCGACCTCGCGGTGGACGACGACGTGACGCAAGTCCACGACGCCTTTCTTCGTGCGGACGTCGCCGCCGTAGATCTTCGCTTCCTCGCCGTAGACCCACTCGGCGGCGGCGGTTTCTTCCGCCGCCGCCTCGAACGACTGCGTGGGTGAAGCGATCGGTCAGTCGAACGTCTTACCGGTCAAACGTTGAAAGGGAAGCGCGGGTGAAGAGTGACGACGGGAAAAGTCCTTAAGGAACGGCGTGCACCACGCGAACGGGGTCGTATGGGAAGCAGTCTCACCTCCGCCGCCGCCTCCGCCGCCGCCTCCGCCGCGGCTTCGCCGTCGCCTTCGCCTTCGCCTTCCTCGCCCTCCGCGGGCGGTTCCGGCTCCGGGAGCGACCGCAGGCCCGCGTGGAGGGTGCATCGGAATAGACGTCCGGTCTCGTGCGTCGCGATCTCGCCGCCGCCGTCCTCGGGAGGCTGCACCTCCTCCTCCTTCGCCTCTTCCTCCTTATTCTCCTCCTTCGCCTCTTCCTCCTCCTCGCGCGCCTCCGCGCCCGGCGCGTCGTCCGCCTTCGCCTTCTCCTCCCTCGGCTTCGGCTTCCAAGGCACCCGCGCTTGAATCACCGCGCTGCCTTCCGGGATCGCGCTCCCCGCGACGCACGCGACGGGCGCGTCCTTCGTGCCGACCTCCTTCGCCTCTTCTTCTTCGCCGCCCGCCGCCGCCGCCGCCGCCGCCCGCGCCACCGTCGGCAACGCCACCGGAACGCCGCGCGCCCACTCCCCGACGTAGCTCACCTTACTCTCCGCGTCGTACGCCTCGCCGTGGCCGTGCCGCGACCCCTCGCTCCACTCGCCGTCGTACGTACTGCGTTCGTCGGCGTCGGCGTCGCCGAAGGGCGTCGACGACGTCCCTCTTCCGTGCCGCGCGCCGTCCACGACGTCGCCCTCGTACCGCTCCCCCGTCGCCTTGATCGTCTCCACCCCGCGCCCGTTCGGGCGGTTCCGCGCGAAGTCGCCCTCGTACGTGTCGCCGTTCGCGCGCGTGAGCGCGCCCTTCCCGACGCGGACGTTGCGCGCGACGTCGCCTTCGAACCACTCGCCCGACGGCGACCAGTGCGTGCCGTACCCGTGCATCTCGCCCTCGACCCACGCGCCGTCGTACCACCTCCCGTCCGCCCACGTCTTCTTCCCGATCCCCGTCATCTCGTCCCGTGTGAACTCGCCGTCGTACGAGCCGCCGTCAGAGAAGGTGAGGATCCCGCGGCCGTGCTTCGCGCCGTCGACGAAGCCGCCCTCGTAGCGTAAGAAATACCCATTTGGGTAATCGAAGACGCCGTGGCCGTGGTGCACGCCCTTCGCGGTCGCGTCGCCGTCGTATCGCGACGTGAGCTCGCTACCGCGGACGGTGGAGCCGAACCGTCCGGTAGAGGACGTGTCGAACGTCGTCGCGCCCGCTCGCGACATCGCGGCGACGCGTCCCAAATACTGATGCAATTTTCGACGACGACGACGCGACGCGACGAATTAATGAACTCGCGGTCTCTACTCGAGCTGCCGCGCAGACCGCCATCACTTCGCTCGCGCGCGCTCGAGGCCGACCGCGCGACGCCGCGCGCGGAGATCGAGCTCACGAGCACCCGTCGTCGTCATGGTCAAGCGCGGACGCGACGACGATGGCGCCGTCGCCCCCGCTCCCGCGGTCGAGCCCGCGCGACAGCGTCACTACCTCGCGATCCGCAGGGCGCTCAACGATCAGTTCGTCGCGGACCTGACGCGGAAGCTGACGCAGAATCCCACGCGAAGGTTCGACAAAGAGGTCGCGGACTACGAGAAGTTCTCCAGGCAGCTCCGGGTGCGTCTCGAGCCGCGAGAATCGTCTTCGACGCCCCGCCCGCGGCGCGACGCCGAACTCGAGATTTCGATCCCCCGATTTCGTTTGTTTTTTTCTCTTCTCTGAGATCCGTTCCCCCGTCCTCCCCATCCCCACGACAGAACGAATACGCGGACGTCGCCGCGGCGATCGAACGAGACGCCGCGGCGACGTTCGCCGCCGCGGGCGCGATCGCGAAGCACGGCGAGTCCTTCCTCTGGGGCACCGGCGACGCCGGGCAGCTCGGATTCGGCGAAGACGTCATGGAGCTGTCCCGACCGAAACTCCTCAACACGCTGCCGTCAGCGACGTCCGTGCTGAAAGTCGTCTGCGGCGGCATGCACACGCTGTGGATCGTCGACGGTGGTCTGGTGTACTCCGCGGGCGTCAACGACGAGGGCGCGCTCGGGAGGAAGGCGAACAAGGATGACGCGGACGCGGAGACGAAGCCCGGGCCCGTGCGACTCCCCGGCGGCGCCGCGGCGGTGGATCTCTCCACCGGGGACTCGCACGTCGCCGTCGTCACCTCCGACGGCGCCGTCGTCGCGTGGGGCACGTTCCGGACGTCGAGCGGCCTGTGGGCGTTCACCCCGGATCAGCAGATCGCGCGGAGTCCGATCACGGTGTACTCGCCGGAGACGCGGGCCGGGCGGATCGCGAGCGTCGCGAGCGGGACGGATCACGTCATCGCGAGAACCGCCGGCGGCGACATCTACTCCTGGGGCTGCGGCGAGAAAGGACGGCTCGGGCGCCTGCCCCCCGCGGACGCGGACAACACGAGCAAACGTGACGCGTCCGCGAAGACGAAGCTGCTGACGGCGTGTAAGGTGCCGAACCTCCCCGAGGGCGGCGTCACCGCGATCGCGGCGGGGAGCTACCACTCGTTGGCGTTCGTCGCGGGCGCGAAGGAGGTGTACGCGTGGGGTTTGAACTCGTACGGGCAGCTCGGTCTCCCGTACGACATGAACGAGGCGGGTTCGAACCAGGTGGAGTACTTCCCGAAGCGCGTGGCGCCGCTGTGCGGAAGAGGGTTCGTCGCCGGCGACGGCGGGGAGAATCACACGGTGCTTTTGGACGACGGCGGGAAGGTGTACGCGCTCGGTCGAAGCGCGTACGGCCGACTCGGGCTCCCCGGGATCGACGAGATGAGCGACGAGCCGCGCTCGAGCGCGGAGCACGTCGTCGGGGTCTCGAAGAAGGCGACGAAGGTTGTCGCGGGAGGGAGCACGTCCGCGTGCGTGACGGACGACGGCGACGCGTACGTGTGGGGGTACGGCGATTTGGGGCAACTCGGCCGCGGGTCGGATCAGTCGGACGCGTTGACGCCGGTGAGGCTGGCGCCGACGAAGGCGATGGGCGGTAAGCGCGTCGTGGACGTCTCGTTCGGGGGGCAGCACACCGCGGCGTTGTGTTTGCCTCCGAAGGGGAGCGAGGGGACGCCGATCGCGAAGCGCACGCGCGGCGCGGGCGCCGCGTGAGAGGTCGGAAGCGAGAGAAGACGAGATGAGCGACGGCGCGCGCGTGCGGCGAGGCACGACGACGGACTATCATGAGCTTAAGGGTACGAACGAATGCACTCGCTACGAATTAAGATTATCATAATAAATCGTTTATGGACGCTAACCTCGCTGCGTGATTAATGCGGCGCCGCGCCGCGGCCTTCCGCGACGATGAGCCACACGTTCGATATCGATATGAACGCGCCGAGGAGGAGGAGGCCGACGCCCGCCGCGACTTCGAAGAGCGCCTCGCGCGTGAGCGTCGGAACGCCGCCGCCGCCGCCGCCGGTCTCTTCGTCGACGTCGTCGCCGAGCGCGGCGCCGCCGCCCGGTAACAACGCCGCGCGCATCTCCTCGTGCGACGACGCCGTGAACGACGACAACGCGCCGTTCGCGCCCTTCGTCCGGAGCCTCCTCGGCGCGCTCCCGCCTCTCTCCTCGCCTCCCTCGCCGCCGCCGCGACGCCGCGCTCCCGCTCGCCGCCGCGCGACGACGACGCTCCACGCCGGTCGCGCGCACAACAACCCCGGAACGACGAAGATCACCAGCACCGCCGCGGTGCTCCCGACCACCGTGAACACCGCGCCGAGGTCCGACACGAGCGACGCGACGACGCCCGTGGCGAAGACGAACGCTATCGTCTGCGAGACGTGCCTTCCGAGCGGCGCCATCCCCGCCGCGCGCTTCGTCCACCCGAACATCGCGCACAGGGTGTCGTCGAGCGCGGCGCGGTGCGAGAAGTGGTTCATCGCGTACGACCCGATCGCGTTTACTCCCATGAAGAGCTTACATGTGATGATCCACGTGTTTTTTTCGTCGTAGCTCTCGAGCATGTTCGACTCGACGTCGGGGTGCGCGTAATGCGCGGCGGTTCGATTTGGGTTTCGATTTCGATTTCGACGCCGCGATGACGACGTCGCCGTCGGCGTCCGCTCCGAAAACGTTCGCGCCCCCCGCGCCCGCGCCCGCGCCCGCGCCGCGTCGTCCACTCGGCGACGATACCAGCGACCCTATCGACGACGACGGCGACAGGCTCGACCGCGGCGTCGCGAACCCGGGGAACGCGTCGTCCGCGTCCATCGGCGCGAGCGGCGGGCGGGCGTCGTCGTCGCCGTTTTCGTTTTCGTTTTCGTTTTCGTTTTCGCCGCCGTCGTCGTCGTCGTCGCGCGGATCGTCGCGGAACTCCGCGAACACGCTCAACACCTGCACGTGCACCTGGAACGCGAACACGAACACGGGCAGCGCTCGGACGACCCCGGCGCCGAGCTTCCACGCGACGACGACGTCGCCGCCGCCTTCGCCCTCATCGCCGCCGCGGATGAGTTTCTCGCCCGCGTCCACGACGACAACCGTCGCCGTAAACGCCAACGCGACGACCGCGAGCGCGCTCGCGGGCGCTAAGCTCTTCGTCCGCCGGAGCAGCGACAGCGGCAGCAGCGCGAAGACGCTCGCGAACGTCACGACGCCGACCCTCCCCGTGGGTTGTGCGAACGGCGGGAGAGGGAGACGACGACGAAGCATACGCGAGAGCCCCGGGAATCCGTTCGTCGCGGCGTCCACGGCGTCGACGACGATGACGACGTACGCCACGCACGACCCGAACGCGAAGAGCATCAGCGCGACGCCGACGACGTGCGCGAACTCGGGCCCGAACGCGCGGAGGACGAGGGCTTGGTACGAGTCCGCGTTTGAACGCTCGCCGTGCTTCACGATGACGTCGACGGTGAAGATCGTGAGCGATGCGGCGACGAGGACGAGGACCGCGCCGAGCGCCGCGCCGCACTCGCGGACGCCGTCGGGGATGGAGAGGATGCCAGCGCCGACCGCGCAGTTGCACAGGTTGACGATCGTGGTGGGGAAGCTCGCGGAGCGGGTCGAAGGCGTCGCGGCGGCGGCGGCGGCGATCTCGCCGTCGTCGTCGTCGTCGTCCTCCTCCTCATCTCGACGCGTCGTCATCTGCGCGCTCGTCTCGTCTTGAGCTCCTCGCTAGAACCCCGGGGGCAGGCGCCCTTCGCGCGCGAGCTTGAGACGCTTTCGCTCTTGCGTCGCCGTGAAGACGGCGAGGAACGTGGCGACGGAGCAGAACCCGAGCGCGGCGACCGCGACCCGATCGCTAAGCGCCATCCGCCGGCATGCACGGGTCGGGGGCGCGGTGGAGCCCTCACCGCGTGCGCACGGGAAAATGAACGCGCTGAGCGCGCGCGCGTCGACGAGACGAAAATCGATCGACCAGACGAATCGAGCTCGCGATGGCTGATGACATCTGAATTGCCTCCAATTCAGTAGCCTCCGCACCGCTCGACGCGTCGCAGCGCGCGCGATGATGGAACTCGAACCCCTCCCCGCGCAGTCCGGGGTGAACGGCCTCGACTACGCCTGGTCGCACTCCCTCCGCGAGGAGGTCGAGACGCACGGGTCGTACTGGGACCACCACGACAAGCGTCGCGAAATTTCCGACGCATTGTCGCGAAACGCGGAAGCGTCCACGGAGCCTCCGAGGGAGGAGAAGTGGGCGAAGCGGCTGCGTTTGCGGCTCGAAAAGCTGAACGGCGATCCGGACGACGCGGACGACGCGACGACGCCGAAGATTTCGCTGGAGGACGTCGCGCGCGAGGCGATCGACGGCGAGCCCATCCCGCGCTCGCGTCGCGTGAAGATCACGTCCCCGAGAAGCGCCATCGCGTGCCTCGTCACGGGAACGAATCCAGACGACCTCGTCCCGCGCGTCCCGACGCCGTCGACGGGAACGTACCCGGAGAGCGCGTACGAGGACCAGGCGTTACTACGCGCGGAGAAACGCAAGAGGCACGCGAACGCGACGCGGCTCACGGCGCTGCTGGACAAGCGCGACGCGATGACGCGAGAGGATGTCGTTCGGTACCTGGCCGAGTTGGCGGACGCGAGGCGAGCGGCGGAGGCGGCGGAGGCGGAGGAGGCGCGGAAGCGAGAGGCGGAGATGGAGGAGGCGCGCAGGCTCGCGGAGGAGGCCGCGGAGAGGGAGAGGAACAAGAGGTTGCCGATCGTGGAGGCGGCGTACCCGACCCCGGCGCCGGAGCCGGAGGAGGAAGAGGAGCATGATTACGATCACTACGACCGCGACGACGACGCGGGGGGGCGACCCGGCGACGATTTCGAAGACGACGACGACTCCGACGCGGCGTCCGAATTTGACGCGTACGCGGAGGACTACGAACGCGCGCTGAAAGCGAAGCGCGAGGCGTACGCGGCGAACCACGCGGAGGAGCGGAAGAGGACCGCGAGGCGGCTCGCGGAGCTGACGAGGAAGGAGCTGTATCCGCCCGACGGCGACGGCGGCGGCGAGAACCAATTTCCAAACCGCGGCGGCGGCGGCGGCGGCGACGACGCCGGCGCGAACGGGACGACGCGCGCGAACTCGTTCCGAGGCCCGAAGCGCCTGATCGTGGACACGAAGATCGGCGCGCGCGTCAACCTGGGCGGGTCCGCGGCGTTCGCCGCGCCGACGGTGCGCTTTAATCCGCCGCCGGGCGCGAAGAAGAGAGGAAGAGTAAAAAGAAAAGGAAAGAAGAAGAGCGACCCCCTCGACGCGCCGATGTCCACGATGGAGAAGCTCAAGATCCTCGAGCGGCTCGTGGACGAGAAGAACGCCGCGGAGGCTAAGAAGCAGCGCAGAGAGAATCGCGCGCGGATGGACCGCGCGGGCGAGCTCGCGGAGGAGAAGTCGCGGCTGGACGACGCGGCGCGCGCGAGAAAGGTGCGTTCTATCTCACACTGGTCCCCATACGACCGCGTCGGCGTGGTGAACGCCGATCCTTAAGGACTTTTATCGGCGCGTCTCTCCGCCCAGGGTCCCTCGCTTTCAATCTCCGCCCTCGGCGCCTATCAACTCCGCTTCTGACGCCTTTCAACTCCACCCCGACGTTCACTTGAAAGGCGGAAGAGGCGGCGCTCCTCGCGGAAGCCGAGCGCGTCTCCGCGGCGAAAGCGCGCGCGAGGCGAGAGCAGGACGCGCGGCTCGAGGCTGCGGAGCGCAAGAGGGAGCAGACGCAGATGGAGACGACGCGGAAGTTTGCGCGGGTGAACACGCACACGGGCGGGTTTTCGGAGCCGCGGACGCCGCGGCTCGGCGAGCTCGGCGCGACGCCGAAAATTTCCGGCGCCGCGACGCGGCGGCGGCCGTCGAGCGCCGCGCCGTCGATCTCGCTCTCGCTCTCGTCGCCGCGCGCCTCCCCCGGAGGAGGAGGCGCGTCTTTGTTGGCGACGCAGGACAGCGTGCGGTCGTCCCTCGGCGCTTCCCCGAGCTTCGTCGCGGAGGCGCCGCGCACGCCGCGCGGCGCCAGCGGCGCGTTCCCGTCGCCGCCCGACGCTCCCGGCGGCGGCAGCGTCGCGAGCAGCCCGCGACTCTCCCCCGGGAGCTTCGGGACGTCGTCGCGGTTCCCCGTCGCCGCCGCCGCCGCGATGCGTCGACCCGCGAGCGCGCAGCCGCGCGCGACGAAACCCGGCGCGTCGTCGGTGGCGGAGGAAAAAGCAGACGCGCTCGCGTTGGAACGCGCCGCCGAAGCCGCGTTCGAAGCCGCCGCGATTCAGCTCCGGGAGGTCAAGATCGCGAAAGCGAGAGACGCGCGCGCGGCGATGGAGCTCGAGAAGCAGGAGCGGCGCCTCGCGGAGAGCGCGGAGCGCGCGGCGGTGTTACGCCGTCGAAAAGACGCCAAGACCAAACGCGACGCCGAGGCGCTCGCCGCCGCCGTCGCCGAGTCCGAGCTCAAAAACGCGGCGGTGAAGCTCCGACGCGAGGAAATCGCCGCGGAGCGCGCGGCCGCGATCAAACGCCGCGCGCTGAAAGCGGAGCAGCTCCAGGAGGCGGCGACGTTGAACCGCGCGCGCGACACCGCGACGCGCGCGGAGTGGCGGTCGTCGCTCGCGGATCTCCGCGCGGACAAGTTTGAACGCGCGACGAACGCGTACGAAACGCGTTTAGACGACGCCTCCGCCGCGATTCGCGACAAGCACGCGGAGGAGGCGCACAAGATCATCGGCCACAAACGCGAGATGAGCGCGAAGGAGCTCGACTTCGCGAAGCGGATCACGGAGCAGGCGCGGCGCGAGCGCGTCAAGGTGGAGGCGAGCGTCCGCGAGCTCAAGGCGACGGCGCGGCGGCTGCGCGTGCCCCCGGACGCGTTGCACGCGCCGGGGTCTCCCGAGGTGCGTTCCATCGCGGCCGCGACGCGAGGGAACCTTCCGAGGTCGCCGCGGGAGCACGATAAGAGCGACGCGGCGACGAAGCGCGTCGTGAAGGAGCTGGAGGAGAAGAACCAGGCGTTGGAGGAGGCGCTGGAGGAGACGCGGGCGAAGCTGGAGAGCGAGTTTGGCGCCGCGGCGGCGGCGGGGGGAGGGGCGGAGGGGACGCCCGCGGCGGCGCGGCGGAGGCGCGGGGCGCCCAAGCCCGCGGGACCGTACACCGAGTACACCACGCCGTAGACTGTGACGTTGAATAATAGTTCAACCCGTACACGGAATACACCACGCCGCGTCGAGGACGTAATGCGATGATGATATCGTATCTCGCGCGCGCTCGAGAACGAGACGTCGAAAAGCGAAAAAGCGTTGCGAAAAAGTGCGAGTGCTCGGCGGGCCACGTCGGGGTGGAGTTGAAAGGCGTCAGTTAAAGTTGAAAGGCATCGAGGGCAGGGATTGAAAGCGAGGGGTGGGCTCAGAGAAACGCCGGGAATTGTCCTTAAGGATCGGCGTTCACCACGCGAACGGGGTCGTATGGGGACCAGTGTATAGGACGCACCGCGAACCCGCCGCCCCCAGGCGGGCGTAAAAAGCGATTAGGTTTACGTACCCCGAGAGGGTCACCGCGACCACAGCGCGGCACACGCTCGAACGCGCGGCCGCGATGTCCGCGTCCACGTCGGCCGCGGCCCTCGCGCCCATCGGGCGGCGCGCGCGCGCGCGCGGCTCGACGCGCGCGCGTCCGCGCGCGAATGCGCGCGTCGTCCGCGCCGCCATCGCGGATCCGCCTTCTTCGCCAAATACGCCCGCGCGATCCGACGCGGAACTCCGCGCGGAGCAAGCGCTCCTCGCGGGCGACGACAGCGACGGCACGATCGCCGGGTTCACGAAGCTCGAGTGGAGTTGCATTCAGACCCCGGCGAGGTACCTCGGGAACGAGATCGGCGCGGTGCACAAGCCGTGGACGGAGGCGGAGGTTCGGTTCGCGATGGCGTATCCGGAGATCTACGAAGTCGGCGCGTCGAATCTCGGGCACGTCGTGCTGTACACGATCTTGAACGACCAGCCCGGGATGCTGTGCGACCGCTCGTACCTCCCCGGTCCGGACATGGAGGCGCTGCTGAAGGCGAAGAACCGGACGCTGTTCGCGGTCGAGAGCAAGCGGCCGTTGACGCACTTCGACGCGCTCGGCATGTCCCTCGCGTACGAGCTGTCGTCGGTGAATCTGCTTCAGGCGCGTTCTATACACTGGTCCCCATACGACCCCGTTCGCGTGGTGAACGCCGTTCCTTAAGCACTTTGCCCGGCGTTTCTCTCCGCCCATCCCTCGCTTTCAATCCCCGCCCGCGGTGCCTTTCAACGCCAACTGACGCCTTTCAACTCCACCCCGACGTTCGCTTGTATGGAACGACCCTCAGATGATGTCTCTGTCCGGGGTGCCGCTGACGTGGCGGGAACGGGACGATAAGCCGGACGAGCCGTGGGACGTGGATGACGGCTCGTGGCCGTTCGTTTTCATCGGCGGACCGACGGCGACGAGCAACCCGGAGCCCGTCGCGGATTTCGTCGACTTCGTCGCGCTCGGCGACGGCGAAGACGTCATGCCGGAGATCGGCGAGTCGATCAAAAAGAGCAAGCGCGAGGGCCTCAACCGCGAGGAGACGCTGTTCCGGCTCGCGACGGAAGTCGTCGGGATATACGTCCCGCGGTTCTACGACGCCCCGAAAGGCTGGGGCGGCGCGGTGTTCCCGACGCGAGAGGGCGTCCCTCCGCGGTGCCTTCGCCGCGTCGCCGACCCCGATCCGTCCATGCAGATAGGGTTGGTCCCGTACGTCTCGACCGTGCACGACCGTCTCACGGTGGAGATTCGCCGCGGATGCACGCGAGGGTGCCGGTTCTGTCAGCCCGGGATGCTGACGCGGCCGGCGCGGGATGTTCCCCCGGAGAAGGTGATCGAGGCGGTGGAGCGAGGGATGCGGGACACCGGGTACAACGAATTTTCGCTGCTGTCGCTGTCGTGCTCGGACTACCTCGCGCTGCCGTCCGTGGGTTTAGAGATCAAGAACCGACTCAAGGACGAGAACGTGACGCTGTCGCTGCCGTCGCAGAGGATCGATCGGTTCGACGACTCCATCGCGGACATCCTCGGCGGCGCCGGGAAAGCAGGGTTGACGTTCGCGCCCGAAGCCGGGACGCAGCGGCTCCGAGACATCGTCAACAAGGGCTTGACGAACGACGAACTGTTACACGGCGTTCAAACCGCGTACGACCGCGGGTGGAGGAACGTGAAACTGTATTTCATGATCGGGCTGCCCGGTGAAACCGACGCGGACGTGCTCGGGATCGCGGAGACGGTGGCGTGGCTCATCAATACCGTCGCCGGGAACAAAGCGCGAAAGCGCGACCGACTGAGCTTGACGCTGACGCTGTCGAATTTCACCCCGAAGCCGCACACGCCGTTCCAGTGGCACTCCGTCTCCACGGACGAGTTCGAGCGCAAGGGGACGCTGCTGAAAGAAGCGCTCAAGAAGATCCCGGACGTGAAGAGCAACTGGACGAGCATTCGCATATCGGCCATGGAAGATTTCATCGGGAGAGGCGATCGAAGTCTCTGCCCGGTGATCAAACGCGCGTGGGAGCTCGGCGCGCACAAGGCGACGTGGTGGGACGGCCAGGACGAGTCGTTCCGGTCGTTCGACGCGGCGATCGAGGAAGCCGGGCTGACGTGGCGGTACCGCAAAGTCGTCAACGGCGAGTGGGACGTCATGGAGAAACTCGGGGACGGAGACTACAGAGGCCAGGGCGGCGGCGGGAAAGGCCGCGTCGACCGCGGCGCGCTCGCGGACGAGCGCCTGGACGCGCCGCTGCCGTGGGACCACATCGACACCGGGATCAGTAAGTGGTGGTTGAAAACGGACCTTCAGAAGGCGTTAGAAGGAATCACCGTCCCGGATTGCTCGCACTCCGGGATTTGCACCGAATGCGGCGTCTGCGGGGACGAGTTTGGCGAAAACGTCGTCGCCGCCGTCCCGCCGGTGCCAACCTTCGGCGGACACTACGAGCCCGACGGCCGACGCACGCAGCGCCTGCGCTTCCGGTTCACGAAGGACGGCAAAGAGAGCTTCATCGGGCACCTCGACACGCTGCGGTTGCTCGAGCGCGCGGCGAGACGGGCGGCGCTGCCGGTGAGCATGACCAAGTCGCCGTACAGCAGTCGGCCGCGCATCTCCACGGCGATGGCGTTGCCGCTGGGCGCGTCGAGCGAAGCCGAGATGATGGAGATCGTGCTCACGGAGCGCAGAGACCCGGAGGAGGTGAAGGCGTCGCTCGGGAGTCAGCTCCCGGCGGGGATGCGGCTGTTGGAGGTGGAGGACATGCCGGTGAAGTATCTCAACGGGCGGTTCATGGCGCGTCCGTCGCTCGAAAACGTTTTTTCTTTCTTTGTTCTTTTTCGATTCTCTCCTCGTTCGTTCGGTTTCTTCGACTCGACCTCGATCCAGAAGCCGATCGCTGCCGCCGACGCCGCCGATGCCGCTGCCGCGCGTCCGTTTCGTCACCGCGTCGGGGATGACGACCTTAATTAATTAGATGTTCGATCGGGGCAACTCATGAGACCAAAAACTTTACATTTGGCGATGATTACGGACCCGCGCGAGGACTGGAACGCGTGCGCAGCGGCGGCGGCGACGACGACGACGGCGGCTCACTCTTCTTCTACTTCTTCTTTCGCCTTCTTTCGCTTATTTTAACTCGACGAATACGCCGACGCTCGATCTCTCCTCTCGCAGGAATCCATGAACGAGCTTCTGACGCACGCGGAGTTTTTAGTGCACGTGGCGCTCCCGGGGGCGGTAGCCAAGCCGGGCATCGCCACGGGCGGCGTCGGCGGCGAAGCCCCGAGCTGGGACGTCGAAGGCGGCGGAGGGTGCGTTTTGTTTTTGTGTTTGCGTTTGCGTCTTCGTTTCCGATCTGTTTCTCGCTTTCGCTCGTGCCCTCGTCTGCGCGTGTCGTCGTCGTTGAACCACCGGTGGTCGAGGATTAAATCATTTAAAAAACACCATCTTTCGGATCTTAACGACATTGCTGATATTCAATGTACTAATGAGACCACCGGGACGACGACGACGACGATGGCGACGAGTTTATTCGCCTTGCTCTTCTTCGATCGAAACGAAACGAAACGAAACGAACTCCCGACGCCGGACTCACCCCCCTTCCGCCTCTCTCGCCGCCCGCCGCAGGTTTTTCGACGCCGGTAAAAACGGCGACGGCATCCCCGACGCGGAGATCGACCACGACGACGCGGAGTCCGCGGAAGCCGCCGCCGCCGCGGAGGCGGAAGCCGCGGCGGAGGCGGAATACGCCCAGTCCGTCACCGCGGAGGACTGGAAGACCTGGGTCGCCGCCGCGCTCGCGAAGGACTCGTTCACGATCACGAAGACGAGTAAAAAGGGCAACGCGCGAACGGTCGACCTCCGCCCGCAGCTGCTCGAGCTCTCTCACCTCGATCAGCCTTCGATCGACGCCGCGCTCGGCGGCCGGCACATCCCGATCCCGCCCACGCCGCAGCCCGGGACGGCGCTGCTGCGGTTCAAGGGCGAGTACACCGGCGCGGGGGGGCTGTCCTGCGACGGCATGGCGCGAATGCTGTCCTCGGCGGCGGGGAAGACGATGACGGTGCTGCACACGCACCGCGTCGGGATCGGCCTCACGGAGCCGAGCCCGCCAAAGGTGGACAAGCTGTGGCTGGATAACATCGTCCGCGCGGAGGCGTTCATGGGCCTCGAGCGGATTTGGGACCCCGCGAGCGGGGTGAACAACCGCGGGCACATGGGACCGAGCTCGGCGGGGGACCGGATCGATAATCACAAGGCGTACAGGCCGGCGGAGGTGGCGGAGACGGCGGATGAGAAGAAGAAGCCGCCGCCGAAGCAGAAGAGCGCGAGAGCCCCGGGGAGGAACGAGCGGTGGAAGAAGAAGTGAGCCGGCGAGCGAGCGATTGAGCGAGCGAAACGCACCGCGCTCGTCGGCGCTCTCGTTGTTATATTACAAAGGTAGTAGGTACTGTATCAATCGATCCGAACTCATCATCATTCGCGTCGCGCGTTCATCACGACGCGTCATCACTTCAGCCCGTTGAGGACGGCGTAGCCGGCGAAGAACGACGTGATGATGAGCCCCAAGTCGCCGACGTGCGCGATCATCGCGCCGAGCGTGCGCCCGTCCGGCCCCTTCGGGCCGGAGTACCCGCGAATGTACTCCACCTTGCCGACGCTCCAGATCGCGAGGAGAAGCGCGGACGTGATGGGGTGCACGACGCCGTTCGCGAGGCAGAGCGCCTGGCACGGGCCGAGCCACTCCAGGGTGTTCTGATGCGCGCGCTGCGTGCAGTTGAACTCCTTGTGGTGCTTGTCGCCGTTGATGCCGTCGCTCGCGTACATCTTCGGGTACTTGATGTTGTACTTCTTGCGCGCCATGCCGACCTGTCGGGGCGGGATCGAAGCAGAGAGGGGGCGATTGTTAGTCCTCTTCCTCGGCGGGGATTGCGCAATCGTCATCAAATTCGTGACGCGTCGCGAAGAGACGACGCGACGGACCTTGTAGCTGCCGTACAAGTGCGGGATCATCGCGACGCCGCACGCGATGATGCACCACGCGAAGTCCCTGCTCAGCGTGATCCCCGCCGGGGAGCTCTTAGAAAACATCGCGAGAGGCGCGCGCGCGAGTCGAATGGCGGAAGCACGTCGAGGATCTGGTGTTGACGCGCCCGTGTGATGACTCGGCACCCGCACCCGCGCCGCGCCAGTTTGAACCTCTCCAGCTCCGAGCTCCTCGTCACACCCAGGGGCGCCGCCCGCCCCCGGTCGTCGTCGTCGTCGTCGCGCGCGTCGCGATGAAGCTCGCGGAGTACGAGGAGATCCGCGCGCACATCACGTCGCTCCCGAGCGACGTCTTCCCGGACGCGGACGCGCTCCGAGCGAAGCACCCGTCCGCGTCGCTCGACGCGCTCGTCAGCATCTACAGCCAGGAGAGCTCGCGACGCGTGCGCGGCGCGCACGGGAAGCACCTGCGCGCGATCGGGTCGCACGCGGCGCGGTACGTCGCGGGCGAGGACGTGTTTCGCATCGCCGCGGACATCGACTTCCCGCCGTGCCAGCTCGTCCGCCTCCTCCTGGAGCATCTCCTCGGGCTGGGGCACAAGGCGGTCGGGCCGTGCCTGCGCGATCCGTTCGGTAAGATCCCGTCGTCGCCGCCGCCCGAGTCCCCCGCGGCGCGCGGCGTCCCGGGCGTCCCCGGCGTCCCCGGATCCGCGATCTGCGACCGATTAAAAGTCGACGTGGAGAGGTGCGTGGCGTGGGACCACGTCGCGTCGCCCGCGGTGGACGTCATGCGTCACGCCGCGGGGCGCGAGTACGAAATTCTTCTGGAGCGGCGGCTCGAGGAACTCCGAGTGCCGTTCGTCACCGAGGACGCGCTGCGCGCGGAGGGGCACGCGAAGACGCCGGACGTCAAGCTCACGCTGCCGATCGCGGTGAACGGGCGGATCGTGAACTGGATCGACAGCAAGGCGTCGTTTCTGGACCCGATCGTGCACGTCGAGAGAGGCGTGGACCAGTTCCAAGGGTACGTGAACAGGTTCGGGCCGGGGATGGTGATCTATTGGCTCGGGGTCATCGACGAGCTCGCGGAGGAGAGCGATGGGGACGTGTTCATCGTGGACGATTTCCCGGGGGACATGGAGATCACGAAGTTGAAGCTCATGGAGTGACGCCGCGACGAAGGGCAATTTTAAAAGTAGAGACTAGTAGCTGGTAGTTTTATCGCGACAGACGGTAGCTTAACGAACGAGACGCAACGTCGACGTCGTCAAGCGACGGTTCTCGAACGGGTGAGCTTCGCGCCGCCGCCGCCCGGAAACGCTCCCCCTCCCCCGCCCCCCGTCCACAACGCCTCGACGATCTCGCGCAGCTCCTCCGGGGAGTGAGTCACGTACTTCTTCGGGTTTTTCCGCGCGAACCCGCTGTCCTTGTACCTCTCGTAAAACGCCGCGTAGGCGTCCGCGACGTCCACGCGAAGCCGCGCGAGAAGCTTCGCGCGCACGTCCCCGTCCGGCGCGTTCCACCCGGGCCACGCGCGCCGCGCGTCCTCGACCGCGGCGTTCACCGCGGTGAACCGGTCTTTGATCGCCTGCCTCTCCTTATCGCTCATCGCGGCGGCGGCGGCGGCGGCGGCGGCGGCGACGGAGGCGTCCCCGGCGGAGGCGCCGCGCATGGCGCGGATCGCTCTCCCCCACCCCGCGTCGACGTGCTCAGCGAGGGCTTCGTCCACCTTTTCGCGCGCGGCGCGCAGCCACCCGTCCGGCAGCGCGCGGAGAAGCTCCTCGGCGTCCTCCACCGCGGACGCGACGCGATCGCACGCGACGGCGCGTAATAACGCGACGAGCGCGGGCGAGGCGTTGGTCGCCGTCGCGGAGGTCGACGCGCTCGACGTGGACAGGGACCGCTTAAACGCGGACGACGAAGAGGACGAGGACGACGTCGGCGCGCACGCGTTCGCGTCCATCCCGCGCGTCACCGCGTCGAGCGCGTTCACGATGAACGACGCGAGGTCCGCGCCGAGTTCGTTCCCGGCGTCGGCGGTGGCGGGCGGCGGCGGCGGCGGCGACTTCGTCGTTTCCGTCGCGCGCGCGGGCGCGGGCGCGGGCGCGGCTTCTTCCTCCTCGTCGCGTTCGGATTCCGAAGACGTGACGAACCCGTCGTCGCCGTTCGAGTTCGAATTCGAGTCGTCGTCCGTGAAGTCCAAGATGCCGTCCGAGTCGCCGTCGTCGTCGTCCTCCGCCTCCGGCGTCGGCTCCTCCGCGACGGGCGACACGGGCCCGCGCGTAAACGGCGTCGCGTGGACGCCGCCGCTTCCTCCGTCCATTTCGCCGCCGCCGCCGCGCCCGTCGCCGCCGCCGCTTCCGTCGCCGCCGAACAACACGTCCGCCGCGTTGGGATGCTCCAAGAGCTCCGCGCAAAACGCGACGACGCCGTCCGCGAGCCTTCTCACCTCGACGTCGCTCCGACCCGCGGCGGCCGCGATGGTCGGGATCAGCGTCCCCAACGCGACGCGCGCGCCCTCTTCGCACGTCCGCAGCGCGTCGCGCCACGCGTTGGCCGCGCGCCCGCCCGGCGCGAACGCGCTCTCGGTGCCCCACCGCAAACGCGTCAACGCCGCGTGCGCTCTGAGGGTCGGGTCGTTCCATACGATCGAATGTCGGGGTGCAGTTGAAAGGCGTTAGTTGGAGTTGAAAGGCGTCGAGGGCGGGGATTGAAACCGAGGGGTGGGCGGAGAGAAACGCCAGGAAAAGTCCTTAAGGATCGACGTTCACCACGCCGACGCGGTCGTATGGGAACCAGTGTATAGAACGCACCTCAGCAACGCGAACGTCTTCTCCGGCGACTTCCGGTTCACGTTGGCGCGGGCGAGCGCGTCGTCTCCGCCGCCGTGAGGGCCTCCCGCGCTTCCTCCCACGCTCGGCTGCCGTGCGAGGGTGTTCACCCATCCCAAGACGGTGGACGCGGAGTGTTCGAGGATGCGCGGGACGGCGTCGTCGGCGACGGCGGCGGCGGCGGCGGCGACCATCGAACGCTCCCCGCCGCCGTTCTCGTTCTCGTTCTCGTTCTCGTTCTCTCTGTCGTCGTCGTCGTCGTCGTCGTCGTCTAACCCGAACACCTCGCGCGCGAGCGGCGCTTCCAGCGCCCAGCGCACGCTCGCGTGCTCCAAAACGCCGATCCATCGCTCCGTGCGCGTCGTGGTGGACGCGCCGAGGCCGACGCCGCCGCCGCGCGGCGGCGGCGGCTTCGCGATCGCCTCGCCGTCCCTCAAGAGCGCGGCTAAGCCCTCGCGGTCGAGCGCGGCGCCGAGCGCGGCGCGCCGCGCGCTCACGTACGCGTCCCTGATCGCGGTCCGGACGTCCTTGATCGACGCCTTCCCGCCGCTCACCTGATGCGCGGACGCCGACCGCGCCGTCGCCGCGGCGAGCGCGCACCTCGACAGTTTCTTTAAAAACGGCGTCACCGCGCGGAGCTCCGGCCTCGCCGCCGCCTCCGCGCGCTTCCTCGCGGACGTCAGCGTGGACGACGGCGTGGACGGCGCCGCCCCGCCGCCGCCTTCTGTCGTCCGCGCGGGCGTCTTCGGCGACGACGCGAACGACGCGGTGTCGATCGGCGGCGGCGGGAGCGGGAAGACGAACCCGACGCCTCTCTCCTGGAGCGGCGGCGACGGCGACGTCGCGCCTCGCTCGTCTCCGGGGCCGCCCCCTCCTCCCCCCTCCGCGTCCTTCGCCAACCGCCGCGCGCGCGCGTCGTGCGCCGCGAGCTCCCTCGCGAACGCTTCCTCGCATCGCGTCAGGCACTCGTTCACGAGCTCGCCCGCGTGCTTCCACGATCCCTCAGCCGCTCTGTACGCGCGTCGCTCGCCGAAGAATCGCTCCGCGCCGACGAGCGCGTCGACGCGTCGCACGAAGTCGTCCTTCGCGCGCTCGTCCTCCCCCGGCCCGGTCCGCGCGAGCTCACCGACGGCCCACGTCGCCTCGAGCTGATCCAGCCATCGGTTCGTCTCGTTCTCGACGGTCGCGAGATTCGCGCTCGCGTTCGACAGCAGCGCGGTGCGCGCCTGCACGGGCGCCATGACGTCGTGCAGCGACCGGAGCTCCCCGTCCGTCTCCGCGACGACGTCGCGGATGCGATCGGTCGCGCGCTGGTTGTCGTCGAGGATCGCGCGCAGGCGCTTCGCGCGCGCGTCCATCGCCGCGAGGAGACGCGCGTCGCGAGCGCGGCGCGCGCGCTTCGCGTCTGACGCGACGCGAGAGACAGACTGGACGCGACTAGACTGACTTTTGAAACTGTCGTAGCTTTTCAGAGCGCCGCGCCGCGCCGCGCGTCCAGAGGGAGACGCGCCGACGACGCCGCGATGGCGCGACGGATCGACAGCGTGCCAAACATCGCGGAGACGCTCGGGGAGAGCTCGATGTCGCGCGTGCTCCCGACGCACCCGATCGCGCGGCGGAGGACGGCGACGGGCGCGGAGGACGGCCGCGCGAGCGCGGGCGCGGAGGCGAGCGAGGAACCGCCCTCGAGCAGTGGGGTGAGACGGACGCGCACCGAGCCCGTCGACGACGCCGACGGCGACGGCGTCGGCGGCGGCGGCGGCGACGACGGCGGCGGCGGCGACGACGGCGGAGGCGGAGGCGGCGACGACGACGACTACCCCTTCTCGTCGCCGCCGTCGCCGTCGTCGGCGCGCGCGAGCGAGGACGAGCGCGGAGTCGTCGACGAGCTTCCCGCGCTCCGGTCGTTCGCGCGGCTGCTTCGAGTCGTCTGCGTCGTCCCCTCGCGCCTCCCTCTCTCCGAGCGCGACGCCGACGCCGCCGCCGCGTTCGCCGCGAGCGCGCGGCGCGCGCGCGCGACCGAGGCCGAGGGCATCGTCGAGCTCGCGCCGCTCCTGTCGACGGCGACGCCGCCGGGGGCGTCCCCGCGCCGCCGACGCCGACGCCGCGCCGCCCGCGCCCTCGCCGACGTCTTCTGCGTCCTCGCGACGATGCTCCTCGGCCTCGTCGCGCCGCTGTATCGCGCGCGATATGAGGTCGTTAACGCCCCGGACGCGGCCGTTACCCGCCTCGACGCGAAAGCGTTCGCGTTCCTGTGCATGCACTTCTACGTGTGCTGGTATTCGCTGCAGGTGAGGTACTGCGCGAGGTTCTCGCTCGCGGACGTGTTGTTCATGCGCGCCGCGGGGAGCGGCGCGTGCCCGGCGCGGCACAGGAAACGGTACGACGACGCGCCGTCCACACGTTTTGCCACGCCATCTCCACGTCACCGCCACGTCATATCCACGTCACCGCCACGTCATCGATTCACGTTCCTCGTCCCGTCCGCAGCGTCCACGACGCGTACGTCGGGATCGTGAAGCGGCAGTCGTGGCGCGAGCTCCTCCGTCTGCTCCTTCCGTTCGTCGTGTTAAAACTCGCGGCTACCGCGTACGTGCACGTCGGCGGCGGCGCGCGAAAAGAGACCGTATCGTACGCCATCCCGGGGTGGTGGCGGCGGCGGCGGCGCGGCGGCGGCGACGCGGCGTCGTTGACGGGGGTGGGGAAAGCCGTCGCCGTGAGCGTCGGGTTCGTCAGCGAGAGTTACATGGCCGCGGTGTTTCTCACGACGTGCGTTCTGTTTCGTCTCACGTGCGCGCTCGTGCTCTTGAAACTCAACGCGTTCCTGGTCATGATGCGCGGGACCGACGACGACGACGACGAGGCGGCGGCGGCGCCCGCGGCGACGGACGACGACGACGACGACGACGACGACGACGCGGACTCGCTTCGGTCGACGGGCGCACCGCGACGGGAGCGCGACGAGACGTCGCGCGCGACGACGACGACGACGACGGCGGCGGCGACGGCGACGACGACGACGCGGTCGAACCATCGCGCGGTGATGAGCGAACACCTCAACCTCCGCTTCGTCTTGAACGCGCTCGGGAAACGTTTCAGGTTATTCCTCGTCCTCACGTTGCTTCTCACGCTCATCGAGACCGTCGTGTCGCTGTACGAGCTCGTGCTCGACTTCGCCGTCGCCGCGAAGAGATCAAGCGGCGGCGGCGGCGTCTCCGGCGTTATCGCCGTCCTCGCGCGCGCGGACCTCCTCCTGAACAACGCTCTGCATCTCGCGGGCATCGGGATGAACGTCCGCGCGGCGACGTTGATCACGCACCGGTTACAACGCGTCGTCGGGCATTTCTCGCAGCAGCACGCGGCGTACACGATGTTGGACTCGGACGACGACGACGACGATGGCGGCGACGACGAGGGAGGCGGCGGCGGCGACGACGACGTCGAGAATTCGCGCCGCCGCCGCCGCCGCTCGAGCGCTCGCCGCAGGGTCGACGCGTTCATCGAGCGCGACGCGGTGCTGGGACATTTCAGGGACCGACCGCTCGGGATATCCATCTACGGCTTCTTCGTGGATCGGTACACGATTCGGACGCTGGACGGCGTCGTGTTCGGTTCCGTGATTTTCATCGTGAGCCGCGCGCTCATGGACGCCGCGCGCGCGGACGGGGAGTGACGACAGGACGAATCGAAACGAATCGAATCGAAACGAATAAACGAATAAACGAATCGCGCGCAATCACATGACAACGCTCTCGCGGTCGCTCTCTCTCTCTCTCCATCGAACCACTATAACGCATCGTATACATACGTTACGTTTACTCCCTCCCTCACAAAGCCTTGGGTTCCCCCTCCGGGTGCGCCGCGATCAAGTCGTCCAACTCCGCGCGCACCTTCGCGACGACGTCGGCGGCCATGCGATCGTGGAACAACACGCCGTCGAGGTGGTCGTACTCGTGCTGGAACACCCTGGCTTGGAACCCGTCGAGGGTCATCTTGAACTTTTTACCGTTCACGTTCTGCGCTTCGATCGTCACCGCCGTCGGTCTCTGCGCGGGGAGGGCGGGGGTGGGTGGGGGGGGGGGGGAGAGAAGAGCGTCGACGTGAGACGCGTCGCCGCGAGAGGAGAGGAGAGAGACGGAGGAGGGAGGAGGGGACGCCGCGCGCGGTCCGTTCCTCCGCCGGAAGCGCCCGCCGGACGAGAAGCCTCGCTGGGTGTTGCTCATCGCGTCTCCGCATCTTTGTGAGAATAGGATTAGCGTATATTTGTTTTGTTTGTGCGCTCACCGGCTTCTCGCGCGCGACGACGGGAAGAGACGGGCGGGATCGATCGAGCGAGGACGGAGGAGGAGGAGGAGGAGGAGGACGACGACGAAGTCCTTAAGGAACGGCGTTCACCACGCGAACGCGGTCGTATGGGAACCAGTCACGGGATCGATCGACCGATCGATCGATCGATCGGGCGGAAAATAAAAGACGACGCGAGGGGACCGCCGGCTGGTGACTCGCGCACCTCCACGTCCGCGTAAATCGCCGGGAACGATAGGCACCCCTCTTCGAACATGTCCTTCTCCTTCGAGAACTTCACGATCTTCGGGTTGACCATGACGACCTCCGCGCCCTTGCCGCGCTCTCCCGCTTCGTTGTACACCATGAGGCGGTAATTGACGCCAACCTGCGGCGCCGCGAGTCCGACGCCGTCGCTCTCGTACATCTTCGCGAACATCGCGTCCGCGAGCTTCTTCAGCTCCGCGTCGAACACGCCAATCTTCTTGTTCTCGTCCCGGAGCTTCGCGCTGGGGTACTTTTGAATCTCGAGCGGGAGGGCGAACTCGACCGCGGCGCCGGTCGCGTCGTTCTCCTCCGCGATCTCGCTCAACTCGCTGAGGAACCCGCCCTTCTTCCCTCGCGCGAGCGTCGTCGCCATTCGCGCGGGCGCGTCCGCGCGGCGGGACGCGACGCCGGCGTCGGATCCGGAGCCTCGACGCGCGGCCGCGGCCGAGGAAGAGGAGGAAGAGCAGGAGGAGGAGGACGCGTGATGGTGTCGGCGAATCGACGACGACGACGACGACGACGACGACGACGCGCGGGATGGCGTCGTCGCGCGCGCGGGCGCGACGCGAGAGCTCGTGGGGCGGAACAGACGCGCGGACGCGGCGATCGGTCGCGACATCACGCGCAGGGTTCCGGTCATTTTTCTTCGACGCGCGACGCGACGCGGACGGACCCGGCGCGAGGATCCGAACGAATGACGACGAAGGGTTTCGGGCTCGTTCTCTCACAGCTGTTCTGAAAAATGTTGCTGTTCCAGGATAAACTCCTCATCACTCGTCGGCGCCTCTGATGAGACTCCTCGCTCGCTACAGCACGCGGGCGGTCGCGTTCTCGCACGCCCTCCCTCTGCTAATCTGCCGCTCGATCCCCGCGGCGGTCGCCCAAAGCGCGTCCCCGAACACGGGCGGATCGTGATACATGAAAAACCCGACGACGCGTCGAAGCGCCTCGTGCTTCTCTCTCCAGTCGGCGGCGTCGACAATCTCCGCCGCCCGCGTCGCGTTGACGCCCTCTCTCTCGGTCATGCGAACGCTGAACGCGTCCCAGTCCAGGAACCACGACAGCGGGAGGTCGTACCCGTCCGCGATGATCACGGGGACGCACCCGAAGAGCATCGCCTCGACGAGTCGCGGGGCGTACACGCGCGTGCCTCGGACGTGGAGGCAAAACTTCGATCGCGCGAGGAGTTTCATGTACCCAGACGGCGTCGTCGCGCCGTCCGAATCGAGGTCCCAGTCCGTGCGGTTCAGGCTGCGGAGCGCGGGGATGACGCGCTGTCGAAGAAACCCGCGCGAGTTGCCGCGAAACGCGAGCGATATCGGGCGGTCGTCCTCGTTCTCGAGGCGCTCCGTCGTCGTCGTCGTCGTCGTCGCGTTCTTCGTCGTCGTCGTCGTCGTCGTCGTCGTCGTCGTCGTCGTCGCGTTCTTCTTCTTCGTCCCCTCCTCTTTCTCTTCCCGCGCCTCCCCCCGCACAAACTCCTCCTTCTCTTCGTCGTCGTCGTCCTCCTCGTCGTCGTCGTCCTCCTCGTCGTCGTCGTCCGCCCCGGGCGTCGTCGAGTTCGAGACACGTTGTCGCCGCTCGCCCCCCGTCCCCGGCGTCGGCAACGGCGCGATCGCCCCGAGGTGAATCGCGTCCGCCGGCAAGTGAAACGACAGCGAGCACACCATCGAGACGTCCTTCTCGCGCGAGAAGGGCGAGTCCAGGGTTCGGTTCACGTCGAGCGTGAGGTTGACGTTCTCCCAGGTCGTCGTGTCCGCGGTCGCGACGACCGCGACGGTCCTCGTCGCGAGCTTATCGCCGCGGAATCCTTCGCTAAACAGCGCCTCGGTGCCCTGGTCGTGCGCGTTCACGAACACCCTCGAACACCCCCCTTGCTTCTCGGACTTCTCCCACGCCCACGGTTCCGTCGCCTTCGCGTGCTCCACGACGACGGCGAGCGACGCTTTGACGGCGTTGCGGCCGTTGTCCGGATAGTCGGCGACTCTGTCGAGGTAGGGGCGGTTCGGAAACAAAAACGCCGTCGCCTCAGGGTCGCTCCATACAAAGCGACGTCGGGGTGGAGTTGAAAGGCGTCAGATGGAGTTGAAAGGCGTCGAGGGCGGGTATTGAAAGCGAGGGGCGGGCGGAGAGATGCGCCAGGAAAAGTCCTTAAGGATCGGCGTTCACCACGCCGACGCGGTCGTATGGGAACCAGTGTATAGAACGCACCTCGCCGACGTGCGTCGTCGCGAACGGCGGCTTCCCCAACGCCCCGATCACGTGCGCTTCGACGTCGTACGCGCGGTTAAACGTCGGCGCTAACCGCGCGAGCTGATACCGCCGCTCGAGCTTGGAAGGGAGCGCGAACGTGTACACCTTGAGCTTCTCCGGTAACGCGTTCATGTAATCGCACAGCGCCTTCGCGTCGGCGAACGGCGATCCGTCCATCCCGTCTGGCGCGTCGCTCGGCCGCGCCAGCGGCCACCCCGGATCGATCCCGTCCCTCATCAGCGCCTGACACTGCGCGTCGAACGTGAGGTGCCCGTACTCATCGCGAAGGGGCCCGTGGTCTTTCCACGACTTCGGATCGAGCGCGTGCGCGAGCCGCTCCACTTTCCACGCCGCCGCGGACAGGCCGGTGTTCCAATGCTGCCGCAGCGTGGAGTACTCCACGCTCGGCACGATCGCCGCGCTCACGCGCTCCGACGCGACTCTCGGGACGTCCGCGATCGCGGCGTGGAGGTCCGGGGCGACGCGGGAGAGCGAGCGGTCGACGACGTGCGCGAACGCGACGAGCGCGGCGACCGCGAGCGCGAGGACGACGACGAGATCGGCGAGTCTCGGGTTGGCGTCGAGGCGGCGAAACGCGAGGACGCCGGTCGCGTTCGCGAGGCACGCGCCGAGGCCTCTCAGGCGACGCAGGTTCGGCGCGTGCTCGCGCGCGTGAGCGCGCGAGTACGCGCTGGAGGGGAACCCGCGCGGATTCATGACGCCCGCCCGGCCGGGGTCAATGGATCGGACATGTGCGTGCCGGCTCCTCTCGACTCGCGTCTCGCGACGAATCGGTGTTCCAGGGCCTCCACGTGTACAAAATATGTTCATCGGTAAGTTGAACGGAGGTGCGATCAATTGTTGAAACCGAGGGACGGGTGAAAAACTTTTGTATCGATCGAACGCACCTCATCAGTTCTCTCGGCTGGGTCGACACCGCAGCGCCGTTTTTTCGTCGTCGCCGACGCGCCGCGAGGACACTCCGCGCGCGCGAGAGAGCGAGCGGCACGCGGACGCCGCGCGCGCGATGGCGAGAACGACCGTCGAAGAGCGCGTCGCCGCGGGCGAGACGCGACGCGGCGGCGGCGGCCGATGACGTCGCGCGCGGAAACCGCGGCGACTAGGACGCGTCGTCCGCGTCCGTCGGCGACGGACCGACGCTGCTGACGCACGGAGATCTGGGGACGCGCGGGGGCTCCCTCCCTCCCGCGCGCGTCCGTCCGCGCGCGAGCGACGTCCTCGCGCGCCGCGGACGAACGCGGTCGCGTCTTCACGACCGCGCGGCACGGACGGACGTCGCGCGCGCTCGAGCGCGGAGGACGAGACGCGCGTCGATGAAGAGGCGCGTCCGACGGTCGTGTCCGAACGCGGCGACGCGTCCATCATCGGACGGCGTGATTGATGCACGGAGCACCGCGCTTTGGACCTCGGACGCGACGAGAAACGCGACGAAACGCCTTGAAAACAGTCGGGCTCGGTCCTCGCGTTTAACGTTTCCATCCGACGCCGCGGCGCGACGGCGAATCACCCGCCGCGCGCGCGGAGAGCGCGTCGGCCCGCTGCCAAAGGCCACGCCGCCGCCGCCGCCGCCGCCGCCGCCGCCGCCGCCGCGCGAAGAATACGTCGCGCGAATGGGCAATCCTTCCGGAAAGAAAGGCGTCGGCGCCGGCGGCGACGCGCGCGCCGCGCGACGCACGCGCCGCGCGACGCACGCGCCGCGCGACGCACGCGCACTCACGCCCGCTGAGAGCGACGGGCACGGCCGCGGGAGGGGAAACGCGAGGGGGGTGGCCTGTCGCGGGGGCGAACGGAGCGTTCGTCGAAGCGATCCTTGTCGTTTTCGAGGCAGGTTTAGTGCTTACTCTGGTCTCCGGTGTTGTCTCAGATTCTTCCAAAATCCCAAATCCGAACCAATGTCGGCGAAATCTCAGATCGCGCTGCGCGCTATTGTACGACCGACCGGACTCGAACGAGTAGAACGCCGCGCTCATCGCGTGACCGCATTCCACCGCGCGTGCGTCCTTCCGAGAACGCCACGCTCGTCAACATGGAGCTCTGCGCCGCTCGCGTCATCCATAACGTCGTCCCGGCGAAGGCGGGCGCGGTTCGCCGCGCCGCCGCGCCCACGATGGCCGTCGCGGTGCGTCCTCCCGTCCACGCGAACACTAAACCTAAAACCCTGAAGTCGCGCGCGGCACGCTTCGCGGGTGGATAAAGCCGCTCCGGACGCGCCGACGTCGACGCCGCCGCGCGACGATGCCGTCTTCCGCGACGCGACCGAGCGCGGCGTCTCGATTCGCGCGCGCGCGTCGGTCTCGATCGCGCCGTCGGTCGCGTCGTCGCGCGCGTCGCGCGCCGCGCCGCGCGCGATGCCCGGCCGTCGCGCGCGCGGTGTCGACGTCGCGTCTCGAGGAATTTCGTCACAAATCTCCCGTCCGCCTCGCCTCGCCGCGTTCTGACCTCCATCTCATCCCTCGCGACATTCCCACCACAGACGTCCGCGTCGTCCGCTTTCATTGGCAGCTCTCTGAGCATGGGTATGGGCGCGAAGAAGCAGGCGGAGCGCGGCGCTCTGTGCGTCCGCGCCGCGCGCGTCGCCGGGGTTGAGATTCCAAACAACAAGCGCGCGGAGACTGCGCTCACGTACATTTACGGCGTGGGCGACACGACGGCGAAGAAGGTGATGGCGACGACCGGCTTGGAGAACAAGCGCATGCGGGAGTTCGAGGAGGACGAGCTCACGAGGCTTCGCGAGGCTGTCGACGAGCTCCCGCTGATCGAGGGCGACTTGCGAAGGTTCAACTCGATGAACATCAAACGGCTGAAGGAGATTCAGTGCTACCGAGGAAAGAGGCACATCCAGGGGCTGCCGTGCCGCGGGCAGCGCTCGAAGACGAACGCGCGCACGCGCAAGGGGAAGGTCAAGACCGTCGCGGGTAAGAAGAAGTAAGAGACGAGAAGAAGGAGGCTTAGCGACCTTACTTACTACTGTGTGATACAACCACCGAGACGCATTGTCTGCTGCTAAACTATCATCAGATTATTTCGGCGTCCTCCGACGCCTCCGTCGACGCCGCGGAATCGACCCGACCCGACCGAACCGTCACTCACAACCGAATCGTCTTGCGGCTCGCCGGCCGCTTCTCCTTCTTCTTAAACATCCAGTCCATCACCGCGCCGTCGTTCGCGCACAACGTCGCCGCGCCCGCGCCGAACGCCGCGCCGTGCTTTCGCGCCGTCGTCTCTCGGTGCGCCATCTCCAAACGCAGCCCCTCGGCGCGTCTCCTCTCCTCCTCCTCCGCCGCCGTCGCCTCCCCCACCGCGCGCTCGAGCTCCGCGATCTTCCTCAGGTCCTCCTCGCGCGACTCTCTCGCGTCGAACCGCGCGCGGACGTCGTCGTACGCCGCCGCGAGCGCGTCGCGCGCGACCGCCGCGTCGACAAGCTCGGCTCTGAGCGCCTCTTCAGCCGCCGCCGCCGCCGCCGCCGCCGCCGCCGCCGCCGCGTCGGCGCGCGACGCCGCCGCGATCGCGTCGTCGGCGTGTCGACGTCGCGACGCTTCCTCCGTCGCCTCGTGCGCCGCGCGAGCGGCGAGAAGGTCGTCCCCCGCGCGTTCCAACCGCTCCTCCGCGTCGCGCAACGCCGCCGTCGTCGACGCGATCTCCATCCGACCGCGATCCGCCGCCTGATCCGCCGCCTCCTTTTCGCGCTCGAGCTCGCCGACGCGCCTCGCGTGCGTCGCTCGCAGCGCGTCCATCTCCGCGGTCAGCTTCGCGGTGACCGCGTCGCGCGTTCGCGCGACCCTCGCGTCGCGGTCCTTCTCCGCGTCCAGCGACTGCTTCGACAGCTTCTCCGTCCACGCCTTGACGACGACGGCGACGGCGTCGTCGCCCTCGCGCCGCGCCGCCGCCAACCGAAGCTCGTGCTCCGCCTTCATCGCGCGCGCGTTCGCCTCCGCGCGCTCCCTCGCCGCGCGCATCTCCGCCGCGTGGTCCTCGAACGCCTTCGCCATCGCGGCCGCGTGGTCCCCGCGCGCGCTCGCGAGCAGAGTCGCGCGCTCGCGTTCCGTCTCGCGCGTCGCGTCGCGCGCCGCCGCCGCCGCGCTCGCCGTCGCGTCGGCGAGCCGCGCCGCCGCCTCCTCCCTCGCCGCCTCCGCGCTTTTCGCCTCGTCCGCGCGCCGCGCTTTCTCGAGCTCGAGCTCCTCGCGGAGCGACCGCTCGCGCGCCGCGTGGCGTTCCGCGGCGTCCGCCAAGGCGTCCGCCACCTCCGCGGCGGTCTCCGCGACGAGCGCGGCGCGCGTCGCGTCCATCTCTCTCGCGTGCGCGCCTCTCGCGGCGTCGAGCTGCTCCGAGACCTGCTCCGCGGCGCGTTTGCTCCACTCCTCGTCGCGCTCGCGGAGCGCCGCGGCGAGGCGATCTTCCGCGCGTTCCGACGCTTCGATCGCCTCGCGTTTCGACGCGGCGAGCTCAAACTTCAGCGCCTCAACGCGTTCCCTCGCGGCTTCGACGTCGCGCTTCGCCCTCTCCTCCGCGCCTCGAAGCTCGTCGCGGCGCGACGTGAGCTGCGACTCTTTACGCGCGACGTCCTTCGCGAGCGCGTCGAGCTTCTCTCTCGCGTCCGCGCACCGCCGGTTCGCGGCGTCGAGCTCGCTCTCGAGCTTTTGCTTTTCCTCCAGCCTCGCCGTCGCGTCGCGTCGCTCGTCCGTCATCCGCTTCGTGAGCTCCGCGATCTGGAGCTTCAGGTCGTTGCGAATCTTCTGCCCCTCCTCCGCCTTGCTCGCGACGCGCTTGTCCGCGTCCTGCGACGCGCTCTTCAGGGCCTCGTCGGACGCGCGCTTGGCGTCCGCGGCGGCGGCGCGAAGCGCGTCCTCCGCCGTCGCCAACTTCTCCGCGTGTTCCCTCTTCGGGTCGTTCCATACAAAGCGACGTCGGGGTGAAGTTGAAAGGCGTCAGATGGAGTTGAAAGGCGTCGAGGGCGGGGATTGAAAGCGAGGGTTGGGCGTAGAGAGACGGCGGCAAAAGTCCTTAAGGATCGGCGTTCACCACGCCGACGCGGTCGTATGGGGACCAGTGTATAGAACGCACCTTCGTCGCCGCGAGCTTCGCGTCCCAGTCCCTCGTCGCGTCCTCCCTCTCCTTCGCGTGGCGCTTCCGCAGCGTCTCGAGCTTGGCCTCGAACTCCGCGCGCGTCGCGTTCGACGCCTCGGACGCGGAGGCGCCGAGTTGGGACGTCAAGCGCATAACGTCGGCTTCCAGGGTTGAGATTTTCTCGTGCGACGCCGCCGCCGCCGCCGCCGCGCGCGTCTCCGCGAGCGACGCCGCGCGCGCGTCCGACTCCGACCGCGCGTCGTCGCGCGCCTTGTTCGCCGCCGCGAGTTCCGCCTCCAGGGTTCTCGAGCGCGCGTCTCGATCGGTCGCGAGCGCGCGCGCGCGGTCGAGCTCCGCTCCGAGCGTCGCGATTTCCTCCGCGCGCGCCCTCGACGTCGCCGCGGCGTCGCCGGCGCCCGCGGCTTCCGACGCGAGCCGCGCCTCGAGCTCCCTCAGCTCTGCGCGCGTCGCCTCGCGCGCGCACGTCGCGTCCGCGAGTTCGCGCTCGACGCGCGCCATCGCGCGCGTCGTCTCCTCCAGCGCGGCGGTCGCGGACGACGCGCGCGCCTCCGCGGAGGCGAGCCGCGCGCCTCGCTCCTCCGCCTCCTCCGTCGCCTTCTCGAGCGCGTTCGACGTCTCCGTCGCCTCTTTCCTCGCCATGAACTCCCGCACGCGCGCCGCCTCGAGCTCGGTCTTGACCTCGCGCAGCTCCGTCTCGAGCCGCGCCACTCGGCCGCCGCTCGCGAGCTCGCCGCGCAACGCGCTCGACGTCGCCGTCTCCGCGTCGAGTCGCTCCGTCAGCCGCGCGATCTCCGACCCGAGCTCCTTCGCGACGCTCGCGGCGTCGTCGCCGCTCTCGCTCGCGCGCGCTCGCATCGCGTCGAGCTCGCGCTTCGCCGCGAGCTCGGACGCTCTCGACGCGTCGAGCGCCGCCTCGAGCGACGCGATCGACTCCGCGGCTTCGAACGCGGCGTCCGCCTTGGCCAACGCGACGTCGTTGTATCTCGCGTTGTGCGTCTTTTGCAACTTCTCCATCGCGAGCGCGTGCGCCGCCTTCAGCTCGCTCAGCTCTCTCGCGTGCGCGGTCGCCGCCGCGATCGTCGTCGCGGTCTCATCGCTGACGCGCGCGTCCAGGGTTTTCGCGTCGTTCGCCGCCTTTACCGCCGCGTCCGCGGCGTCACGCCATCGCCTCGTTAGATCATCGCGCGTGCGCTCGAGCTCGTCGCGCAGCGCGCGCTTCTCCTTCGCGGCGGTCTCCGCGCGCGCGCGCGCGTCCTCCGCCGCCTTGGCCTCCCGCGCGTTGGCCCTCTCGAGCTCGGACGCCAGCTCGCGCGTCGCCGCGCGCATCGCGAGCTCGTGCTTCGCCTCGAGCTCGCGCTTCGCGGATTCGACGTCGGACGCGGCCGTCTTCGCGTCGACGGCCGCTCGGAACGCGTTGATCTTCGACGCGGTGTCGCGCAGGATCTGGTCGATCTCGCTCTCGTACACGTCCGCGACCGCGGCGAGGTCGTCCGCGACGTTGGCGCCGGAGGAGGAGGAGGAAGCGCGCCCGCCGCGCGGGGTCTCCCCGCCTTTGTTGTTGAGAGCGGCCATCACGCGCGACAGCTGCGCGACTTTCTTCCCCATGCGCGCGCGCATCTCCGGGAGATGCACCGCGCCGGGCGGCATCGACGCGTTCGCGCCGCCGCCCATGGTCGCGGACGCGGACGCGGGCGGGGCGAGCGCGGTGTCGCGCCGTCGTCTCGCCCTCGTCGCCGCGCCCCGAGGAGTGCGACGGAGGGGCGGAGGAGGTCAAACCCAAAAGAAGAGGGGGGAACGGAGCGGTCGTCGGAACGTCGGGTTTTTTTCTGGTCTATTGGGTCTACGGTACTCATCAGTCCGACTCGTCGTCGTCGTCCTCCTCCTCCTCCTCCTCCTCGCCCCTGTCCTCGCCGAGCCCTTCCTCGTTCCACTTCCCCTTCGAGTCCACGATCGCGGCGCGCAGCTCCGCCATGTCCGCCTCCGCCATCTCGTCGCCGCCCCGCCGCCTCAGGAGCTCCTCCGCGTGGTCCAAATGTTCCAGCGCCTGAAAATAATTTTGAAAGGGAGCGTCGGTCAGCGTTTGAAGGCGAGGGACGGGTCAAAAAAAGTATATTATCGATGAAAAACACACGCGCGGCGCACGTACCTTGTCGAACGCGCAGCATCCGTGGTTCGCGAGCGCCAAGAGGTGCCACACGTCCACGACGTCGTCCCTCTCCTCTAAGAGTTCCTCCAGAACGTCGATCGCCTCGTCCGTGCTCGTGTCGAGCTCGAGGAGCAGCTTCGCGGTCTCGAACCTGAACTCGAACGAGACGTCGTATTCTCCGAGGAACTCGTTGTCCTCCTCGTCTTGCGCGTCGCGCGCGCCGCGCCACTGCGAGGAGGGATACGATCGGCGAATCCATTGGTCAGCACGCGCGGACGTGGCGGCGGTTCGAATTCGAATCGTTTTCATTCGACGAGATGAGATGACGTGGCAGAACGTGTGGTGGTGGACTGGACGGAGAACGCGACGGACGGACGGACGGACCTGCGCGATGGACTGCCTCAGCGCCTCCAGCGCCTCCTCCGTCCGCCCCTGCGCCGCGCGCAACGACGCCATCACCTGCAGCGGCTCCGCGCTCCTCGGGTCGCACTCCGCGGCTCTCCGCAGCAGCGCGTCGCACTCGTCCGCGACCTCGCGCACGTCGTCGGTCGTCGCCATGAGCTGCTCCGCGAGCGCGCAGCACGCGCCGCCCATGCGTTCCGACGCGTCCTCGTCGCCGTGCGCGGCTTGGAATTCGATGACGTTGAGGCCCTGAGGGTCGTTTGATTGGTGGGTGATGTGGCGGGAAGTGATTTGATTGGTTAGTTATTTGATGACGTGGATGTTTGATTGGACGAGAGCGACGGAGAGACACGCCGGGGAAAGTCCTTAAGGAACGGCGTTCACCGCGCCGACGCGGTCGTCTGTATGGGGACCGGCGCGAGATGGGACGCGCCTGACGCGTGCACGTCGCGGCCGCGACGCCGTCTTCGATGAGCTGCCCGAGGTACATGAACTTCTCGTAGCCTTCGTTCGGTCGGAGCTGGGAGAAGGCGGCGGGGGTGGAGGCGGGTTGGGGACGGGGGGAAGGGGGGTCAGAGCGCGGAAGGAGGAAGGATGGAATGAATTCTTCGCGCGACGGACGGCGGGCGAGAAGAGAATGAATCGATCGCGCGCGGCGCGCGTCGCCCTCCGCGCACCATCGCGGCTCTCTTCAGAATCATGACCGCCGTCGCGCCGTCTCCGTACTCCGCGAGCGCCATGCCGTACGCCTCCGCGGCGTCCGCGCTGTCCGGCGCGAGTTGATGCGCCTTGCGCAAGTCGGCGAGCCCCTCCTCCACGCGGTCCAGCGCGATGTGCTCGTTCCCGCTCTCGACGAGCGCGTCGATCCCGGACCCGCGGTGGCCGCCGCCGCCCTCCTTCCGATGCTTCCTGTCCTTCTTGTCCTTCTTGGACTTCTTTTTGTTCGACGACGGCGGCGGCATCGTGGCGGGAAGGGGGGTGGAGGGGGGGAGATAGATGCGCGCGTCCCGGAATGCGGCGGCGGTGCTGTGCGAGAAAAAAGTCGGCTGTTTCGTTCGGGCGAAATTTTCCATCGGTCTCCATCGGTCAATTGAAACGGGACGCGATCAAATGTTGAAACTACGGGGTGGGTGAAAACCGCCGGTCGGCGCGGGCAGCTGAGCTGAGGGCCTTCTCGTCGTCGTCACAGCGTCGCGCACGATGACTCGCCCGCCCGAGCTCAGCATGGACGCGAAGTGGGAGGCCGCGATCGACCTCACGCTCCGAAGGCTCGTCTACGGCTCCCTCGCCGGCGGCGCCGCGGGGCTCGTCCTCTTCCGTGCGTCCCCCCGCCGCGCGCGTCCCCTCGCCTCGCGTCGCCTCGCCTCGCCGAACGACCGATCGCTCGCGCGATCCCGGGCTCACACTGGTTCCCATACGACCGCGTCGGCGATGTGGACGCCGATCCTTAAGGACTTTTGCCGGCGTTTCTCTTCGCCCAGGGTCCCTCGCTTTCAATCCCCGACCTCGACGCCTTTCAACTCCGCTTCTGACGCCTTTCAACTCCACCCCGACGTTCGCTCGCATCGATCCCGGGCTCACGTCCTCATCCCCAACCCCCCGCCCCCACCCACCCACTCCGTCCGTCCATCAGGCGGCGGCGGCGCGCGCGCGTCCAGCCTAGCCTTCGGCGCCGGCGCCGCGCTCGGATCCGCGTACACGGGTGCGTCGCCGCGTCGTCCGTCCTCCTCCGTCGCGGCCCATCTCGCGGGCGTCTCCCTCCCCTCGCGCTTCTCTACGAGCAAACTTCTCTCTCGGCGTCGCTTCGCTGACGCGCCCCCGACGCGCGCCTCCCGCGCGCGCCTCCGCAGACTGCTCGCGGCAGTTCGAGAGCCTCGGGTTCCCGAAGCTCCCGCCCGCGCTCAAGTGAGTCGGACGTCGCGCGAGAATAGCGGAGCGATGACGGCATCGCATAGCACGTGTAAACAGAGCATACCTCTCGACGACGCGCCGCGCCGATCGTCCGCCGCTCGCGCTTCCGCTTCCGTTTTGAACAAAATAATGGAACCTTCATTTCATCTTCGTCGTCGTCCGCACTGCTTCCGCGCGCACCGCGTGAGACGCCGCGCGCATCCACGATGGCGGCCGCGGGCGACACCGTCGTCGTCCCCCGGAACTTCCGTCTTCTCGAGGAGCTCGAGAAGGGCGAGAAAGCGCAGGGGGCGTCGCCGCATCTGAGCTACGGGCTCGCGGATCCCGGTGGGGCTTCTTCGCCGATCGCTCTCCCCGCCCGCACCGCGCCCGTCATCTTTCTTTCCGGACGCGTCGCCGACCCCGCGTCGTCGTCGCCCGCGCCCCGCGCCCGCGTCGCGCCGGATACTCAACCCCTAAACCCTCCCTAAACCCCCACCACGACGAACGCAGAGGAGGACGCGATGATGATCAACTGGAACGGCACGATCATCGGCCCCAACGGGACGCCGTTTGAGGGACGCATCTACTCGCTTCAGATCGAGTGCGGGGAGAGCTACCCGGAACTCCCGCCGATCGTGAAGTTCCGCACGAGGGTCAATCTGCCGTGCGTGAGCGGTGACCACGGCCGCGTGAACCCGGCGGCGGTGCCGGTGATGGCGCAGTGGCGACGCTCGTACACGATCGAGGACGTGCTGAACTCGCTGTGGAACTTGATGAAGTCGCCGCAGTGCCGAAAGTTGGGGCAGCCGCCGGAGACGGCGCCGGACTATCCTCTTTTCTGAGTCGGGGTAACGCATCGTGCGCGTGCGGTACGTCGCGAGGTGATGTGATTTTTTTGAAAGAAAGAAAGAATCGAGTCGAGTCGAGTCGAGTGGTGCGCGATGCGATGGAGTCCGTCGTCAGGTCGGCGCTTGGAGAAGACGCGCGTCGTTCGTTCGCCGTCGCCGTCGCCGCGCTCGCCCCGCCAGAGACGCCCGCCGCTCCGAACCGTAGTAGCACTAGCGCTCGCGCGCGCCGCCCCCTCCCCCGCCCCGCCCGCGCGCTCACTGAAACGGCGCCATGGCTATCGCGTTGAAGTTAATGTCCCCCTCCGCGACGTCCATGAACTTCTTTATCACGGGCGCGGCGTCCGCGAGGAGGGTCTCCGCCGTCGTCGCGCCGTGGTACACTGAGGGCCATTCCATACGAGCGAACGTCGGGTTGGAGTTGAAAGGCGTCAGTTGGAGTTGAAAGGCGCCGAGGGCGGGCGTTGAAAGCGAGGGACCCTGGGCGGAGAGATGCGACGGCAAAAGTCCTTAAGGATCGGCGTTCACCACGCGAACGGGGTCGTATGGGGACCAGTGTATGGGACGCACCTGGTGTTTTTTTCCTCCCGTCGAGCTCGTACAGCCCGCCGTCCACGTGCACGAGCGCGACGAAGTGGAGGTTGATCTGCGTCTCGAGCGACGGGACGTCGGTCTCCCCGGCCGCGACCGCGCTCTGAGAGAGGGAGGGAGGGCGCGGTGGACGTGAGACGCGCGCGGGGGGGAAGAGGAGAAGACCCTCGCGAGCGAACGAAGAAAAAGAAAAGAAAAGAAAAGAACGACGCGGTCGCGGGGGACGGGGTATCGACGCGATGCGAAGCGACGCGACGCGACGCGACGCACCCCGTGCGCGGCCTCGATGCCGTCGTCGTTTTCCAAGTACGCCGCCTTCTCCTCCGGGGTCATTCCTTTCGTTTTACCGAAGAAGGACGCGAAGTACGACCCGGGCGCGAAGGCGTATTTTTCCGCGTTGTTACCTGCGCGGGGGTTCGGCGGGTCGACGCGCTTCGGTCAGATGAAAAACGCGTCGCCGTCGAGCGTTACACCCGAGGTGCGATGGGTGAGAGACAAACAGAAAGAACACGGCCGGGGCGGCGAAAGTCTTTCAGCATCGACGTTCAACGCGCGAGGGAGGCGGTATGGGAAGTAGTCTCGCGCACCGACGGCGTGCAACACGCCGATCGTCCCGCACGCGTTGCCGATCGTCTGACGCATGTAGTACACCTTCTCGGATAACGTCTGGCCGTTTTGTTCGATGACCGCGGCCTCTGATGCGGATAACGCCTCGGATTTGTCCGTTATAGGGAACAGGAGGAGGACCGCGTGCACGGGTTGAGGGACCTGCGGCGGCGGGAGACGAGGAGGACCGAAGACGCGTCGCGAGGAGAGTTTGATGAGATGACGCGGCGGCGAGATCTGAGATAGAGGGTCATCGCGTCGGATTCGGGCGACGGCGACGCGGGGCTGGGTCGACGCGCGTCGCGCGCACCATCGCGAGGAGGTCGGGGTCGAGCCCGAAGATGTCGTGGAACCCGACGTCCGCGGGCAACCCCAGGCTGCGATCGAAACGAGGGAGGGAGGCGCCGGACGTCAGGCGTCGTTCGTCGAGAGGCGACGATTCGAGGTGCCCGCTTTCGACGCCGCGACGCGACGCGACGGAGAGAGGGCGAGGACGGCGAGGACGCACGTGTGCGCGAACGACCCCATGACCTCGGGGTTGCTCTCCAGCGGGAGCCATTTCTTCCCCATGACGTCGGGAGACGCGTCGGGACGGACGAGTCGCGCGGCTCGCTCCCGCGAAGTGGCGCGTTCGTCACACTCGCCGCTTTCAAAGGTCGGCGCCTCGGCGTTGCCCCTTTCAAATGGTCGGCGCCTCGGCGTTGCCCCTTCAAATTCTGGGTTCGTTCACCCCTCGTTCACCCTAACCTATAAATATCCCACGATTCTCCGAGATTCGCCCGCTCGTAGTACGCGCGCGCTGTACTCGCTCCGTGACTGTTCGCCCGTACGAGACGGAATTAGATACTTTCGTACTTCGCTGATGACGATGACAATCGAGAAAAAACGTTGTGCTCTGTCGCTTTTTGTACACGGCTTCGGACGCGGCATTACGCCCGGCACGTCGAGCGGACGCACGCGAACACCGCGCGCCGCCGACAAAATCGTGCGAGGGTCGTGTCGTAGTCGTGTACCCCGCTTTGCGTCGCGAACGGACGGAAAGGTGCGCCTCCCGCAGGCGCGGTTTCCATAATTGAGGCCCACGCGCCTGAATTCTCCCTCGTGCGTGGAGATCTGGCCGCGCGATCCACGGCGCGACTCCGCGCGCGTCGTCCTCGTCGCGCGCGAACGCGACAAACCGAAAGATCGAGGCCACGTTAGCCTTCGGCGCCTTCGTTCGCGTCGTTCGCGCCGTCGGAGTCGCCGTCGTCGCCAGATCTTCGCGCGCCTTTTCGAGGCTTTTTATCCCTTTTGGCGCCTCCACGACGACGCGCAACCCCTCGGTTCCGATATTTCTTCGCGCGCGCGCGCGTCGTCTCCCGACGCGCGCGCGCCTCATCGCACATCCCCTGACGCCTCGATCACCCCGCGACATCCCTCAGGGCGCGCGCGCGCACCTTAACGCGCGCACGCGGGCGCACGGACCGGCCGCTCGCGCGTCGTAATCGCGCGCGCCGAGACCGAGCCGGGGACGCGCGCGGATCGTGCGAAGGGAATTAATTTTCTCGAGGGTCGAGAAAAAAAAAGAATCGAATCGAAGCCGCCTCTTCTCTCCTCTGAAGATGACGGTCGCGGTGAGCCCAGAGCCGAACGGCGCGGCGACGCCGTACGACGACGTGAAGAGTAAGACGCTCGGGGCGGTCACGACGCCGATGACGCCCGCGCCGGTGAAGATCGTCGTCGACGAGAAGGATGCGGCGGCGAAAGGCGCCGGCGGCGACGACGACGACGCGAACGTCGTCGGCGACGACGACGACGCGCGAAAGTCCCCCGACCACGCCGTGCAGACCCCGGAGGCGGAGTGGGCGGAGCAGGCTGTGATCTCGCGCGTGAAGACGCCGCCGAACGAGGCGGAGGCGCTGACGCCGAACACCGGGAACTCGCCGCCGAGGGACCGGTCGTCGTCGAGGGAAAACTTTGAATCGAGCTACGGCGCGGACGTCCAAGTCGTGGAGGCGCGCGTGGCGCCCGCGGAGACGGCGGCGGCGGCGGCNGCNGCNGCGGCTGTGGATGCCGAGCGCGCGCGCCTCGAGCGCGTTCACGAGGAGGAGCGCATCGCGGAGGCGACGCCGAGCGAGGCGGCTTTCACGGCGGCGGCGGTTGCGCCCGCGCCCGCGCCCGCGCCGCCGCCGCCGCCGCCGCCGGTCGACGAGTCCGCGGCGGGCGCGGCGACGCTTCCGCACCAGACCGCGGGTCAACCGCAGATGGATGGCGGGATGGACGACCGCGCGAAAGCCGCGTGTCTGTCGCGGTTCACCGCGACCACGGACGCCGGGCGCGTCGAGGAGCTCCGCGGGATGTCTCAACGCGAGCTCCAAGAGACGTTTCGAATCGCGTTTAAGCGCGCGACGACGTCCAACAACAACCAGTGGCTGCGACGGAGGATCGCGGGCGCGATGGGTATCGGTGATACCCTCGGCTTAAACGCGATCGTCTCCGGCGGCGGCGGCGCGAACGCTCTCGCGAACGCGACAGCGGCGGCGGCGGCGGCGGCGGCGAGACGCGCGCGCGTCGCGTCGTCGCATCAAGACGCGCTGAACGACCCCGCCCTCGCGGCCGCGGGGACCGCGATCGACGCGAGCGGCGTTCGCAAGTCCTCGAGGGCGTCCAAGCCGAAGATCCTGGACTTTCTCCCCTCCGCGGTGTGCGCGCAGGTGGCGAACGAAGCCCCCGGGGAGACGGCGATTGGCCGCCGAGTGCGCGTGTTTTGGCCCAACGAGGGCGCGTTCTTCACCGGCGCCGTGACCGGCTTCAACCCGAAGAGCGGTCGGCACTCGGTCAAATACGACGACGGCGACGTCGAGGAGGTGTTGCTCGCCGCGGAGAGGATCGAGTGGATCTACCCGGGCGAGGACGAGAGCGTGGCGATCACGCGCGCGCCCGCCACCGCCGCCGGCGGCGGCGCGTTATCCTCCAAACCCAAAGCCGTCGTCGTCACGCCGAAGAAGATCACGACGTTCGTCGTCCCGAACCCCGGCAAGCCCGCGGAGGTGCTCGCGGAGCTCGGCGCGAAGTGGCCCGCGCCGAACGCGCACGTGTGGGGACGCGTGAAGGGCCACGGGTGGTGGCCCGGCGTCGTCATCAAGCCCGGCGCCGACGCCGGCATCGTCGGCGGCGACCCGATCACCACGCGGCACATCCGCTTCTTCGACAACAGCGGCGCGGTCGTGCATCGACACGACCTTCTGCCGTACGGCGAGTACGCGCCGCAGCTGACGAAGACGAAGAAGACGGTGTCGTTCACGAAGGCGATCTCGCTCGCGAAGGCGTCGTACGATAAAGCCGTGAAGCGCGGCGGCGAGTGCGGCGCCAACTTGACGAAGCAGCAGCGCGCGGAGCAAGCGAGGGCGGCGATCGAGGCGGCCGCGGCCGCGCGGGGGGGGCAGGGGCAGGGCGGCGGCGACGACGTGATGGACGACGACGAGACGGAGCGCGAGGCTGGCGCCGGCGCCGGCGCGGGCGCGGGCGCCGGCGCCGGGAAACGCGCCGGGGAGGAGCACCCGCCGACGGCGTTCCACGTCAAGCGCGTCAAGGTGGAGGACGCGGACGGCGCGGGCTTCGGCGGCGCGAAGCCCGAGACGAAGCACCACCATCACGTCGGACACGGCGTTCCGTCGCCAAGTGGCGGCGGGTCGAACCAACAGACGCTCACGCAGCGATGGCAGAACATCGCGTCGCTGCACGGAAAGTCGCTGCCGTTGGATAAAAACGGAAAGCCGAAGCGGTCGCACAAGAAGGGCCAGGGTATCAAAGCGCGCCTCGCCGCGGAAGCCGCGGGGCTGCCGTGGCCCCCGCCCGGGGTCGGCCGAGGAAACAGGAAGAACCCGTCCAACGGCGTCGCGAGCGGGATCCTCGCCGACGACGCGGTCCACCACAACGCGAACGGCGGGAAGCGGAGCCCGACGACGCACCGCCGCGACGCCGAGGCTTTCGCCGCCGCGCGCGTCAACCCCGGCGACCCCCTCGGCCTCCTCTCCCGGAAGCTCGAAGCGCTTCAGTCGCGCGTCGTCCCGCTCGCGATCGCGGCGACGTCGCACCTGCGCAAGCAGCTCGTCTCCGGCGCGGCGGCGCCGACGCCGCGCGAGCGTTCGATGCTTCTGTCGGAGATGGCGTCGCTGCAGCGGATGCTCACGTCGACGCGGCCGATCGACGTGCGCGTGCAAAGCGCCAAGCTCGGCCCCGTCCCGGGCGTCGGCGACGAGACCGCGTCGTTCGGCGCCGACATGGCCATGGAGCAGCAGCGTGTCGCCGACGCGGACGCCGCGGCGACCCTCGACACCCCGGTCGGATCCTGGGACCAAGACCATCGCGGCGGCTTAGATCCCGTGGAGGTTGCGATGCTGCAAAACGAAAACCCGTTCATGGACGACGACGGGATGGACGACGACGGCCTCGTCGCCGCCGCGATGGGCCACGGCGGCGCGTCGGACGTCGAATACGCGACGAACGTGGGCGTGGGCGTGGGCGTGGACGACACGACGAACGTCGCGAACCTCTGGGGCGTCGGGTGCGGCGACGGCGTCGGCCCCGGGGAGCTCGACGGCGACGGCGGGCTCGCGGAGTTCGACCCGGCGGACGTCTTGGGGGTCGTGCCGGACCCGGCGCGGGTCGACGCGTCGTTCAACCCCGTCGCTTGATCGGGTCGACGCGTCGTTCAACCCCGTCGCTTGATCGTGAAGCTCGAGAGGCGAGGGCGGGGCGCGCGGGAGACGAGGGGACGCCGCGCGACCCGGACGGGGAGGGAGGGAGAAGAAGCTCGAGGGAAAAAGAAAGAATGCCCTCGAGGGAAAAAAAAAAAAAGAGAATGGAAGACGCGGAGCCGAAGCGCGACGTTGAGGCGAGGCGAGGCTCCGAGAGAACGAAGGAAGCGCGAGGGCGGGCGAACGAACGAAGCGCGAGAGACGTACGGCGTACGACGCGACGCGCGCGAGTGTATCTTTATATTATACAAATCGATTGTACGTGAACGCCGACCCGCGCGCATCGCGAACTCCACGAGACCTGCACTACGTTGTACTGAGCGTGATGACCGGCGCGATCGCGAAGTGCAAGAAGAGTGGGTCGACGCGCAGCATACAGAATTGCCTTAGCGAGCAGATTTCTAGGGCTGCACGTCACGGAGACTTGAAATAACACACACACACACGAATTGACGGTTCGACGATCTCGGCGCCGTCCAGCGTCCGCCGCGCATAGGCGAGCGGCGCGGCAGGCGGAGCGGGTCGGCGCGAAGGGCCGACCTCGCGGGCATGACGGACGCCCGCGCGCGGCGCGCGGTCGCCGCGATATGGGCGGCGACGCGCGCCGCCGCCGCGCGGGCGAGGTCCTCGACGTCGGCGTCGTCGTCGTCGTCGTCGTCGTCGTCGTCTGGATCCGCGGGAGGACGCGTCGGACGCCGCGAACGCCGCGTCGCGGACCCGACGCGCCAGTGGCGTCGCGGGTACGACTCCAGACCCCCTCGCATCGTCCGCGGCACCCGGCTCGACCCCGCGCCGACGACGAGCGCGCCGTCCGCGTCCTCCTCGAGCGCACCCGCCGCGTCCGCGCCCACCGCGAGGGAGCTCAGAGAGCAAGCCGCGAACGAGAAGCTCGCGACGTCCCTCGGGCTCGATCCCAAGCTCGTGCCGTGGGATCCCGACGCGGCGATCAGAGCGCTCGCGTCGGAGCCCGCGCCGCGATGGGCGCTGCACAAAGAGTGGGCGCGCGTCGTCCCCGCGGCGCTGCGAACGGCTCCGCGGTCCTATCCCGACCACAATCTCATCGTGCAGACGCAACGCCGCGTCGGCGATCCCGTCGCGGCGCCCGCCGACGGAAAGGCGGGCGCGACCAGGAGTAACCCCTCCGGAGCGGGCGTTACCAACGAGAAGACAGAAGCACAAAGAGATCCGCGCGCGCTCGAGGCGTACAAGTGGTTGAACGCGGCGCTCGGCGACGACGGGTACGCCTCCGGCCACGACGTGTACGTGACGTGCCAGGTCATCGCGCCTCCGCCGCGCGCGCGGTCGCTCGCCGGAGGGTTCCTCACGCGGCGCAGCGGGAAAAACGTCAACGGATGGAATCACCTCTACAACGTCAGGTCGCAGGCGAAGCAGCAGATATCCATCACGGACGAGGGCGAGATTTTGCTCGATCACGTCGCGATCAACGCGCTCGTGTGCCGCGAGACGTTCGTCGCCGCCGAAGAGAATTCGACGCTGTATCTCACGATCGCGGGATCGGAGAACAACTGGGAAGGGCACGCGCTGCACGCGGAGCTCGCGAAGAGGATCAACGCGATCGGCGAGCAGCTGCAGATAAAGGAAGATAAGTACGAGGAAAACCCGATCGCGATGCTGCACCCGTCGCGGATGAGTCTGACGTGGGCGGGACTCGGCTGGGACGGGAAAGAGTTGAAGTTGAACAAGTGGCGACACCCACACAGCGCCAACGTCGTGTACATCATGCCGCCGCCGAGCGTGTCCTCGGTCGCGTCCGCGTCCGCGGCCGCGACGACGCTGCTGAAGCACGAAGAGAAAGTCGTGGAGGACATCATCGAGGCGATGAAGTTCACCAGACGCACCGGGGTGAAGCTTATCGTCGCCGGGTTGGAGCTGCAGGGGTACCACGCGCGGAGGGCGGTTTCGCGCGCGGCGGCGGCGGCGGCGGATTCGACTTCGAATTCGAATTCGAATTCGAATTCGAACAGTTCGAACTCGAACTCGAACAGTTCGACGGAGGCGTTCCCGTCGCCGTTCGCGCTGCGCGAGGACGAGGTCGAGGGGTTGAGCGCGATCGACGTTCACTGGCGGTTACAGCGGGAGGACGTCGTCGAAGCCGCCGCGGAAGCCGCGAGGAGGAGATCCGCGTTCGCGCAACACTGCCGTCGCGAGCAGATTCAGGAGTATTGGCTCAGGGATTGGACGCACGAGGGAAAAACGCTGGGCGACGTCAACCACGCCATCCTCGAGGAGACAATGTCCCTGCCCGACGCGAAGAGGTGGTTCGAAGGATTCGCGAAGCCGTACCTGGACTCGAATTCGAAAAAGATCACGCACGCCGACGCGCTCGATAAATCCATCGACAACACGTTCTTCTTGCCGTCGTGGTTCTCCGACCGCTCGCGCGAGCACGGCAAGAATTACGTGCGAAGAAACGCCGTGCCGTGCATGGAAGCGACGCTGAAGTTTTTAAACGAGGACGGCTACGACGAGCGCGACGCGATGAAGGACCTCGCCGAGCGCAGAGGTGCGTTCTATACACTGGTCCCCATACGACCGCGTTCGCGTGGTGAACGCCGATCCTTAAGGACTTTTCCCGTCGTCTCTCTCCGCCCACCCCTCGCTTTCAATCCCCGCCCGCGATGCCTTTCAACTCCAACTGACGCCTTTCAACTCCACCCAGACGCGACGTACGGGTGGCCCGTCGCGTGCGCGGAGGAACGCCTCTCGCACGCGGAGGAAGGCGACCGGATCGGCGAGGAGAAATATTTGGCCAAGGTGAAGGAGGAATCGTCGGTGGCGGTCGATCTTCACGTGCGCGACCCTCCTGAACTGTACCTTGCGTTCAAGCAGTTCCGGGACAATTACCAGCTCATCGCGGACCGCAATCGGTTGGGGAGTAAAGCTTTGATCAACCAGTTGATGTTAGACACCGTCGAAGGGAAGATAGAACGCGTCGAGACCGGCGATGTACCCGCGGGCGTCACGGAGTTTGCGCCGCTGTTCGACGGCACGATCGAGCTCATGGATCGGGACATGCGCGCGCTGCGTCACGAACTGACGAGCGAGACGCGTCGGATGTGGTATCAGGCGGCTTTAACGGACACCGACCCAATCATACGGTTGTCGGATTCGATAACGCAAAGATGCGAGGCGTCGCGGGAGACGTTACGGACGTTGCGAATAAAGTACGCGGACGCGATCGAGAAACTTCAAAAGTATAACGCGGAGACGGAGGTCGGCATCACGCGAGGGGAGCTCTCCGAGGAAGAGACCGGGACGATGCTCGAAGAGGCGACGTTCAGCGTCGGCGACTCCGAGGCTGCGTTTAGCGCGTCCGCGTGGAGAGCGCGGTTGAAAAACCTGGAGAAGTTACGAGGAGAGTTGCGAGCGCTCGTCGGCGGCGCGGCGACGGAGCTCGACGACGACGAGAGCGCGCTCGACGACTTCGACGACGAGTTCGAGTTGAACGGCGCGGAGGAGGACGGCGAGAGCGTCTGGCGCGCGTCGGCGCCTTCGAAGCCGTCGAAGCCGTCCCCGAGATGGGTCCTCGAGCACGGCGGTCGGGCGCGCCCGCGCATTTCGGTGGAGACGTCCGCGGCCGGCGCGGACAAAGGCGAAGGCGAAGGCGAAGGCGCGTCGTCCTCGTTCGTCGTGGACGACGAAAACGTGTCCTTCGACCTCGCGGGGTACAACGACTTGTTGGGCAAAGACGACATCGGCGCGCCCGGCCCGGGACCGGGTTTTTTGTTCCAAGGCACGCTGGAGAGTTTCTCGGTGAAGCCGACCGAAGAGACGCGGCCGAGCCCGGGATCGAGACGACCGATGACGGATGAAGACCTCGCGGTGCCTCGCGAGTGGGAGAGGCTCAACGCGGCGTCGAGGGAGGCGTTGCGACGCGCGTCGCGGCTCCGGAAACAAATCGCCGCCGCCGTCGACCTGATCGCCGCGACGGATAAGATCGACCCGAGCGGCATTCGCCAGGCGATCGAGAACGCGAAAGCGCGCGGCGCGCCGCGGACGACGGTGAAAGCCGCGGAAGATAAGCTCGTCGAGCTCGAGTCGGAGATCGCGGCGTTCATTCGCAAGCGACGGTCCGGGGACTCGCTCCTTCCGCCGCCGAAGCGAGGGTGGTCCGGCGCGGGGAAAAGCATCTGGTACAACACGAAAGTGGAGCTCGGAAGAGGCTCGCTCGGGACCGCGGTGTACGCGGGCGTCTACGACGAGAAAGCCGGGTCGACGTCCGTCGTTCGAAGGCCCGCGGCGATCAAGAGGATCCCGCTGCCGCCGGGCGAGCGCGGCGCGACGATGCGCGCGCTAGTGGAGAGAGAAGTCGCGTTGCATCGGCATCTGAACCAAAACAGCAACCGCGTGACGTTCTTATTCGACGTGCACCTCGACGCCGCCGACGCGGTGTTCACCGCGATGGAGCGCTGCGGCGAATCGCTCGCGCAGTGGCTCCGCAACGCCCCGGGCGGGAGAGTCGCGGACCTTCCCGTGAAGGAGCGCATGGACGCCGCGGAGGCGCTCGCCAACGCCGTCGCCGACGTCCACGCCGCGGGCGTCACCCACAACGACATCAAACCCGACAACTGCCTTCGCGCCGCGACCGGCGAGTTTAAGCTCGCGGACCTCGGCCTCGGCGTTCGAATGAAGCAGGCGGACCGAGGCGACGACGACAACCAGTACTCGATGACGACGTTCGCGGGGTACGGCGTCAACGTCCAGATGCAAGGCCGACCGCCGGAGGTGCTGCAGGGCGGCGCGCTCACCTCCAAGGTGGACGTGTGGTCGCTAGGGCAGCTCATCTACACGACGTTGACCGGGTCGACGTCGCCGTACCGGGACCCGAAGGATAAGAACACCGCGGGGATCGAGGGTCTGTACGAGAACCAGAGGATAATCAACGGGAAGTTTGACCTCGTCGCGCTGCAGACGGCGAAGCTGCCGCGTCGCGTCGCCGCCGCCGCGCGCGTGATTGTGTCGGAGATGCTGCAACCAGACCCGACCGACCGACCGACCGCGCGGGACGTCGCGGACGGGCCGATGTTCTGGTCCCCGGAGCGATGCGTTCAGGCGATCCGCGACGTGTACGACGCGCGGATAATGCAGACGCAGTATCCGCGAGAGGTGGACGAGGTGGAGCTCATGACGGAGGCTTTGGGGGGGGTTAAGAAAAACCGGAAAGCCGGGCTCGCCGCGGGCAGACGTCTGCTGGGGTGGAAACAATTCATCGTCCCGGAGCTCCTGAACAAGATGAAGAAGAGGAGCAGGCAGGAGTTCTACGCGACCGGGAAAGTCGCCAAGGGGTTTAAGACGAAGGGTGAGCTCGCGGCGGAGGCGAAGGCGGAGGCGAAGGCGGAGGCGGCGGCGATCGCGAAGGGCCGCAAAGCTCGGAAAAACGCGGGGAGCGACGACGACGGCGGCGGCGACGGCACCGGGTTCGACGACTCCGTGCGCGACCTCATTCGGTTCGTGCGCAACCTCCACGAGCATCCGCCGTTCGAGACGGAGCGATACGCGATGATCAAAGCGCTCGGCGCGGAAGGGACGCACCTCTCCACGCTCAAGGTTGGGTTGGGAATCACGGCGGAGGGCGGGGACCAGTGGACGCAAGCCAGGCGCGTCGTCGAGGCGTACTTCACGCACGTGTTTCCGGAGCTGCCGCTGCTCGCGCATCACGCGTTGAAGAGGGGGAAGGAGAAGATGAAGGAGAAGGTGGCGCGCCAGGCGCGGATCAAAGAACGCGCGCAAGACCGCTTCCGAGGATGAGTCAGTCGTCCGGAGCGAAGAGAAGTACTGTAGAAGAAGACGTCTCGTCGTCGTCGTTCGAAGAGAGCAGAGCAAAGCAGAGCGAAGCGATAGATATCGCGCTCGTTTCGTTTCGTATTATTAAAAATGCATGTACACGCGAGCGTCCGCCGTGTTTCGTCGCCGACGAGAGCCCTCCCTCCCTCCCTCTCGAGTCTCGAATCGCTTCGATTTAGTTTTTGTACGCGATCTGCACGCCGTACTTGTACGCCTGCTTGGAGTCAACCTGCAGACACGCGGTGCCCTGCACGCCTTTCACGATCTCGCCGCTGTACGAGCCCTGCAGCACGGCCGCGGACGAGATCACGATCCGCGCGGAGTGCCCGCTCGCGAGCTTCGCGGCGACGCCCGCGCTGACGCTCGTGGATCCCGCGGAGACCTTGTGGATCGCCTCCGCCGCCGCCGTGACGTCCGCGTCGAGCTTGTACAACGCTCCCGCCTTCACGGTGTCGAGCTTGTCCGCGAGGATCGCGGAGAGCGTGAGGTCGTCCAGCTTCAACTGCGCGGCGATGGAGTACGCGCCGACGCCCTTGTCGGTGATGGCAGCCTCCGCGCCGATCTGCGCGTCGCCGAGGTTCACGCAGACGGATGCATCCGCCTTCGGGGAGGACGCGATGTTCGTGACGTCCGCCTTGACGCCGTAGTCGCCGCTCAGGAGCTGGTTCGCGATCTTGAGCGTCTTCGCCGCGTTCATCGGCTCCGCGCTGACCGTGGTCTTGAGCCCGTCGAGGAGTCCCGTGATCGCGGCCTGCGCTTTCACGACGCCCGCGTCCGACACGGTGACCTCCGCGGCGACGTCGCTCGCGGGCGAGAAGTTGGCGGTGGCCGTGCCGTTGAAGTCCGTGCCCTTGCTCGCGAGGTCAGCCTTGAGCGCGACGTCGCCGGCTTTGAACCCGCTGACCGCGACCTTGTGGTTGTAGTTCAGGCCGCCGGACAGGATGTCTGGCGCGAGCGCGAGCGGGGGGGAGGGGACGGACGTCAGCGCGACGAGCGGAGAGGAAACGTGTCGAGTCATTCATAATCCTCGCGCCGCGATGATGAGAATTAGGGTATCCTTCACGCGTCGCGGGGAGAAGGGGCGAAGGGAAGCGAACGGCGCGCGCGGGACGCACCCTTGACGCCTTTAGCGATGTCGCCGAAGTATTTAGCCATCGTGCGCGGTGGAGAGATGCCGGTTGATGCGAGCGACGGCGAGGGTGGTGTGGACGCGAGATGCGTGCTGCGGCCGCACTTTATCCGCGTCACCACAATGCCTGCAGAGAAATGTTTGACAGGCTGTCGGGAATTTCCCGAGCCGCATCCGCGGCGCAGTTCCGAAAAAACGTTCGTATGCACGCCAGTCACGATTCCGTACTCCGTACTACGCACCGTCGATCAGAGTTCCGGAATTCCGAGCCGAAAGCAATCGGACGACGCCGATCGATCGGTCGCGCCGCACTTCCCCCCGCGCGTCGCGTCGCGAAATACGATGCGATCCCTCCGCGAGCTCGCTCGCCTCGCGACCCGCGCTTCCTCCCTCGCGTCGCGCGCTCCCGCCGGCGCGCCGCCCGCGATCGCGTCCCGGACGCGCGTCTTCACGATGTCATCCCCCGCCGCCGAGGAGGTGGACGCGTACAAAGTCGGCGACTCGACGAACATCAAGTGGCACGAGGGATCCGTGGACGCGTCGACGCGCGAGAAGGCGCTGAACCAGAAAGGGTGCGTCCTGTGGTTCACCGGCCTGAGCGGCTCGGGGAAGAGCACGGTCGCGTACACGCTCGAGCACGCGCTGTTTCAGCGCGGGAAGATCGCGCAGGTACTCGACGGGGACAACATTCGCCACGGCCTGAACAGCAACCTCGGGTTTTCCGCCGCGGACCGCGAGGAGAACATCCGGCGCATCGGCGAGGTCGGGAAGCTCTTCGCGGACTCCGGGATGATCACGCTCATCTCGTTCATCTCGCCGTACCGCGCGGACCGACAGAAAGTGCGCGAGCGCGTCGGGGACGGCAAGTTCGTGGAGGTGTACATGAAGATCCCTCTCGCCGTGTGCGAAGAACGCGACCCCAAGGGCCTGTACAAAGCAGCGCGCGCGGGTAAGATCAAGGGGTTCACCGGGATCGACGACCCGTACGAGGAGCCTTTGAACGCGGAGATCGTCATGGAGGTGGCGAAGGAGGGCGGGGACGGGACGTTGGCGCCCCCGGAGAAGATGGCCGCCGCGATCATCGACGTCCTCGAGAAGAAAGGCTTTCTCACCGCGTAAGTATATAATAACGAGGGCGCGAGACCGCTCCCCGTGCGACCCCGCGCGCGCGGTGAACGTCGATCCTCGAGGGCTTTCTCGCCCCGCGCGACCGATGTGACGGCGACGAAAGAGGGGTCGTGATGATGCAGCACCCACCTCTATGTTTGATGAAGATGATGATATACTTATCTACGTCCTACGTTTTATCGTTCGTCTTCTCGTTCCGTTCGCGCCGCTACGACGCCGCGTCGGTCGACGTTTCATCTTCTCCCGCCGCCGCGGCGTCCTCCTCCTCCGCCTTCTTCGCCCTCTCCGCCTTCTCCGCGATCAGCCGCTTCCGCGCCATCCACGCCGGCTCGGGCGGCGGCGGCGGCGGCGGCAGCGGCGCCCCCGGCGTCGTCGCGCTCGCGAACGACGCCTGCACCCACCGCCGGTCCATCGTCAGCTCCCGCGACCGGTTCGTGATGCTCCGCTCGTGCACGTCGAGACGCTCGAGCGGCATGCCGTGCTCGCTGAGAGAGGGGAGGGAAGAGAAGGGAAGGGAAGAAAGGGTGGGTGATCGTCGTCGGTCAGTCGACGCCGGGAAAAATCCTTAAGGAACGGCGTTCACCGCGCCGACGCGGTCGTACGGGAACCGGCGCGAGGAGAACGCGCCTGAAGATCCCCTTCAGCGCGGCGGGGGTGAAGTAATACGCCCGCGTGCCGTCGCCTCTGACGTAGAAGTTGTCCCCCAACCGCTGCCCTTCCTTGACCGCGAACCGCGCCTGCGCGAGGTCCCCCGCGGCGTAGTCGCGAACGAGGACTCGGCCCTCGCCCTCAGGGTCGTTCCATACGAGCGAATGTCGGGGTGGAGTTGAAAGGCGTCAGGTGGAGTTGAAAGGCGTCGAGGGCGGGCGTTGAAAGCGATGGGTGGGCGGAGAGAAACGCCAGGAAAAGTCCTTAAGGATCGGCGTTCACCACGCCAACGCGGTCGTATGGGAACCAGTGTATAGAACGCACCTCACCGCGCATGACGCTGGAGACGTTTCGGACGACGTCGGACATCGCGCGTCCGGGCGAAACCGCGGAGAGGACGAATATCAGCGTGCACTGCGGGCGGGGAGGGTGGGGGGGGGGGTGATACGCCGACGTGGAGGGACGCGATCGGTGGTAAGATTCGAGATTCGCTGACGTGTACGAACGCGCGGTCGAGGATCGTACACGTGGACGGGGTCGCGGCTGAGGACGCACGCACCACGTCGACGCCCCCGGCGGGGACGCGATCCGTCAGCGCGTCGCGCGTCGCGTCGCACACGAACGGAATCACCCGCGCGCGCTGCTCCGGCGGCAGACGCTCCGCGCGCTTCCTCACGAGATCGACCGCGCGCTGCGAAAAGTCGCAGCAGTACACGATCGCGGTGGGGTCCGCGGCGAGGAGCGGGAACGTCGTGTTGCCGGCGCCGCAACCGACTTCGAGGAAGACGCGTCCCGGGGCGGCGCCGGCGGCGGCGGCGCGGTCCGGGATGACGTACGCCGGCGCCGGGCCGAGCTCGTGCTCGTCCGGATTCGGCGTCTGCGACACGTTGGACGACGAGGGCGCGCCGGGCTCGTCGTCGTCGTCGTCGCCGCCGCCGCCGTCGTCGTCGTCGTCGCCGTCGATCGCGGCGGATCCGCGCGGGAACACGTCGGGGAACTCGCGGCGGAGGTAGTGCCGGTCCTTGAAGAACCGGTCCGCGTTGTTCTTGTAGAAGACGTCCCAGTTCTTCCTCGCGTCTTCCTCGTACTTTCGCACCCAGAACTGCGCGGGGTGGGCGACGTCGGGACGCGCGGGACGGGACGGGATTGGGGAGGTGAGGACGACGCGAGAGAGGCGACGGTCGCGACGTCGGCAAAACGCGCGGGGACGGACGACCGCGCGATGATGAGATCGCGACGACGACGAGGAGGACGAGCGCGAGCGCGAGGACGACGACGACGACGACGCGGCGTACCTCCGAGGCTTGGTCCTTCCCGGACGCGCCCGCGATGGACGTCGTCGCGGTCGACATCCCCGCCGCGCGCGGTGCTCCCGCGCCCCCAGATGTGCGACGAGTGCGATGGCATTATTTTCTCGTGATGGAAAAATACGAATCTCGTCGTCGACAGTTGAGACGGCGCGGTCATCATGATGTTGCCCGGCAAGCCGCTGAGCGCCGCGGACGCGAACGCGCCCCCGCCCGCGAAGAAGCCGAAGACGACGACGAAGACTCCGCCCGATCCCACGGAATCGATCGTCGGCAAGCTCGGCGTCCTGACGAACGCGCAGCTCGTCGCCGTCGTTCGCACGCTGCTCGAACGCGGTGCGGTCTCGCCCGAGCTCGTCGAGTCGATCGTCCCCGCGCCGGACCTGAGCCCGCTCTTCGCGGAGGGCGAGCATCTGTCGTACGAGATCCAAAAGGCGTTGCCCGCGTCGCGATACGGCAGCGCCACGGATCACTACGGGTACAAGAGATGCGCGTCCGCGTGCGCGGCGTGCAAGCGGTTTATTCTCGACAACGCGAAGGCGTTCAAAAACGCGAAGCAGTGGGGAACGTTGAAGGACTACTGCGCCGGGATGCTGCCCGTCGCGGAGAGCATGGTGGTGTTCGACGTCGAGAACGATAATAAGACGCGCAAGTAGTGCATCGACGCGCTCGTCAAGCTCCAAGAAGAGGCGACGAAGAAGCTCTAGCTCGCGAGATGAGCATACCTCGGATCTGATGAATCCAATGAATCGAGCGGCCGCGGCGTCGTCGCCGTCGCCGCGCGCTTCCGTACCGTCGACATCGCACGCGCGCGAGGAAGAAACCGTAGCAGTTCAACGAGATACTAAACGTTAGAATATATTGATAGGGCGTCGGCTACTCCTTCTCCCACACCGTAGGCGCGTGGCTTTCGAACCGCGTTTCCGCGGGCGACGGATTGAATCCTCGTCGCGGCGGCATTTCGCTTAACCGTCAAAGCCGCGTCTTGCTTCTTCTCCGCCTCCCGCAACGCATTCTGGTGCTCTTCGAGGGACGCGCTGCCGTGGCCGCGGGCCCCCGTCGACGCGGGAGAGGGGGAGACCGCGCCCTGCTTCTTCTCCGCCTTCGCCTTCGATCGCTTTCCGCCGCCGCCGGGACGATGACGCGTCGGCAGCACCCCGACGCGGTTGCTCTTCTCGCCGCGCTTCTTCTTATACACCCACGCGACGACGCCGATCACGACCACGGCGGCGACAGCCCCGGCGACGATCCCGACGACCGAGGTGGATCCTCCCCCTCCGGAGGATCCTCCCCCTCCGGAGGATCCTCCCCCTCCGGAGGATCCTCCCCCTCCGGAGGATCCTCCCCCTCCGGAGGATCCTCCCCCTCCGGAGGACCCGTCGCACGCTTGCGGGGGGGACCCGTCGCACGCTTGCGTTACGCAGTTTTCGCACATCCACGACTTGACCGCGGTCACCCTGGCGTAGACCCCGGGATTGTTAGGCCACGCGCACCCGTAGCCGTAGGACACGACCCCGACCTGCTTAGAGTCCGAAACTCTGATCAGCGGTCCTCCGCTGTCGCCCTGACACGCGTCGAGCCCGGACGCGCCGGCGCAGAGCATCGTGTCTCTCACTAAGCCGCCGTACGTGTTCACGCACGTCGCGTACGCCATGCCGGGGACGGTGACTTCCAACAACTTAGCAGAAGTCGGGTTGGGGCTGGGTGTCGACCCGGATTGGTATTGCGTCGTCGTTCCGAATCCCATGACGCGCAGATTCTCCCCAGACTCCGCGACGTTGGCGTCGTCGAAATCGAGCACGACGGGGGTGTACTGCGAGTCCGACGGCAGTGTGAGAATCGCGAAGTCGTAGTTTACGGTGTTGGAGTCGTACTGCGGGTGATTCACGACCGAAGCGACGCCCACGTTTTCCGTGGTGGCGAGCGCCTGCGTCGCGTCGTGCGCGACTCCCGTCCTGTCGTGGAAGTTCACGTACGCGATCGTGCCCTCTCCCGCGCTCGCGTACGTGGTGATTTCGCAGTGCGCGGCGGTGAGCACCTTGTTCGGGGCGACCAAGGATCCGCCGCACAAGTAGCAACACGGCGGGCTAGTGCAACTCGCCGAAGCTATCTGCGTGCACTTGTACAAAAAGGTGTACCACTCGTACTTGAACTGCGGCGACACCTCCGAGCCGCCGACGATGCGAGTGGTCGGATTGCCGGTCGCGTTGAACGCTTCCGCGCGCGCGATGGACCCTGAGAGAGAGGAGAAGGGGTACACGCACGTGAATTCCGTCGGAGGGATCGATATCGCGGACGACAGACGCGAGAGGACGGGACCGCGCGTCGGACGCACCCAAGACGCACATCGCGACGCACGCGCGCGCGAGCGCGCGGTCGAGACGCGGACGACGCATGGCGGCGGGTCGGGACTACGGCAACATCCCGAGATCCGCGGCGACGGGCGCGCGAACGTCTGACCTCGGGGCCAATCCGGAAATTAATTTGGCCGATGCAGTAGAGTACGCGTCTGACTGGGCGTCATACGATTTTCACTTAGGGCAACTCGTCCACCTGTCTGTTTGCCCATACATACGAATATACAAAAAGAGGAGTACGCGACCTTTTGCCTCCGAGAAGAAGCTCGACGTGAAATATCTCATCACTCGTCGCGCACGCTCCCCTCCGCGGGACAGCTCTCCGAGCATGCACGCCGCCGCGGGAACGACGCTCAAGGCGTCGCGCGCTTCGCGCACGCCCACGCTCTCGCGTCCTCGCCGCGCCGCGCGCGTCCTTCGCGCGGCGTCGAGACCGCGCCGCCGCGGCGCGCGACTCGCCGCGAGCGCGAAGCAATCGGCTCACGACGACGATATTTCCGACGTCCGTCTCGCGACGTCCGCGGCGCTGGCGTCCGCGACGGTCGCGGCGACGATCTCCCTCGCGTTCTCCGTGGACGCGACGCTCACGGCGATGATGTCCGCGGTCGGGTTGGAGGTGGCGGAGATGGAATACAGCACGAGGTCGGTCGCGACCTTAACGCGACGCTCGTCCGAGTCGTTGCTTTTCTTCCCTCGCGCGCTTTTTCGTCGCTTTTTCGAATCGAGTCCCTCCGACGCGTCGTCCGTCGTCCCTCCGACCGCTCGCGTCTCGCGCTGACACCCGCTCGCTCGTCGTTCGCAGGCGCGTCGTGGCCGCGCTGCCGGTCGCGCCGGAGGTGGAGACGATGTCCGCGGGGCAGGAGCTCTTCGAGTGCGAAATCCAAGCCTTCCGGTGCGAAATCTGAAAGGTCGCGAGAGGCGGGACGACCAGACCTCTCAGGTGCGTTCTATACACTGGTTTCCATACGACCGCGTCGGCGTGGTGAACGCCGTTCCTTAAGGACTTTTCCCGGCGTCTCTCTCCTCCCACCCCCCGCTTTCAATCCCCGTCCTCGGCGCCTTTCAACTTCAACTGACGCCTTTCAACTCCACCCCGACATTCGCTTGTTACTTGTATAGAACGGCCCTCAGAGACCGAACCAACTCCAGAACGCCGAGGAAATTAATTGTACACGACTGTATCACCACCGCGCGCGGCGCGCGCGCGATACCCTGTAATCTAAAGTATTCTTCTCATTTCTCTCTCGCGCGCTGTCCTACATACAGTACACCCGCTACAACCGCATCGTCCCCGGGTTCAAGCGCGAACTGATCTCCCTCGTCAACGCGATCACCGCAACCGCGCCCAACCCGTGCGCCTCCGCGAACGCCTCCGCCGTCGCCCTCACCGCCTCGATCGCCGCGTCGCGAACGAACAGCGTCACCGCCGCGCCGCCGCGTCCCGGGATCTCCACGGGGATCGCCACGAGGACGGGGCCCAAGCGTTCGTGCGCGGCGTTCGCGAGCTGCGCCGCGGCGTCTTGCGGGACGCGCTCCGCGAGCGCCCACTCGCTCGCGCGCGCGAGCAGCTCGTGCTGCTCGCCCTCGACGACGTCGAAGAGCAGCGCGCGGCCGTCCGGCGCGACGACCGGGATCGAGATCAACGACCGGCGCTTCGCGCGATTGGCCACGTGCGTCTTCACCATCGCGTCGAGTCGAGTAACGGACGCGGCTGGGACGTTATGGAGCTCGCAAAACGTCGCGACGACAGTCGCGGGGTCGTCGCCGTCGCGAATCGCGACCACCGNCTTCTCGCCGGAGGGGACGATCACGGGGACGCGCGCGATGAGCCTCGGGTCGCGGGACGATCGACCCGATCAGCGCGTCTCTGATCGGCGTGAAGTGCGTCTCGTGATCGAGCCCGTCCGTGGCCGCGATGAACGCGGTCACGACGTCGTCGAGGACGTCGCCCTCGCGCACGGCGACGGACGCTCTTCGCGGCGGCGCCGGCGGCGCGTCGTCTCCCGCCGACGCGTCCGTCGCCGCGGGGACGTCCACGGTCGCGGTCGCGAGCGTCTTCGCGGTGGCGTACTCGCGCATCAGCTCCGCGGCGCGCTCGGCTCTCGCGCGGATCTTCTCCTCCGCCTCGCGCTTCGCTCTCGCTTTCTCCTCGACCTGATACGTCAGCGCGTCTAAGTCGTCCTCGCGATTTTTTAGCCAGTACACCGCGCGTTTCAACAGTCGCTTCTCGCGGAGGCGGAGCACCACCGCGGTGTGCACGAGCCCGCCGTGGACTCGCAGCCGTCGCGGCATCCGCCGCGGAGGGTCGGTCGACGCGGCGGCGGCGGCGGCGGCGGCGGCGGCGGCGGCGGCGGCGTCGAAGTCGTCGCCGTCGCTGATCGTCGCGTCCGCGTCCTCGGCCGACGCCGACGCCGAGTCGACAAACGCGTCGTCGTCAAACGCGTCGTCGTCGTCGTCGTCGTCGTCGTCGTCCGGATCGTACCCCAGCCACTCCACATCCTCCTTCTCCGTCGTCGGGTACGCCAGCAGGATGTTCGTCGCGGTCATCGCGATCCGTCGAAGCGACGCGCGCTCGTTCGCCATGCTCAGCGGCTTCGTCGGATCGAAAGGCTGGGGGCCATTCCATACAAAAATAGTTCATCGGTCAGTTGAAAGGAGACGCGATCAAGTGTTGAAACTGGGCGATGGGTGAAAAACGTTTGTATAGAACGCACCTGATACTCCGGGCCCGGATCGTGCGCGTCTCGCTCCCCCGTCCAGTGCAAATCCTTCCCGCCTCCCTCGAGCGCTTTCACCTCGGTCTCGTTCGCGAGGAGCACGCGCGTCGCGCACATGAGCGCGTCCGTGGGACCGAACGCGCCGACGAGGAGGTCGCGCGGCTTCCCGCACTGGCCCATGAGGTGGCCCTTGCGAAGGAGGAAGATGTCGAGCGCGTCGAGGCCTCGGCCGGGAGGGACGCCGCGTTCGAAGAAATCTCTCGCCGTCCGCAGCGCCTCGGACGCGGCGTCGCCGCCGTCGCTGCGCGGTTTGACGTCCCCGTACTCGCCCCCTTTCGTCGTCGCGGTCGTCGTCGTCGCCGCCGCCGCCGCTTTTTGCTTCTTATCGGAGTCTCCAGGGCCCCCGTCTTCGTCCCCCTCCTCGGCGAGGTCGTCGTCGACGACAAACTCCCCGAACGCCGCCGCGGCTTGCGTCTGCACCGCGAGCTTCGCGAGCGACCGCCGCGCGCTCCTCACCTCCGGCGCGTCGCCTCCGGGCTCGTCCTCCCTCAGCACGTCGTACAGCATGAAATTCCCGCCTCCGGGACCGTCCTTCGCGAACGGCACGAACGGCAGCCCGACGTAATTCGCCGCCGCGATCGCCGCCTCGTTCGCGTCGGTGAACTGCCCCGTCAGCATGAGCTCCTCCTCGATCGTCGCGCCGTTGGCCGACGTGTCCGACAACGCCGCGAAGCCGTCGCCGCGACCGTTCAGCTTCGACGGCGCGTTGTGCGACTTCATCGCCTCGAGCTCCTCGTCGCCGTCGCCGTAGATGCCGAGCAGAGCGCTCTCGCGCCAGAGGTCGGACCCGCGCGGGGGCATCGCCATCTCTTGGCGCCATCGTCGCAGCAGACGGATCTTCTCGAGAACGTCCGCGCCGTCGACGGCGCCGCCGGGGATGCGCAGACGCACGCCTCCGTGCGGGTTGAACCCCGGGGTGACCGCGTGCCATCGCAGCATCGACTCCGCGTCCGTGACGTTGAACCCGCGGTTCATCGCGAGCTCGATCCCGGGCGCGGCGGGGACGGACCGCGTCGCGAAGACGTTCACGCCGTTGTCGAGCTCGAGCGCGGCTTCGCCGCCGGCGTCGTGATGATGCGGCGCGAGGTCCATCATCGGCACGAGCGCTAAGAACCTCGTCCCGGTCGTACGTCGCGTGATGTACACCGCGCGCGAGCGCACGACGCCGAGCGCCCATCGCACGTCGTCGCGGTTGAAGAAGCCGCCGGCGAAGTCTGACGGCACGCGATGGCACAGTCGCCCCGCCCTCGAGCAGATCCCTTTCCCTCCCGTGAGCACGTTGTCGAGGACGCGAATCGCGTCCTCGTCGTGCTCGGTAATGAGCTCGCCCGCGTAGGTCCCGTCCAGCGCCCTCCACACTTTGCGACCGAGCGCGTGATGCCCGAGCGTGCGGACGTACGGGCCCCAGTGCGAGGACCCGGGAGTCTCGTGCTCTTTCAACGTCTCGTGAAGCAAAAACGCGGCGAGGCCGACGGTCTCGTCGCGCGCGAAGAGTTTCTTCAGCCACTCCCCCGCGTGATGCTCGCCGATGCGAAGGTTCCGCGCGGTGACGATCGAGAGCGTCATCGTGATCGGTATCCGCATCACGCGCTGGTTCAGCGCGATCGGCTTTTCGCCGGTCGAGACGAGCCCGCGGCCGTGGAAGTTCGCCTTGCCCGGGACCTTTCGCATCTCGAAGCCGTCGACGACGCCGCCTTTGGATACGAACCAGCGCGCGAACGCCTCGTGCGCGGCGTCGATCTCGTCCGTCTCGTCGGCCGCCAGCGCGGATTCCTCGTCGTTTATCGGTTCACCACCCCCTTCTCCGGCCGCTTTCCCCGCGGCGTCCGCCGCCGTTTTCTTCTTGGCGCGGCGCTCGCGCAAAGCCTTTTCCTCCGCGTCGCGCTCCGCGCTCTCGTGCGCGACGTGCCACGTCACGTCCACGGGGCTCAGCTCCTCTTTCAGGACGTCCCGCCACTCGTCCTGGGGCACGATCGCGCCCGCGTTGAATATCGCCCCGGAGACGATCCGGCGTCCGACGCGCGCGCCGCGTTCGTACCGCTCCGCGAGCGCGACGGCGCGCGGCGTCGCGGCGGATTCGGCGGCTTCGTCAGCCGCCAGCTGTGCGGCGGCTTCGTCAGCCGCCAGCTGTGCGGCGGCTTCCCGTCGTTCCTCGTTCTCGCCGTTCTCGATGACGAGGAGGCCGCCGATCGTGTTCGTGGACCCCCACGCGCTCGTCTTCCCCCCCCCGTCGTCGTCGTCGTCGTTCCTCGAGAGATCCGCGGCGCACGCGCCCGCGGCGGCGGCGGCGTCGGCGGCGTCGGCGGCGTCTCGCTCGCATCGTGCCTCTTCCGCCGCGCCACCGAGGTCGTCCACCGCGGCGAGCGTCCGCGCGCCTCCCGCCGCGCCGCCCCCCAGCGCGTTCGGGACGATGTGCCGCGCTCGATCGAACCGCCGGTCGCCGCGGTCCCTCGCCGCGCGCTGCGCGCGGTCGTTCAGCGCCCCTCCCGGGAATATCATGGAGCTCGCCTCGCGGGGCTCCTCCCCCGTCGCGTCCGCTTCCTCTCGCATCTTCTTCACGCCGTCGAGCACCGCGCGCTGCATGTGCTTCGCGACGTGCATCGGCGACGGGAAGTGGTACTCCTCGACGCCGACGTCGTCGTCCGCGTCCGTCTCCGTCTCCGCCTTCGTCTCGCGCGCCGCGTCGCATCCGCGGAGGAGAAGGCACGCGGCGAGAAGCGCGACGACGACCGCGAATCGCGCGCGCGACGGCGAGGACGACGCGCCGCTCGGTCGCGCGCGCGCGGCGACGACGCGGCCGCGGCGCGTCGTCCTCCTCGTCGTCCTCCTCGTCGTCATCGCGCCCGCGTTCGTCGCGACGCCGACGCCGAGGACGCCGCGTCGCGTTGTGCGCTTCGATCGCATTATTATTCGCAAGCGAAACGAACATTATTTTCCTCAGGCTGGCCCGTTTGGCGGTCCAGTGGGTCGGTTGATCGAGCCCTGCCGGTTGATCTCCAGGTCAGCGTCAGCACGATCGCGGTGAAAATCTTCCGAGATTCACCCAATCACAGCGCCCGGTTGTTTCTCGAGGACTCGCGCGACGGAGGCTTCGCGCGCGGCATAACGAGGCGCGGAGGACGCCCGCGCGACGCGTCAGCGACCGCACGGCACGCCCGCGACGCTCGCGCGTCGACGATCGAACCGCCTCGGAGGCGCTCGATCGCCTGGAGAACGAACGCCGCGAAGACTGGACGACGCCGTCGATCGCGGAGGCTGCGTCGGACGGACTGGATTATTTCCCTCAACAACCGGGACGCGCGACGCGACGCGACTCGCGCGCGTCGTCTGAAAAAGAGCGACGGCGGCGATGGCGGCGACGGCGGCGTCCGTCGCGGTCGGCGCGCGCCGAACGACCGCTCCGACGGCGGCGAGGCGCGCCGCGTCGAGCGGCCGAGGCGGCGCGCGCGCGACGCCACGGACCGCCGCCCGCGGCCGACCGGTGAGAGGAGAAGCGATCGACCGCGATCGCGCCGGGGCCTCCTCCTCCTCCTCCTCCTCCTCCTCCTCCTCCTCGAGGACGACGACCGCGGCGGACACGGACGAGGAGTACGACGTCGTCGTCATCGGCAGCGGCATCGGCGGCCTCTCCGCGGCGTCGCTCCTCGCCAAGTACGGCTACTCCGTGAAGCTGTTCGAGTCGCACTACCTCGCCGGCGGGTGCTGCCACATGTTCGACCACCGCGACAAGAACGGAGGGCTGTGGCAGTTCGAAGTCGGGCCGTCGATCTGGGAGGGGCTCGACCGCCCGACTGGGAACCCGCTGCGGATGGTCTTCGACGCGCTCGGGGAGACGATGCCCGTGGAAACGTACGACGGGATATCCATGTGGACGGAGGAGGGGCACTGGCGGTTTCAAGTCGGCGACGACGACGCCCCGGGCGGCTTCTGCGACCTCCTCCGCGAGAAAGCCACGGACCCGGAGCTCGCGATCGCGGAGTGGAAGGCGCTGAAGGGGCGACTGGAGCCGCTGTACGACGCCCTGGACGCGTGCCCGCTGACGGCGCTGCGACAGGACGCCGGCTTGCTCGTCAGCACCGTGATCGCGATTCCGTTTTACCTGACCCACCCGCAGGTGATGTTGGACATTCCGTACATCCTGGATTCGTTCCACAAGCTGTCGCGGCAGTACGTCACGGAGCCGTTCTTGACGCGGTGGATCGACATGCTCGCGTTCTTCTCCGGATTCCCCGCGGAGGGGACGATGGGCGCGACGATGATTTATTCCATCCCCGGGTTTCACCGACCCGGCGCGTCGCTGTGCGCGCCGGTGGGCGGCACGCAAGCGGTCGTGGATAAGCTCGTCGGGTGCCTCGAAAAGTTCGGAGGCACCATGGAGCTGAAGAAACACGTGGACGAGATCATCGTCGAGGACGGCGAAGCGACCGGGGTGCGGTTGAGGGACGGGCGGGTCGTCAGGGCGAAGCACGCGGTGGTGTCGAACGCGACGATATGGGACACCGTGCCGCTGCTGCCGAACCGCGACGAGCTCGAGGCGCAGGGGTTAGGCCCGGCCGCGGACTGGAAGGACGACATGACGGAGATTCCCGCGCTCGGGAGCATCATGCACATGTTCTTGGGGATCGACGCGACGGGTTTGCCGGATTTAGATCCGAGCCACTTGGCGGTGCTCGATTGGTCGCGGCCGCTCGGGGATCCGCAAAACGTCGTCACGATCTTCATCCCGACGGTGCTGGATACGGACGTCGCCCCGGAGGGAAAGCATATCGTCCACGTCTACACCGCGGGCAGCGAGCCGTTCGACTTGTGGGAGGGGAAGGACCGAAACTCGAAAGAGTACAAAGACTACAAGCGCGAACGCGCGAAGATTTTGTGGGACACGATCGAGCGGATCATCCCGGATATCCGCCAGCGCGTCGAGGTCGAGATCTACGCGTCGCCACTGACGCACCAGCGGTTCTTACGCCGCCACCGCGGAACGTACGGCCCCGCGCTCCCCGCGGGTGGACGGCTGTTCGGGGTGTTACCCCTCCCGGAGGTGCCCCAACCGGGGGTGTTATCCCCGATTCCGAAGCTCGTTCGATGCGGCGACAGCGTCTTCCCCGGCGTCGGCGTCCCCGCCGTCGCCGCGTCCGGCGCGATCGCCGCGGCGACGCTCGCGCCGCTCGATAAGCACCTCGGCCTGATGTGGGACGTGAGCCAGGAGCAGCGGAAGTTTTGGAAGGAGAACCCGAACTGGTTGGATTCGTATTACGGCGACGCGAAGCCGTTTCATCCGGCGGGGGCGCACCCTCCGGGGGGCGCGGAGCACATGCGGCCGCACGAGTATTACAAAGCGCGCGAGGGCGCGACGAAGGACAGCGCGTTCATCGGGAAAGGGGGGATGACCGCGGTCATGGAGGAGGAGCGATAGGTACCGTACCGTACAGGTAGAAGAAGAACACAACACAACACGAAGAAGAGCGGGGTGGGCGCGTTTCGCCAACCCCGCGGTTGCGGTTTCGATCTCATCACTCGTCGTCGTCGTCGTCCTCTCGCGCGTCAGTCCCTACTCCTCACCCTCCCCATCTCCAGGGAGCCTTCCCCCGCCACGCCGCCGCCGCCGCCAGCGCGCTCTTCCTCGTCCTCCAAGTCCAAATACGCCCCCGGGCGCAGTAAACTGAACGGCTTCGCGACGCCGAGCCCTATGAGCGTCACCGGCGCGACGACGCAACACAGCCACCCGAAAATCCCAATCGCGTACCGCGGATACCCCCCGTACGTCTCCCCTTCCCTCGTGAGGTTATACGCGAGCATCACGATCAGCACGCTCGGGACGACGTACTTCAGCGTCGGCGCGAAATATCTCCCGCCGACGCCGACGCCGCACAGGGCCTTAGACTCGTCCTGCAGACGATCCGCGCCGTAGACCCACCCCAGAAAAATCGTCTCCGCCAATCCCGCGATGACGAGCGCGTATCGCGAGACGTACGCGTCGACGACGTCCACGACCTGGTACCCGCCCTCGGTCGTCATCGGCAGCCCCGCGAAGAACCCGGCGACGCACGCGACCGCGGCGGTGAGCTCGCGGTGCTTCGCGCACCTCGGAAATCTATCGCAAAACGCGGTGATCACGCCGTCGATGAGCGCGAAGAGCGAGTCGATCGCGAGGCAGAGCAACATGAGAAAGAAACAAAACGCGAAAAACTGCGCGGCGCCGTCGCCGAACGTCGCGATCGCCGCGGGGTACACCACGAACGCGAGCCCCCACCCGCCCTGCGCGACGTCGTTCACGCTCACGCCGTCGACGTGCGCGAGGTGCCCCAGGAACGTGAAGACGACGAAGCCGGCGTAGAGGCTCGTCGCCGCGTTGGCGACGGCGATGACCCACGCGTTTCGTCCAATCTTGTTATCTCTCGCGCATCCGCTGCCGTACGCGGGCATGTTCCCACACGCGATGGAGAGCCCGAAAAATATCTGCGCGACCGCGTCGACCCACGCCTCGCCTTTCCCTAACGAGCTCCAGTCCCATTTGAAGAGGTAAAACTCCAACCCCGCGCCGGCGCCGTCGAGCGTGAACCCTTTGACGAGCAAAAAAAAGAGGAGCAAATACGGCAGCGGCAGCGTCACCCAAATCACCTTCCCCGCGCTCTTCACCCCGCTCCGTATGCACGCGTAGCACGTCGCCCACGTCAACGTCAGCGCGATCACGAGCCACCACTTGCACGGCCCGATCCCGCGCGATATGTCGTCGCGCCTCGCGAGGACGTCGTCGTAAAAAAACGTCTCCTCTTTCCCGTCGTCGTAAGGCAGCGACGACGTCATGGACGCGAGCAAGAAGACCCAGACCCACGCGATGATGACGCCGTAGTAGGACGCGAGGAGGAAGCCGCCGAGGGTCGCGGCCGCGCCGATCCCCCACGCGCGCGCGTGCATGATCGCGAAGGAGTCCACGATGCCCTTTTGCATGGCGTGCCCGAGCATGAGTTCCGCGCCGAGCACGGGCACGCCGACGAACAGCGCCGCGAGCGCGTACGGGATCAGGAACGGCGCGCCGCCGTGCTTGAAGACCATGTACGGGAAGCGGAGGAGGTTGCCGAGGCCGACCGCGGCGCCGACCGCGGCGAGGATGAACTCCGTGGAGCCGTTCCAGTGCGCGCGGTCGCTCGGTTTCGACGACGAGGGTGCCTCGTCGCGTCGGGTGCCGAACCCGCCGATCTCGTCGTCGTCGTCGTCGACGCCGCGCCGGTCGCCGCCGGGCGTCGCCGCGGGCGACGACGGCGTCGCGGCGGCGTCGAACGCGGGGTCGAACCCCCCGGCGTGCGCCATGGCGTCGCCGCGTCGCCGACGCCGTGCCGCGCGCGACGAGGACTGCGGGCGACCAGACGTGATGACATGACAGCCGGCGCGCGCGCCGGCCGATCTCGTCGATTCCAAAAAAGTTCATCGGTCAGTTGAAACAGGACGCGATCAAATGTTGAAAGCGACGGATGGGTGAAAAACTTTAGTGTAGAACGCAGTTGAGATCTCGGCTCCAGATACCAGACAGTTGCAGAAGAGGGTTTCGATAGGGTTCTCGCGCGCGCGACCACTCGCCCGCCGCGCGTCGTCACGATGGCCGCGTTACCCGTCGCCTCGGCGCGCGTCGCCCCGCGCGCGGCGATCTCGCCGCGAGCTCGCCGCGCCGCGCCGTCGTCGTCGTCGTCCTCGCGCCGCGGAGGACGCCTCCGCGTCCGCGCGGAGGACGCGAAGCAGGAATCGAGATCACCCGCGCCGTACGTCCCGGGGCAGATGATGCGCGAGGAGAACGCGAAGAAAGAGGAAGCGAAGAGCGAGAAAGATAAAAAAGAGGCTGAGTTCGAGAAGGCGTTCGCGTACATCCCGCCGGAGGGGTATCCGGAGCAGAACCGCCTCATCCCGAAGGGCCTGCGCGTGCGTCTCGGCGCGGGGATCGTCGAGATCGTGGACGAAGACGCCATCGAGCGCAAGCGTCAGGCGGCGAAAGCAGCCGCGGAGGGCGAGGGGCGGCCGGGGTCGTACGTCGTGGAGGAGAACTTCCAGACCAAGGACAAGCAGAACGTCGTGATCGCGGCGATGAACGAGGAGGACTGCGTGGACGCGACGAAGCTCATCATGTCGTTGTTCTTCAAGGTAAGGCCGATCGATTACCTCGCCAAGGACCGACTCGAGGCGGAGCAGAGCGAAAGAGTGTTTAACGGCCTGAAAGAGGGCGTCTTAGAGTCCAACGATCGCCTTCTCATCGTCGCGAAGATCGGCGGGCGGCTCGTCGGCGTCGCGGAGGTGTCGTTGCCCGGAGGGAAGCGGTTCGGCGCGGAGTTGCTGCAGCCGAGGGCGCCGGATGATTTCCCGTACGTCAGCGACGTCGCGGTGGCGCCGCCGGCGCGAGGGAAGGGCATCGGACGCGCGCTTCTGAACGCGTGCGAGAGCGCGATGGTGCGCCAAGGGCTGGAGAAGATATATCTCCACGTCAAGGTGGACAACGAGGAGGGGCAGGCGCTGTTCGAGAGAAGCGGGTACGAAGAGCCCGCGGACGCCAAGGCTGGGCTGACGCAGTTTCAGGTGCGTTCTATACAAAAGTTTTTCACCCACCGCTCGGTTTCAACATTTGATCGCTCCCCCTTTCAACTGACCGGTGCACTGTTTTTGTATGGAATGGCCCTCAGATTTCGCAGCGCGCGAGCAAAGGGGGCGTTTTCTCCAAGCTCGGGCTCGTGGAGGCGGGGCACATGCTGATGATGAAGGAGCTGAATGCGGAGAGACGCGCCGGGCAAAGTCCTTAAGGATCGGCGTTCACCACGCGAACGTGGTCGTACGGGGACCAGTGTAACCAGAACGCACTCGACGATCATCATCCCTCGATCCCTGAGTACGTCGTGAG